TTCCTTNTCCCCCCCCCCCCCCCCCCCCCCCACCACCAACATTCTTTAATATACATGACCAGAGACACCAAGTCCTGTCCTGTTCTTACTCCTCCCCCCTGCTCCAACCATCGTAACCTTCATTTTCTGTATTCTCTTTCGGTGTCTCTCTCGTCCTTTATCTTTTTCCTCTGTTCCTCTGTCCGTCACTTTCCACGCCATTCAATACTATCACAGCTATTCAAGCCACCACAATTCACTCTTCTCGCCCTCTATCGTCCTTGACTCTTCCTCTCCTGCCCTCTTTCCTCACCTTACCTCTCTCGTCTCCTCTTTCCCGCTTCTCCTCCAAATCTCCTAGGTCAACCCCTCACGGTCCGATTGGAGCACCAAGACACGCCACAAGTCTTCGTTTTGCATGCACTGGGAGAAATAATCTGGGGTAGACAAGGGTGTGGGGGAAGGATCCTTGTGGTCAGTGGCCAAGGATATTGGTCTCCGGTCACAAATTTATGAATCAGTTGGAGTATCGTGTGTCGTCTCCATATATTGTATTCGATTGAGGCTAGAGACGGACAGGAGACAGACAAGGCCGCGGAGAACAAATAGCAGAGCCCACAAGCCACTGCCATTGCTGCCTTTGTTTCCCGTCTATATCACCACACGCTGCCTTATCCCCTCATTGCAGATGTCGTCTCCCTCTCATTCACCTGCACCTCATTTCCTTTCTCGCACTTCCACATGCACTTACCATGGCTTCGTTTCCGTTCAAAATACCTTCTAGCGGCAAGGCTATTGCTGACCTCACTGTTCCAGTTCATAAATCGAGAAAGGTACGGCTCTCTCTTATATCGGCCCTGCCGCGGCATGCCAAGCTTCCTATATGTATATGTATTTTATATTTATATTTTCTTGGCACGTTGAACTAACATGGCTCCCTTTTATAGCCAAAATTTGAGCTTCATCTCAAGGTAAGATAGATTGTTCCAAGAACACTCCCACCACTATCTCGGCCATGAACTGACACCCTGTAGATTTATGATCTCAACAAAGTCCCATTAGCGTCGGGCGTGTCGGCCGTAAAATGGTTTCTTCCGCACAGCATACACGGTGAACACCGTGGCCGCACACACAAGCGGCCCATTGCAAATCACCGTGTTGAGTACGACTACTCGAAGATCATCCCGTTGCGTCTGGTGGTTGACCGCAACAACCGGCTCTCTGACTACCCAATCGAGTTTGAGATCACCCAGGAGTTTGAAAGCCATGGCGCTGGTCGCGATGAGAAGATTGTTCTGGGCAAGATCTCCCTCAACCTCGCCGAATACGTAGCCGAGAGCGAAGCCCTTCAGCGTGACATCCGGCCAACGACGTCCGACTCGTACGGCTCACGCGACTTGCCCGGCGGTGCGTCCAGCGGCTGGCACACGCGCCACCGGAGCTCCACGAGCAAGGCTAGCACCTTGGCCACTAGTGTTGGCACCATCGACTCGACCGCGTCCGGCCCCGGCGGCGCTCCTTCCTCGACAGCAGGCTCCTCGGTCGCGTCTCTCACGGCATCCGTCAACTCGGCTGTCGAGGACGGCGTCGTTCGACGCTACCTGATGCAGGACAGCAAGATCAACAGTACCCTCAAGATTGGCATTCTTATGGTACAGCTCGACGGCGAGCACAACTACGTAGCGCCACCACTCAAGTCCGCGCCCGTTTTTGGCGGCATCACCGGCATCGTCGCCAATACGGAGCCGATAAACGCTGGCGATAGCAACATTGATGACCCAGAAGAATATGCCCGCGTTGGTGGTGTTGTCGGGGCTATGATGGCCGGCAGCTCGGCCGCCAAGGGCCACGATACCGCGGAAATTCAAGATGTCTACTGTCGTGCTCTTGCAGCTTCGTGGGCGTGCCAGGCCGGTGAGATGCCGGCGGACGAGTGCATCGAGGACATTTTCAGTGGCGGCGACGGTTTCCGCTCATCAAACTCGGATTTCCACCATCTGGCTCAGCATGCGGCTGCCGCGCACGCGCTCTCGAATCAGCGTCACCACGATCACCACCACTACCATAGCGGCGGCGGCAGCAAGCAGATAGCGCCCATGCCGACGGGTACCTCGCTGGGGGCCGTAAAAGCGCGGCAGGGTTGGTCACCAACATCGCCAACACCCTCATCGATCCATGAAGAAGGCGACGAGGATGGCTTTGTGTCCTCGGCACCGAGCCGCACGAACTCAGGCGGCAAGAAGCATCAAAGTATTTTGCCAAGGCTAGGCCCCATTCGACGTAAGCCAACGCCCCAGCAAATGGGAGGCTCCTCCCACTCGGGAAGTGGAAATGCGGGCGCTTCGCGGCTGAAAAGCCGCTTTGAAGACGGCGACACGAAAAGCAGCGGCGAAGACGGCAGCGGCAGCAATGGCAGCGGCAATACGAGCAGCAGCAACAACCACGCTCACAACAACCGAGGGGACGCAGACGACGATGACGACGACGGTAACTTTGGCGGCCCGGGCAACAATGCCACCCTGCGGCCAAGCGACATTCGCAAGTTCCGCGACGGCGCCAGCCATCTCGGCGGACAGACCAGCGCTTCGTTCCCCGCTCTGGCTGGCAAGCACGGCTTACCGGGGCGTGAGCTCAGCGGCCTCAGCGACCGCACTGTCACGCCCCAGAACGACACGGACCTTCTAGCACGCCACACGTCTGCCATGGCCATGGCCATGGGCTCTCGGAGCAGCCGCAGCAGCCCGGGGCCGCAGTCTCCCACTGCATCGTCCTTCAACCTCAGCCACCGCCGCGACAACAGCTCTGAGAACCTTGCGTCGGCCGGTGCCGCCGGCGCAGCGGCTTCCTCCCGTACCTCTGGTAGCAAGGGAAGCGGCCATGGGATTCGACGCCCTACCAGTAGCCGGGTGCCCAGCAGCAGCAGCCGCAAGAGCAGCGGCAACGCCAGCGGCAACGCCAGCGGCCACGGAAGCGGCAATGGGAGCGGCAGTGGCAACGCCAGTGGCAATGGCAGCGGCCACGACGAAGACGGTCCCCAGGGCCGTGAGTTGCACGAGTACGAAATCCGCGACGACTTTGTGGCGTGGCGGCTGCCGGGCTCTGTTGCCGCGTCGTCTTAGGACAGGCGATGAGCCTCGTATCGTGCTCGCCAGAGGGGACGTCTTTTTTTTTTTCTATTTTTGTGTACGACTAAAAGGGGAGAAAGCATGGAACCAGTGTTGAAACACCAAGATGCTTGTGAGGAGGATGGAGCAGCAACGATATTTTATGACCTTACGCCTAATCAGCTTTCTTGTTTCATTGCCTTTTGTTGTACTTTTTAGATTCCTTTACTTGTTCCTTTGTTTCTTATTTTGAGTATGGAGGGCCTTTTGTGTCTTGGCTGTTTGATTAGAGTAGATAAGGAACCGCATTCCGAAAAACACAATGTATACGTTTTCTTCCCCTCCTTGGACAGCAGCTTCTCCTGGAGCGTGCCAGTCACTTTCACCTGTTAATATCAATGGGGGTTTCTTTGAGGGAACACGGTTCCTCTATTTTGACTATGGTTTGGTAATATGTGCCTAATGACGATATCCCCTTATGCCGGGAGAGAAGATGTAAAAAATGAAAATGTATACAAAATAAAAGGGTAGTCTCTAACGCTGAAAAAAAGCAAGAAGTGAAAACAAAGGACGATGCGACTATGTATGAAACAGCCCTGTTTTTGTGAAGCCCACACTTCACCATGAATTGAGAAATGGTTGCAACGCGAAATGATTTGAACTGTCGTCCATCAACGGCTCAGCACGGTCGAGGAAACGTGAAAAAGACGACGAAACGACGTCAAGACGCAAGACGCAAGACGATGGATGCAGTTAATGTTTTGGCCGAGAATTTGGGCAGGATAGCGTCGTCTAGCATGGTGCGCTCCAAGCTCTGGGCATGCGGTTGTTGTCGACAATAAATGGCGTCGTCAACATGTCCCTATTCCGTCCGCGTGTCGGGGGCAAGCACGGCCTGATATGACTGTCTTGGATGTGTCTGTTTTTACGATGACTTTCGGAGCGGCCTGGTGAGGTGCGGTCAGCACATGAGGTTGGATCATACATTTTCCATTTGCTTTTGCGATTTTGGATGCCGGGGACAAGATAACGTACGCGCAGCCCTGCGGCGTCACAACGCCAAAGAAGCAGTCACCCGAGTCTTTTGCAACCACCTGGTCCGCAAACACGGGCGTGATGACAACACCGGCCGAGACGGTCGTGGCCGCGGCAGCGACGATGGCGAGCAGTGACAACTTCATGGCTGATGCGAGTGTAGGTTGAGAAGAAAGTCGAAGAGGCAAAAACGTCGTCGAGAACAAAAACGGTGGAGTCGAATGTCGTCGAAGAAAGCAGGCCGGCTGGTTGGTGAAGCAAAATAGATGGCGATGAAATAAAATGCGGAAAAAAAAAAAGAAACGCGAACAATGCAAGAACGAAAAAGGGATCGAATAGCGGGAAGAGAATGGGTGACGAGAAAAGTGAAAAGGGAGAAAGGAGAAGAAGATCACTGGTTAAAGAGGTAAAAAGAGAAACACAGAGAGTCAACACAAGCCGTGTTTTGGTAACCCCCGTATTCTGCGACAGATGCGACGCTTCACGTCGGGGATCCCCTGGCACGCTTTGCGTGGTGTCACGATAAATAGAGGGTGAGCAAAAAGAAAGCCGACTGACCCAAGAGAATAATAGGAAACGTAGTAACATACTCTGTTCACATACGGAGAGTAGACAAATGCATTCCTGTGGTGATGGCCATGCTGGCACATTCAATGTAAACACACATGCGTGACCCAAGACGGCGAAGCGGAGCTCATCTTCGCGATGCATTTTCTTCATCCTTTGTCGCCCTTGTTTCCCCCACGTCTGTCTCGTCGCAGGCAGGTGGGGAATCTGGCCACCAAAGTACGAGAGTGCGTCGCAAACTCGGTATTGTATGATTTTGTCCGTCTGCCCCGTCTGTTACCAGACTGCGTTTCAGATTCCTCGAGCGGACCAATCAGCCCACGGTCGACCGTGAACATGGCCATGCATTTGTGCTCTGCTCTTCACACTCGACATGAGCTCCATACATGTGTGCAATTAACGAGGGAGGTTCTGTGTAATGGTAGGAAAGGAAAATGAATGAAGATCGCGACATTGAAGTTACGTTTCTCAAGGTGTACGTCGATTGATGGAATTTTTGTAAAATCACGTGACCTTTCTTCACGGTGCTTTTGCTTCAAGGATATCTTGGCATGGTCAACTCGCCGCCCCTCATAGACTACTCATTCGTTGTTGTTTGCAGCTGGTTCGTACCGTCACATCACTATCGATCAGGATTGAAGCAGAATCGGTGTATCATATATCCCAAGAAAGAACGGCCAAAACAGAAAAGGTCTATCGCTAACTCTTTTTTTATATCGAGGGGGGAACGTCGCCTCCCATAGCCTCATTAACCCAAAAAGACCCAAAAAGTATGTCATCGTGTCCGTCATCATACCACGTCCCAAGGGTCCCACAGGTCCCGCACCGTCCCGCATGTCTCGTTGCATTTAGAAGCGGTCCAGCAGGCCCTGGCTCTCGAGCAGCAGGATAATCTGGTGGACGACGGCGCGCACCGACTGCTTCTCCAGATCGACAACCAGGTCGGCCTTGGTGGGGGCCTCGTACGGGTCGTCGACGCCCGTGAAGCCCTTGATCTCGCCGCGGCGGGCCTTGGCATAGATGCCGCGCTTGTCGGTGCGCTCGCAGTACTCTAAGGGCGTGGCGACGTGCACCAGGTAGAAGTCGCCGTGCTTGGCGACCAGGTCGCGCGCGTGCTGGCGCGCATCCTCGTACGGCGCAATCGGAGCGGCAATGACAGCGGCACCCGAGCGAGTCAGCTCGCTGGCGACGAAGCCGATGCGGCCAATGTTGCGGGCGCGGTCCTCGCGGCTGAAGCCCAGCTCCGACGACAGCTCGCCGCGGACGGTCTCGCCCAGCAGCATCGACACGGAGCGGCCGCCCTGCTGGTTGAGGGTCAGCTGCAGGGCGCGGGCCACCTGGTCCTTGCCGCTGTTGGTGTAGCCCGTCAGGAAGACGGTGAAGCCCTGGCGGGCACGCGGCGGGTGCGACTCGCGCAGCACGCTGACGACCTCGGGGTACGAGAACCACTCGGGGATCTCGCGGCCCGAGCGCAGGCGCGAGCGCAGCTCGGTGCCAGAGATGTTGAGGGTGCGGGTGCCGGCCTTGACCTCGTCGACGGGGGCGTACTCGTCGCTGTCGGGCAGGTAGGTCATCATCTGGAAGGGCACGACCTCAATGCCAAGCTCCTCGCGGTACTTCTCGACGGCGTGCTGGGCATCGTACGGGCCGTAGAAGTCGACGCCCTGGCTGTTCTTGCCGGGGCCGGCGTGGTCGCGGCCGACAATAAAGTGCGTGGCGCCGTGGTTTTTGCGGATAATGGCGTGCCAGATGGCCTCGCGGGGGCCACCCATGCGCATGGCCAGCGGCAGCAGACCCAGCACGGCCATGCCGTTGGGGTAGCGGGGCAGCAGCGCCTTGTAGACGCGCACACGGGTGAAGTGGTCGATGTCGCCCGGCTTGGTCAGGCCGACGACAGGGTGGATCAGCACGTTGGCTTGCTGGGAGCGGGCCGCGCGCACAGTCAGCTCGCGGTGGGCGCGGTGCATGGGGTTGCGCGTCTGGAAGGCGACGACGCGCGTCCAGCCGAGCTTGTCAAAGTGCGAGCGGAGCTCGGCCGGGGTGTAGCGCAGGTCGACAAAGTCGTAGTGCTGCAGGCGGTTGACGGCTTCGAGCTTGCCGCCGACGTAGAACTCCTTTGCGGTCTCGTTCAGATACTTGACGGCCGGGTGCTCCGGGTCGCCGCCAAACACCTCCTTGGCCTCGAGCGCCTTGTCGGGCCGGTAGACGTCCTCGACCGTCAGGATGGCCAGGTTGCGGTCGTCGCGCAGATCGCGCAGCGTGATGCGGGCGCCCGGCTTGATGCCGACCTCTGCAATGGTCGCCTCGTTCACGTCCAGCGTGATGGGAATACTGAAGAGCGCGCCGTCGGCGAGGCGGTTGTCCTTGACCACGCCGTTGTAGTCCTTCTCGGTCATGAAGCCCTCGAGCGGCGAGAAGCCACCGGTCAGCAGCAGCTCCAGATCACACAGCTGACGCTCGCTCAGCAGCAGCGAGGGCAGGGTCTCGGCTTCGGCAGCCAGCTCGCTCTGGCGAGGGGCATCGCGGGCGAGCAGGTCCTTGAGGACGCCGCCGTGGGGGGTGTTGGCCATTGTGTGTGGAGAGGCGGGGAGGTGTCGTTGAGAAGATGAGAGTATAAGAGGCACGAAGAGAGGACGGTTGAGGAAGAAGAAAACAGGAGAGGAAGAAAACAACAAACGAGGGGTCGTATGAAGGAAGGAGGAAACAGAAATGGAAGGAGAAAAGGAGAAAGTAAAGAATAGGAAAGAACAGATCCAACTACGAGGGGCAGGAGCGACGAGGAGAGCAAGAAAAGAAAGAGCAGGTGCTACATTACTTCTTCGGCGCACGATCGGCCTTGTCTAGTTTGGAGGGGCCAGGAAGTAAGAACAAATCAACACAGTAAGTGGTGTACTGAGTACGGGATGTATATTAGAGATGGACGGCCCTGTGATGGTCTCTTGGTAATTAACGACTTTGCCATAGTTTGTGCCTCCACCGCTGCGTGGAAGCTAAGAGGTACTTGCGCGTGGTGGTGACGTTGATGCGCTATGGCGGGATGGGAAAGAACGAACCGACGTCGAATAGCGCCAAAATCTTATTAGTCAAAGAGAGCCTTCGCCTTCTGCGATTTTTTTTTTCCTTTACTTTTTCTGCCGCGTGCGTTTTAGCCCCGATGGCGTGCTCGGACGACCCACGCATTTGACAGGCGCAACACTGCCAAAGGGCTGCCAAAGGGCTGCCAAACGTCACTTTGGGACGCGCTCAAGACTCGCCGTGCCGCCGTCTCCAGCAAAAGACGGCACGACGCCATTGACCTCCGGTGCTTCGGAATGGCGCATCCACCGACAACCGTGTTAAGACCTGCCGCAGCCGGCGGGCAAGATGGCTGCGGGGCCAAAAAGCCGTGGGAACGCGGCCCTGCTAGCATTGCGAATGTGAATTGTGGACTGGCCGTGAGAACTCGAGAAAAGTCTTTTCACTTGGCTTCCAAGCTTTTTCCATTCCTTGTATTTTGTACTTTCGTACTCCGTACTCCGTTCCCGATTCTGCCGCTTGCGCCTTCCGCAAGCATGCAAGTGTTGTGCCAAGCTTCCGAATGTGCGCTTCATCGCACCTGCCATTGGCAAACGTGCTCCTTGCTGTCTCCCTCTTTCCGCGGCGTTCCTCGTTCCTGCCATGTATCGTCTTGCCTTGTACCCAGTTTCCCGTTTAGGAAGTCCCCACGCCTTGCATCGTTGCGCAAGGACAACAGACGAAAAGGGAGCAAATCCCCCGCGTCCAGGGCAGGCGCCTCCCACTCGGCTGACTAACAGCAAATCAGCATTGCCAGTAATAACACCGCATGTTACCAAATAGAATCGTGTGCAAACAGTCCTGATCGTCACATCGTCCATATGTCACGGCATGGCCAGCAATTGACCAATGGATAGCAAGGCGACACGAGAACGTCATATCGCCAATTTACAGGTCATCCTCGGCCTGCATACGCCCCCTCGGCGGGTACATACCGAATCTACACTTACCAAACGTCTTCACATTTGGCCTGGGCCTCTGCTCCAGCATCATATCGTTATGTTAAACTGACATCAAATGGCAAAATAATCAAAAACACCAAAAGTATAAATAAAAATAAATATGTAGTGTTTTATTTGTTTGGTCGTTTCATAAAGTTCGTGAACCTTTTGTATACAGGATGATGCCCAAAGAAAAAGAAAAGAGAAAAAAACGGACAGCGGCATGAGGTATAACGTATGATGACTGCTGGAAAGCAAAAAGGAAAAGCAATGATGATGCAGATGAACAGGGGAAGAAAAGTGGTAACGCAATCAAAACGGAAAAAAGACACAACGTAATCCGACAGAGATACAAACGCAAATACCCGCAACCATATGCATCCCAGATAATGCAAATGCGTCTCCCCTTTGGAGAACAAGAGAAAAACTCGCCCAGAGAGACCGGGTCAACCCGAGACCAGTCTAAACAATGGCAAAAGGCAAAAAGAAAAGCGTGATGGTGGAAAGCGAAGTGGCTGGATGGTCGGTCAAAGAACGTAGAAGAAGCGCACGAGATATGCTCCGTCCTCTAGTATAAACGCGTGTCTCAACGTAAAGAAAAAACGAGATGAAGGTCATCCCACAATAAATGGGGTATGTGGTTTGAGATTTTGTACAATTTCCGTCTCAAAAAACGCTGTGTGGGAATAGGATTGGAGAGAGTCTGTTGTCTCTCAACGATGCCGCGCCGGGAGGACTACCGTCTCCGCTGGCGAACCACCTTGGTGGCCTCGAGCAGCCACAGGTTGACTGCCGTGTCGTTGTCCTGCACGGCAGGACTGGGATCCGAGACAGCGTCCCATGTCTTCAGGCCAAAGCGCACGCGCTTGGTCTGGTTCGTGCCGGTGAGGCCAAAGAAACCGCCGTAGCCCATGCCGCTGGCCATTCTCCGAGGCGGGCCGGGAGGCGGAGCGGCGGTTCCCGGCGCGCCAGGTGTTGGGGTGGCTGAAGCGGCTGTGCCCGTCGTCGCTTGCGATGCGTTTGCGCCGGTGCCACGGTCGCTTGCGTTGGACCGCTCGCGCGGTGTTGGGGCGGGCGGTGCGCGGCCGAACAGCGAGATCTGAGGCAGGCGTTCCAAGACCAGGTGCGGGTAGTAGATCGACGCCGACACGGGGCTCGACAGGATGTAGGCCATGACGGGCTGCAGGTCGCCGCCAACGCCGCCGTCTCGGCTGGCGACAGCGTCGCGCAGGGCCCGCACACAGTGCTGCCGCATCTCGTCCGAGAGGCTGTCGGCCAAGAGGAGCGCCGTGTCAAAGAGGCGACTCTGGAGCGCCAGGCGGTGGCCACAGGATGCCTCCATGGTAGCGTTGGCAGAGCTGTTTGTCGCAGAAGGAGCCGAGGTTGTTGCGCTTGGCGCAGATGTCGTCGTCGTCGTCGTTGAAAAAGTGCTTCCTTGGCCGTGGCCGACAACGGCTGCGTCGCCATTGTCCGCCAGGGACGACACCTCCACGTACAGGCTGGCCAGGGCAATGCAGGCGCCGGCATAGACCGCTTCCTGCTCTTGGTCGCGGCTGGTCCGTGCCAGCCCGGCCACGCCGCCCACACCACCGCCTGGAGTCGCGCCATGGTTGCTTCCCACGCTAGCAGCACCCACACCAAAGCTGTTGCTCGTGACAGCATTGAAGTTGGTCACCATGTTCATGCCCACGGTCGCCGCCGTACTGTTGGCCGGGCTGCTAAAGGTCGCCGGTGACGCGCCTTGCGAGCCGGGCGGCTTGGAAGAGTCTGTCCGCACAAGCGCTGCCATGGCCGAGCCCGAACCGCCGAATCCAGAGCCATGGATGCCCTCGACGCTCAGTAAGAGAGCGTCACGGTTGGGCAGGTGCAGCAGGATCAGAGACAAGAGCGCCGGCAGCCAGTCGCGCAGAATGGCATGCTTGAGGTTGACGATGCGCTCGGCATCGATCGCGGGCAGGTCCTTGTCCTTGCGCGCTGCGGCAGACGTCGGTTCCTGCAGGAGGCACCACAGCTCGCCGAGCTTGTCGACGACCGAAGAGTCGAGTGGCGGGATGCCAGACGCAGGTAGCAAGCCGGGCGAGTGCGGAGGCGGGAGTTGCGTGTTCGAAGGACCGCTGCCTGCCGTCGTCGCCGTTGTTGATAGCTGCTGCTGCTGCTGCTGCTGTTGTTGATGTTGTTGCTCGAGCTTCTTCTGGAACTGCTGGTGATGATTGAGCAGAATGGTCCGCACAATGTTTAGGAAGCCACTCGCGACGTCAAAACCGTCGCCGAAGCCGTTGTTGCCGCCACCGGTAGTACCGATGGCCGGGGTCGATGGTGTCGAGGACATGGCTGTCAACTGCTTCCGCGTCGGCACCGTGTCGAGGAACCGAGTCTGGGCGTGGTCCTTGAGGCTGGTCGCCATGTCGGACGGCAGGCTGTGCAGGACGCTGAGGGTGGCGAACTGGAATTCGGACACGGCGCGCAGGATCAGGTTGGCGAGGTTGTCGGCTTCCTTGGTGCGCTCCGCTGCAGACGCATACGGCCCTGGAGACACGATGAGGCCAAGCGCCACCTGGCCAGCATCGGCGGCGAAAATGTCGAGCCCGCGCAGCATCTCGAGCGGCGACCGGCCCGGCGCCACCTGCCGTGTCAGCGCCAGAGTCATCATCTCCCATAGGCCGCTGCGGACAGTCTGGTCCGTCGTCTTGGCCAGCGCGATACCCGCCTTGTGGGCATCGGCAAAGGCCGCAGAGCGCAAGAGTCGCGATACCGAGAGGGCATTGATGGGGTTGCGCGCCACGGCGCCCGAGGCCGGCTGCATGGCCACCAGGCCCTGGCTCTTCTGGCGCTGGTGGTGACGCCAGAGCGTCATCTCCGCAATGGCATTGCGGATCAAGGCGGCAATTCCAGCAGGCGCAACGTACAGCGCCTCGTCCTGGAACACACGGAAGCGCTGGCACTCGTCGCACGTCAGCACAGGGTGGCTGTCGGCGATCGGCACGGACAGCAGCGTCAACACGTCCTGCAGGTACGATGTGCGCCACGTGTTACGCGCGGGGGACTGGATCATGGCGCCGGCCTCGCGGGGCTGCTCGTCGGCGGTCGTGGCCAAGAGGCTGGCGAGGTCGAGGCAGCCAAAGACAACAAAGACAGGGTACAGCGTGCCAATGGCAGGGCGGTCGCGCATCGTTCGGAGTCTCTTCAGCCACTTGACCATGATGGTGTCAAAGTGGGCGGGGTTGAAGCGCCGAAGCCGCGCAAACAGGCTGCCCGACAGACGATAATCATCGCGCGTGCGTGCCTGCGCGGCGAGGTCGCCGTCGGGCTGGATCCGCCGCCAGCGCCCCTGGCTGATCATCGCAATGGTGCCAAATAGGTTGTCCATGGTCGTGCTGTCAATGGAGCTGCTGCTGCTGGCAAGCTTCACCATCTCCTCGCGGACCTCGTCGGCATCGGCGTCTTCTTGCGGCACATGCGCGGCGCGGCCGTCAGAGAGAGGCGAGCAGTCGGCGTCGTATGTCGCGACCGAAAGGCGCTGATCGATCTCGAGCAGGCGTGCCTGAATGTCCGCGGCCATAGCGGTGCCGACTTCAAAGTGCTTCTTCATCAGCTCTTCTCTCGTGCCCGAGGACGCACCGTTTTTGCTAGCGCCACCCAGAGCAGAGGCCGCCTTGGGAATCAGACGAATCGGCTGCCCGTTGACGCCGAGCATGACGCTGCCCGGCCCTGGCTGCGGCATCTTCTCTGCGAGAGCAGGGAGCGCCAGCAGCAACGGTCGGACATCGGTGCCAGGCGGTAGGAGCGTCTGGTAGGCTGTGTTGGCACCCGAGTCGACACGGACGGTGATGGCCAGCGCCCGTGCCATGACCTTGTCGTACAGCGTGCGAGCGTTGCCCATGGCCAAAAAGGCGCCGAGGTAGAGGTTGACCGTGTCGGCACACAGGGCCATGACGCTGATGCTTTGTGGGTAGCTGGCCACAGCAAGGATAAACTCGGACAACAGACGCAGGTCGTCGGTCTTCTCGATGAGGGACCGGACAGCGTTGACGCGCTCGAGGGACAGGTTGGCAGGGTTGGTAGCATAGGGACGCAGCTGTCCGTTGCCGTTGGGTGCAGCCACCGTGTCAGCCTTACTGGACGGCCGGCGACCACCCACTGCCCCAGGATTGGCTCCGTGTCCGTCGATCTCGCCCATGACGAATTTGCTGTAGGTGCGCATGGCTGTGACGACATTCTTCTGCAGCCAGTCGGCGACGGCCATCTTGACATTGCGGCTCCGGTTCTCAACCGTACGTGCCAGCTTGATGACAGAAGCCGCGGCGCGGGCCTCTCTCGGCGGCTCAGCCGCGACAATGCCAACAGGGGAAGCGGCAGTCATCGTCGAACCCGGCGTCTCATCGGCCGTGTTTGTCGTCACGGGAATCGTCTGAGCCGCAGCAGCCATCTCTGTAAACACCTCTTGTACCTGGTCCAAGATCCGCTCCGTGTCCTGGGACTCGTACTCGGTATCGTAGCCCAGGCGCCGGAGGTGGTTTGCACGGAGACTGGACGTGGACTGGTTGAGAAGGTGGACGGGCAGCTCGGCCACAAGACGGACGTGCGGGCGACCTTCTGGGACGATCTCGTCTGCGTCGGACGGTCGGCTCCGCAGGATAAGCGAAGCGAGGTAGTGGGCAGGCAGGAACAGATCTTGCGCGACGAGGAGGCCCACAAGCTGGTACAGTGCCTTGTTGCCCTCGGGCTGCTGGTCTTGGATTGTCTGCAACTTCGCCTGGCGTGACTTGGACAGCGCCGTGCTGGTGCTCTTCTTTCGGCTGCCACTGTCGTTTGCTGCATGGTTCCGAGCGCTGGCGGTTTCGCGGTCAGACGAAAGGAAGCCCAGCATATAGTTTGTAGCCAGCTTCGCGTCCATCTGGCAGAGCTCGCCGATAAGGCGGGCAGCAATGTAGATCTTGGCGAGCCCCGGTCGGTGGATCGACGCGCACCACCGGATCACAAACGGGACTGTCTCGCGCTTGTCGAGGCGGAGGAACTCGGCGAAATGTGACGCAAAGTCGGTTGGGCAGCGTAGTGCACTGTCCAGGGGTTGGAGGTAGTTGACGACTTGAACCATCTCAGCGGATGTTTCTGGGCGAAGGCAGTCGTTGCGATGGCGGATGGTAGACACCGCATCCAGCAGAGCAGGTGGCGGCTGTTCAGGTGCCGAAGGCGACGGCGCGGGAAGAAGGGTAGTGTGCAGCAACGTCTCGTACCGAGGCCACACGGGGTGGGACACAAAGGCGTCTGGGTGGCTTTGCACCATAATTTGGAGAAGCTTCTTTGCCTGGGCCGACGATATCGTCCCTGACTGGAAGTGGGATAACTGAATAGCATGTTAGCAAAAGGACTGACGATGGCATCAATTGGTTGCGTTCGCGCTTACGAATTCGAGGCGAGAGAGAATAGAGACAGCAAGGTGCGCACTCGTTTTCCGCCGTTGCATGATCCCGTGGAAGTATTCTTCCACTATGAAGAGCCACAGGTCAAAGTAGGGCGTAGACACGGAGGCGGCCGCAGGGAGGCGTGCGGCGTTGCGCAAGCCGACCAGCATCCAGTTGAGGAACTGGTCGTGATCCAGCAGCCTCTCGACGTAAAGCTGTCGAGCAAAGCGCGCAGCGTACTGCAGGCGCTCCTCACCCGTGCCCTTTTCGAGATTGATCTCCACCAGAAAAGCCTCGACAAACTGCTGGACCGTCAACGTCCAGTCCTTGAGCCAGCGCAGCTCAGACTCGGCCAAGGCAGAGACATTGGCCGTCCCTTTCCGCTTGAAAGCGCGCAGTTCTTGGGCGCCAACACAGCGCGCAAGCCACATGGCGCGATCCACGGGCACCGACTTGAGCATGCACTGCTCGAGCAGGACCTTGCCGCGAAGACCATGCGGGATGGTCCGGCTCAGCTTCCGCAATGGGATGCCGGCGTTTGTGAGGTCGCGTAGCCAGGTCTCGCGGCGAGTGTCGGTGACGGTGACACGAGGCGGCAGCTTGAACTGCGAGGCGGGCGGGATGTGGTTCTTCTCGCGCGAGAGGGCGTTGGCCAGCGCCAGTGCCTGACCCAGCACCATGGTGCTGTTCTTCTGCCGCAGCAAAAGAGGCAGCCAGCCACGTGCAGAGGTCGTTTCGGTTGTATGCGACTGGGGGTTTGGCAGCCGGTCATATTGGCCCATACGGACGGTCGAGTCCGTCAAGCGGTCTTCGAGATGGCGGCCTTTCCACGGGTTGAAGTCGAGATAGCGGACCGCAGGCTTCTGGACCCGGTTGGCAGCGGAGGATGTTTTGGACCCGACACCACCAGCAACTTTGTTCCGATTGTTGCCGTTGTTGCGCACGGCAGTGTTGTTGGTGCCACTCGGGCTCGCACTGCCGTTTGCGCCGAAACTGCCGCTGCCGCTCACGGTGCGACTGTTGGCAAACGGACTGGCGCCGGTGCGAGTCCCGTTGGCAGAGGATCCCTTCTGCTGTGCCTGGGTCGGCGACTGGGCAAAGCTGCGCGAGCCACCCTTTGTTAATGCGCCGAGGCGTCGACCAGTCGACGGAACGACATAGTACGGTATGCCTGGTGGCACGTCGAGGTGCCATGGCTTTGCAAGGCCGTCCTTGTCAACACCATCGGCGTCTTTTTGGTTGCCAGACGAAGAGCCGCCGCCATAGGCAAGTGTAGTCGACTTCTTGAACATGGACGCCCGTAGGCTGCCGCCGTTGCTTCCGGCGGAGGGAGTGCCGGTCGGAGAGGACGCGGAGCCAGCTTGCGGGGTTGTGGTTGGCGTGGTTGGCGGTACGTCAACGTCGTTTCGCGGCGATTCGATGGCCCAGCTAAACTCGTTGAACGGAGCTCGTCCGCGGCTTGAACATATCGGAAGTTCGGATTTTGAGGACTTGGAGGTTCTAGAGGACGGGTCAGAGGCGTCGGTTCCAATGCTTTTCGGAGTGGCAGCGCCCGACGAAAGGCCTTGGTCAGATGAATGGGAGAGCGGCAGCGGTTGAGGTTGTGACGGCGGGTGTGACGTCGGATGTGACTGCGGATAGGAGAGGCGTCTGTCAGTATGTTACATCTCAAGGCGGGCTGACGTACAACAGCAGGAAGCCACCGTTGAGGTACGAATCAAATAAGGATAGGAGGGCGGAAAGACAAGAGAGATAAGAGAACTCACCGCCGCAAAACTAGCTTCAGTCTCGGGCTCCGTGTTCAGGCTGCGATACAGGCCGTCCTTCCGGAGACCCCGCGAGATTGAATAGCCGTCAACGCGCTGGGCCCGGGCAATTAGTGGCGGCGCTTGTTTCTGCAGCTGTTTCTTTGCTGGTTTTTGCCTGGGTTTGTGGTGCTGTGCCCCGTCGTTGCTGCCCGGCTGTTGTGGCTGTGATTGAGCTTGGGGCTGAGACTGGGATTGGGATTGGGATGGAGACTGTGGTGGCTGCTGGGGCTGCTGCTGTTTTTGTTTGTGCGCCATCTGCTTCTGTATCTGCTGGATATGTTGTTTCTGATGTTGCTGCTTTTGTTGGAGCTGCTGCAACCGCTGCTGCTTCTGCATCTTCATCTGCTGCTGGAGGATGCGCTGCTGCAGCACCTGCATCTGCGACAACTGCTTGTCATTTCCCCGCGGCTGCTGCGGCTGGGCATCGTCCATCCGGCGGCCGCCACCCGGAAGCGGCGGCACGGGCGGCGACACCTGCGACTGCGACGACTCGCTGGCCATATGCGCACAAAAGGGCCCAGACGAGTCAAGTCTGCCGAGGAAGTGGAGGAAGGAGAGGGAGGAGGGGGGAAAGCGGACAGATTCGTTAGCAACCCATGGATGAAGCGCCTCGGCGACCAGTACGGAAGCAGATGTGTCTGGGTGCGAAAAAGAAAACCCCCCGTCTGTCGAGTGGTCGGTGCCGTACAGAGACTGGGATCGTTCTGCACGGCCGTCGGAATCAGGGCTAGACGGCAGGGTAGCTTGTCAAGGCGAGGGTGTCGGTATTGGAGAGGGCGGCACGCGAAGCCAGCATCGCCAGGAGATACCAGCAGCGTCGAAAGCTACCGGTCAACAGATAAAAGGGGCCTTTGGTAGCCGTTGACGGCTGTATCGGGATGTGGCGATGTATCCGGTTGGACTTTGGTGGCGCATCGGCTACACAATCATCGCGAGACGGGCCGGCCGGTCGGAAACTGGGCGTGGCCGCACGATAGGCAGGTCGATGGCTCCTGTCGTCGATGCTGGACCGGATGCAAGTCGTTTTTGACACTGCTTGCCACCATTTGACACCAGGTGCCGTCGATCTGCGTTCGAATGGATGCAGTCGTCTGCGATGCAGCGAGAGGTAGAAATTGAGGTCGCGGCAGCCGTCGGTTCGTGCGTGGCTCGTGTGCCGTTGTCTATTTGGCGTGTGCCTGTACGTGTCCGGCAGCGTGTGCGTACGTGTGCTTCGTGAGTTGGTGCCCGTCGCGTGGTGGGTGGTGCAATCGCCAGGGCCGCGGATGCAGACTGTAGAAACACAACACCTGTGGTGGATGGCGCTCGTGATATGGTGATATGGCAATTTGGCGGTTGTTACGGTCGGACTGGCGATTCCCGGATCGAGCGAGCGGTTGGGGGTGGCCCAGGCTCGTGTATGCTTACTGGAAGGGGGGCTGCGGTGCCTGTGCTTTGCGCTGTAAATCCGACAGGGGGGGCAGGTCAAACAACTGTCAGGTCGATCTCCTGGCCTGGCTGTGGTGTTGGGCGAGACAGGAGGCAGGAGGCAAGATCCCGGCTTCCTCTTCAGCGCCTTTTAGTGGTCCAGCGCTGTTTCCTCCTCTTCGCTACACCCGAAATGGTACCGTCCGCGCTTTGTTCTTTTTTCCTTCCCCGTGTCAGTCTGTCACCCATTCGCGATTTTCCAGCCAATCGGCGGCCGCTGATCCCATAAGCCCCATCGGCGGGAGTGCGGGCTTTAGCTAGGCATGGCCTGGGGTGGGGAGCAAGGGAGCGAGCGGCGGCTTCTTCGCTCCGGCTAAGCACGCGTTCGCTGCTGAGATAGGCGTGTGAGGGTGTCAGGGTGTGTCGCACAGTGAGATACGACACAGTGTGCTCGTCTGATAGTGCCTCGGGGTGGTGCCAAGCGCACTTTCTGCGTGCTGATAAAGTGCGCTGGACGCCGTTCCCACCCAATTACTACGGAACAATGCGCTATATTTGTCATAATATTGCGAAGGCACGAACCAGGCCCACCCCTGTCAACACCCACTGGAAGGAAAGGTACCTCCGAGAACGTGCCCCTTACTTGGGCCGTCTTGTACCACAGCACAGCAGGCGTCTGCTGCCACATTGGCTCGTCGGCCTCGGGCGCCGCCGCTGGAGATGCATTGCGACAGGTGCAGGTGCGGCGCTCTAGCGACTCGCTATGCGCATGTCGCTTAATGTCAACTATCGTCGCAATTGTGCACCACCGCCGCTAATTGCTAATTTGGAGCCTCGCCCAAGAACGCATCACCAGCTCGACGTGCGCCCCTATCTCGCTCTCTTCCATCGCCTTCCACCCGCTGTGCCACCATCACCACTGCCGTTCCCTCCTCCACACAGCCGGCATCGCCATGTCTAACATCAAGAAGGACCCTCGTCGTTTAAACCTGGGTACGAATGCCACCTGGAAGCATCAGTTCTGATGCTTCATCTCTACCTCCCTTCTTCTCCGCATTTTTGCATCGGCCGCCCACGTGCTCTGTGCAGCACGTCGCTCCATCGTCCGCGCCCGTCTGCTAACTTGCTGATACAGTCGTTCCGTACCAGGCACCTGCGCCCGCCAAGGATGCCAGCGATATTACGTCGTCCATGTCATCGGTGCTGCCCATGGTTGCGATGATGACGCGCAACCGCTTCATCGGCTGGGGTTCCGTTGGGTTCAGTATCCTGAGCTGGCTCGGCGAGAGCGAGGAGACGCGCCAGAATAGCTCCACGCCCGGCTACTTCTCCGTCGGCATGTCTCGTATGTCTTCACTTTGCCTTCCGCCAATAGCTGCATCCGCTTGACAGCTAAGCTAACATAATGCAGTCATGGCCGTCGTCGTTACCTACCTGCCCATGCTTCTGCCGCCACCCAGCACCAGCACTGCCGCCTCTTCGGCACCCGCGCCCGTCCCTGTCGCATAAGCGTGCAGATTCGATACCCTACCACCCACAACCTGACGTCTTCGAATTGGCGCCGATGGCAAACAGTATATACCAACCGTTGCCGACATCTATGGCGGCACACAATCGGCGCTTTTTCGGATACAGCTGTACATTAACAGTGTTTATAATGAACACTTTGATCCTCTTAATACAAGCACACGGCTCTTTCTTTTTCCTTTGAGAAGTGTCTTCAAACGGACTGCCTGTCCATTTCTATGATCCGTGATATGCCACATGTGGTAAATGCAACAGTGTAGGATTTTGAAAACAACATGTGCCAAGTCTATTCCCCAAACCCACAGAAGTTCTATCGATGCCTGCGACCGTTTGGTTTTTGCTCCCCGCTAGCTTCCTATATAGATGTATTCGTGTAGCCTCCTTTTGTGCGAAGCAAGAAGAAACAAAAAGGAAATATTCGTAAAACAGCCCCCTCTGTCCACAACTTTCGTATATTTTATTTTGTTTATCGTTTCGACCGTCGTTTCAACCGCCCCTTTAGAACGATCCGCGGATCGCGGCCTTGCCGCCAACCTCTCTTGCCGTGAAGCTGACGCCAAAGTCCGCGCGGATGCTGATGGCCACCTCGATCTTGGCGCCCTTTTTCACGTCACGCAGTGCAGCCTCGGCCAGCAGGCCCTGGACCTTCCAGCCCTTTGTGCGCTGCTCCTCTTCCTCCTCCTCGTCCGAGTCAAAGTCCGAGTCGTCCTCGTCGTCCTCGTCGTCGGCCTTGGCCTTCTCCTCCTTCTTGGCGGGGGCAATCGTGTGCACGTGCGTGCTGCCCTCGGCAAACCGCAGCAGGACATCGCCGCCCTCCTTGGGGGCGGGCAGCAGGATCGCGCGACGCACAGGCACGGCGGACTCGGCGGCAATGATGGGCGTGAACACCTCGGTGGCCTCGCCCGCAGCGTTCAGGGGCGTCACGACAACACCGACGGCCAGCGACGTGTGCTGCACCGTGCTGACGACGGGGTGGGCGCTCTGCTCAATCTCCTCGGCATCAAAGTCGCGCACCAGGTTGGCCTGCAGGGCAGCGCCACGGGCCTGGAGCTCGGACGGATTGGTGGCCGACGACACGAGGCTAGGCGCCACGATCGAGGCCGTGTTGGAAAAGAGCGTCGCCATGTTGTCGGCGATGCGGGGCGTGTGTGCCGTGCCGCCCGACAGGAGGACGACGTCGACATCAATGAGGTCAAGGCCGGCCTTCTTGACGACCTCCGAGGCCAGGCGGTTGATGCCCTCGAACACGGGGCGGGCCAACGTCTCGTAGCGGATGCGGTTGATGGTGCTGGTAAAGTCAATGCCGTCGGCCAGCGACTCCACACTAAAGGAGGCGTTCGAGCCCAGGCTCAGCGCCTTCTTGGTGGCCTCGGCCTCGAGGCGCAGCTTGGCAAGGCTGCGGGCGTTCTCGCGCGGGTCGACGCCCTTGTTCTTCTTGGCAAACTCCTTGGCGAAGTGGTCAATCAGCACCTTGTCGAGGGCCGCGCCGACAAACTCGTAGTCGTGGACGGCGGCCAGGACAGTCGCCATACCAGCGCTCGAGGCGATGACGGCGGCGTCGGAGCGGGTGCCACCCAGATCCAGGACAACAATAACCTTGTCCTTGGCCGAGTCAGCGGCATCGCTGGCAGCGGCCTCGGCGTCTATCCGGGCAGTGTAGGCGGCCGTGATGGCGGCAGGGTCCGAGATCAGCTGCAGGATCTCGAGGTCGGCGGCGTCAGCCGCCTTGATAATGGCCTGGCGCTGGGCGTCGGAGAAGTTGGAAGGGACGGAGATGACGGCTGACGTGACCTTGCGGCCCAGGTATTCGGAGGCCGAGCCAACCAGGCGGCGCAGGTAACGCGTCGCAACGTCGTGCACGGAGACAGTGGACGGGTCCGCAGGCTTGGGCTCGTCGTCCTCGCTGCCGGCCTCACCAGCCTTGTCGATGATGGAGAAGGTCACATCGCCGTTCGTTTCTTGGGGGTGGGCCGAGGCGTGGCAGTACGTAGGGTCGACCGAGGCGAAACTATAGCGGCCACTGTCAGTCGAGTGTCGAATATGACACAAGAGTGTAGTTCCCCAGAGATTAGACTTACTCCTTGCCGAGCAGGTCCTTGAAGTAGGCAACTGTGTTCTTGGAGTTCCGCACAAGGAAGTTTTTTGCCTGCTGGCCGTAGTACTCCTCGCCATCGACGTAAGACAGAACAGTCGGGATTTGGCGATCTATAAAACAGAAACGAAAATACGGTTAGCAAGCCGACGCTCCTCCCGGGACAGCTATAGCCCAGCCATATACAGGACAACAAGACTCACCACCGTCCTCGTTGGCAATGACCTCGACCCGATCGTCGAATGTGTAGGCGATCGAACTGTTCGAATTGCCAAAGGAAATACCAATGGCCGTGCGGTCCTCCGGCGCAACCCGCGTGGCCGACCGGAGCGGTGCCGCCTCGGTAGACATTTTATGGTGTAAGTGCGAGGCGTATTGGGATTGTCGGGATTCGCAAAAGTAAGATAGGTTCGGAGGTGAGGTGGGAGAGTTTTAAACAGCGACAAAAAGCTTGAGTGTGGTGGTCGGAGAGCTCGTGGAACGTCGAGGTTGAGGCGGGACAGCGAAGCAAATACCAAATAGCGCCTGGAACAGAAAAAAAGTTTATCAAGGGAAAAAAATCGAGAATATGTTTAGCGTGGGCACGTTGTACGGCCATTGGTTCTTTCGATATGTATAGCTACAAAGCCCACGAACAATAATGTCTATTATTGCACTAGAGAAAATGTACCAGTACCTGCCCCTCCAGAAGGCTCCCAAGTTACTTGGGCTAGGCTTGGTGGGGCTCTGCGTGTTGGCAACAGCGATGCAAGGCGTCAGTTCTTGTCGAATGGGAAGAGAACCCATTTCTATATTAAATTTGCATTTTATTTAATTCCCAGCCTTTCCATCACGTCCTATGTCTACCAACATCAACATCTTAAAATCGAAAAACCAACAACAACTGTGAACTCCACTAACCTCGAATCTTGTTTGCTCTTATTATGGGTAGCCGCGGAAACATTTAGTGCAGTGAAAGTGGCTTGGAAGATCAGTTCGCATGGTATGCGGTGGCGCCGAAAGTACTTCTCCTTGCATTGTGCTGGCCACATTGACCATTCACGAGCGCCAGCTTGCGTAGTCGGCGTAAATAAATCGTAGCCAGAGTTACCGTTGAGCGTGCAGAATCTTTTGGTTACCTGTAGAACATGTGGTTGCGACCAGATGTGCAACAAAAATCAAAAGATGCAGGGATTTGGAGGTTGTGGGCATGCTTGAGTTGATGCTTTCGTGGCCAAATGGGAACAGTTACACAATTCAAGGGGAAAATTCATACGAACGATGACAGTGAGAGGGGTTTCCTAAGTATGTTAGCGTTTTGGAGACATCTATGGTATTTAATGGTATTTAAAGGTTAAGTTTTTTTTTTTTTTTTTTTTCCTGGTCTATCCTGTTTATTTATGTTGGAAATAGAAATTAGAATTTCTATTGCAATGATTTTTTCTTTTTCTTTTTCTTTTTTTTTAAAAAAAAAAAGAACATAAAATATACACCGAAAGCCATATAAAATACTCAGACATATGAGATTAGGAATAAATTCTTCCATATACTGGAGTCCAATCACGAGATATTTCAAAATCTTCCACCCTTACCGCCCTAGGAGCTAGTTTCTACACATACATACCAAGCTCTCTTCCAGAAACGTTTTGCTTGTAACGTCGCCTGTAGACGATGACGTGGACCACCTCTAATACGACGAAAACCTGCAAGGTTAGCCTTTCTGTGTCGAGGTTTGACAGCCAAGAGATAGCGACAGCTTGGTCTTTTAATCAGATAGCAAACGAGACCGAAAAGGCCGAAGACGTGGTGAGATACTTAAAGACGCCTTGCTGAAGTAAAGAGGAGAAAGTTCATGTTTTGGACAAAAGTAGCCGAGGGCAGTTTTTTGTCTACCGGTGCCGGTGTGCAGATCATCGAAGAAGCGTCAAAGTAGAGACCATGCACAGCATTGTCTACATTGAGGCCAAGGGTACCTTTTTTTATTTAATATTATACGAGGGAGTAATAAACAGACAGCGTCGAATTAAAGAAATATATGTCGTAGGCTTTATCAATTCTTACATGACGCGTCCTGTGGAGTGCTGGGCGAACCGGTGTATGTAGCATATTGAGATAGCCATTCGCATCGGTTTGCTTCCAACTTCTCAGAGGTAGAATAAACAAATAAAACTGCTTTGCAAATGTGACTGACAGAGCTTGGCCATTGCGGTTTTGTCTTATTTTCGACCTGGGAGCTGTCACATTAGGTTTGTGCACTTATCATCCTCGTCTTTTGTACGAAATTGGCCCGTATTCGGCATCATCGTCACAGATTACAACGGTCATAGTGTCACACGTAGAATCGCTCACTCGATTACACGCTCAGGAGATTAAAAACCGAAGCCTGAAACAGTTCGTTTAGGATCAAACGGAACGGTAAAAACACGCAGAAGGTGTATGGTTTGAAGCTAAGTGAAATAAATAATCAGCATCGCGATCTGGTGATGTCGTGACATGGATGGCATTTGGAAGGTTTTATTTAAGCCTTCCATTTCTCTCTTTAGCTTCACATCAACGCCCCGGGACGAGATCAATAGTAAAATTCTGTCGATGTCAGGACACGGTCGGGTTGAGGTTATCACAAAACACGGCCGCTCTGTGTCTAGCGAGGCCATAACACTAGGTCTCCCATTGGGCGTGACCGTACTCTGCACACACCGAAAACAAAAACACGACACTCGCACGCAGACCGTCATGCTAAAAAAGGGACTCAATAGCTGTGAACAATAAACAGGTTCAAGCCTGCTTGGAGAACGACCGCTGCATTTCGTTTTCGCCTTTCCCCTGACGACAAAGTTGTACTTTCTCCTGACCTCAGTTTAGAAACGTACCTTTGTAGTCAATCAGGACGACCGCAGCGTGATATCACCCAAGAAAGGCAGCCTCCACAGTCGCAAATCCCTTATTTTCGTGCATGTCCATCCCGCCCGAGATCAAGCGGCTGCGAGAAACTCTTCATCTTAACCACTTCAACTTCCCTCCATCCATATTTTGCCTCGTCACTGCGCAATATCTGCCCACGACCGCCGCCTCCACATCGTTTTCTTCCATTCTCACTGCGGCCGCGAAACAAACCGTCGATAACGCAAAGCCCAGAGCCAATCGACGCGTTTCGACGAGAACAGCTAGTCCTCGACAAGCACATCGTTTTTCTCACGCCATCACCACCAACTACTGCATCACGCATCGTCACCGCCCAGCGCGCGCCATTCTCGCTGTCGCTGACCATCCCGTTCATTCCTGTTTGAGGTACACCCATCAAAACAAACCTTGGAGACAACAGCTCATCGTGTGTTGGTGAAGCTTCCACCGGTCTGCTCTCTGCGTCACCGACAATCCATCAGCTTGCCGAAGGCCCCTTTTGGCATCGGCGTCGCTCGCCGTCAGATTGTCACCTGTTGCCCCCAACACTCCCCAAAATCTGGCTAGTTGACGCCCGTCAGTCATCGATCATCTGCATTGGGTGAGTGCCATCATTAGTTGTCAGTATTGGCACTGTACTTCTGCACAGGTCTAGTTTATGTGTTTTCTTCCTAGCACGACTACCTCCTATCGTCCTCTCTCCGAAGCCCTCTCACGGTCTTCTTCCAACCGTCTACTCGGTACAAACACAAACAGGCTGCATCATTTTCCCCTTTCACCCTTCATCTCACCCCTGGGCCATCCCCCCCCCTGCCGGTCATTGCAACATTCTTGCAGGAGAGAGTGACATAAAAAACACGCAATCCAGCCTAGTTCGACTTCTTCTCTTCTGCCTCTTTAGATTCTTATTTCGATTTTTCTTCACCCCCCTCTCATTCCACGAATCGAGCTGTTGCCGCCGGCTCCCCGCGAGCCTTTCTGCCTCAGACTGTGTATCCTCCTTTCGTGTGAGTGGCTACTGTTATGAACAGCGTTGGGTTTGGCCCTTGACCCGGGACATTGTCTGATTTGCTTCCCGAGTAAATTGCACCAAGGGTAGGTCGGGCCAGGCCATGCATGCACTAGCTTCGTTCAGCACTTCCAGTCCTTCTCGCCTCCCCACGCGTCCACCTCGTTTTCTTACGTTCTTGCTCCCTGTTCGGCCGCCTTGCTTGGCTCGTTGTCAATCACGGCCGGGGCCCAGCCAAAGAAACCACACCACACACGACACGCGCCGCGCCTTCCTCGTTCCCAGCCTACCCTTTATTATCCCCCCGCTGCTCTGTCTGCGCTTTCCATTAACGCGCTTGTGCGCGCAAGCCACAGGACTGCACCTTCTCGCGCAACAGCACCGTCACCTTTTACCCCTTTCCAGACCAAAATAATTCCAGCCAATGTCATAGTGTGTTTGCTAACGCTCCTTCTCGACGCGACACGGAGCCATTCTCTCCTTCTCTCCTCACCCGCGCACTTTCCTTTCTCACCACGGTCGCTCCTTCCTCATATACCTCCTTCCCTATTTGCAATTCCCCTCCATTTTGAATTTCAAACATCGTGCCCTGGCCCAAAACCTGGACTCTCACATGCCTGTTTTTGTTCCTTCATGACCACCACCTCCCCTCTCGCGTGTGACGCGTTCGTGCATGCCACTGGGTTCTAACAACCTGACATCTAGTTCCATGGGGGACGTCGCTGTTATGTAAGTGTTTCTGCTCGTTCGCCTACTCCTCAAGCAGCTTCCCTTCTACCCAATTTGTGGTCTGGCATGTGCAACACCTCAAACGGCCACATACCGCATCGTTTTCGACTTCTATCGCCTGCGAGGCCCCTCGTCGTTCCGAGTGTGGCGCTCGAGTGCCAAATCAGCTCGGAAAACGCGTCGGTCCGAAACAAAAGCTCTCCCAGTCTGTGCAAACGAGCTCGCTCAGAGAGCTACTGGCAAACGGCAGGGAACGCATGACACGAGAAGAAATGACAACTGGCAGCTGGAGGGGCATCTTTAGATCGAGTAGCAAGGAACAAAAAAAAGACGCAAAAAGACGCAGGCACATTGTCATTCGGCGCTGTTAGCTGTCTGCATATCCTTTTGGCTTTCCAGAGCCCTGTTTCTGCGCTGCTTTCTTGCACGGCATACTTTGGTCTGAACGCTATTCTAACATCTACAGCCCTGAGGGGACCATGCTCCCTGTCAAAGAGGAGAGCCCGGCTGGGACTGGTTTGTCAGGACTGCCCATTTTTTCTGGACCACGCGCCTCTGCGCAGTCAACACCAGCATCGACCTTAACGAACGGCTCGCGCTCTGTCCTGACGAAGCCCGAGAGCGACATACTTGTCCCAGCATCCGCAGCCGCTGCGACCACTGCTTCTGGCGCCATCTTGTCCGACACCATGCCGACGACACCACCCTACAACCCTCACTCTACACCTCCACCGCAGTATGTTGATAATGCGGACTATATCTCGAGACACGTGGCCACCGCTGTGGCTGCCGACACGCCGACTGCTACACCTCCAGATGACGGGTACATGAACGATGCCGGATCCAATGCCGATAGCGAGTGCCCTGCGCTCGAGGACGAGTCTCCTTATGACGCGCTATACCGCGATTCCGAGTTTGCCGACGACCAGGTATCCGCGTTCGCTCAGCCAGACACACAGTCCACCATCACCCCGCAGTCCGAGGCAAACCAGTCTTCCCACCCTGATTCCATAGTCGGCCGTGCTGGCAAGATTTGGGATCGTGCCGTCGCAAAAGCTGCGGCCATTGAGGCTGATACAGAGATGACTGATGCAATTGCGCATCTGCACGAATCCGAGACCCACACCAGCAGCGACCGGCGTGTAAACGATGTATGGGAAGAGAACCGTGGTAGCGACCGCAGCGAAGATGCGCAAAACGGCGACATAGCAAACGCCGCGACGGCTTTAACAGAGTTGACACCCCCCCCCAGCGTCAACTTCTCAGCCAGCATCTCAGTCGGAGCAGCATACACCCTTACTAGCGACACCGTCGGAAAACAGCATTGCAACCCGGCGGCCTATGAGAATGGCACGACTGTCCAAGGCAGGAGCCCCGGAATCACCAAAGCCTGCCCGACTTGCAGTCAACGCTGATGCCAACACTATGGTTTCTGCACCAAGGTCTGCACCAGGAGCAGCAGGAGAGGCTGCGTCAGCAGCGTCGGCGAGGGATGACAAGACATCGTCGGCAGCCATGCCAGCACGGCGTGCCTCCAAGCGGGTGTCTCTTGCTGCAGCCGCAGCTGCAGCCAGCCCAGTTGCAAAGCAGGCGTCGACCTCGGCGGCAAGACAGGCAGCAAAACCCTCTCCGAAGTCGAAAGGCACTGCAGCAAAGACCGCCAAAGACGCGCCTTCTCCGATCGAGAGACGGGTTACGCGCCTGTCTGGCCTTCCCACTGACCTGTCCCTTTCCCAATCCAGCCCTCAGGTTACCGCATCAGGCAAACGGAGACGGAGAATGTCCGACAAGCCCACAACTGAAGAACTGCCACGCGAGCTTCGACGCCTTCAAGATACTAAGGAATTCTCACACGTCGATAACGAACCAATTGTCTACACGGTCTGGAGCAACGGTAGGTACGTTCCGGCCAACGCGAATGGCGAGCCACTGGTCGACAAGAACGCCGCCAAGAAGGCGAAACTCGCCAAGGCTGCCGAGGAAGCGGAGAAGAAGAAAGCCGAAGAGGCTGCCGCTGCCGCGGCCGCGGCTGCCGAGGAGAAGGCCGCTGCTGAGGCCGCGTTGCCTAAGAAGCGCGTCAAGAAATGGATGAACCAAGGTCTCTATGCCGGCATGCCGACACCGTCCAACCCCGCTGCAGGCCTCACACCCGCTGAACGCAAGGAGCTCGCGAAGCTGCCGGAGCTGTCGAAAAAGTACCCACCGAACAAGACACTGCCAATGCCCATTTACAACGGACTGCGCACCCTGATTGAGGGCCGCGATTTCAAGATGCCGTTCGACGTCTTCAACCCCCTCCCGCCTGGCCAGCCGAAGCCCGTCAAGTATGGGCGGTTCAGCAAGAGTGAGTACCCAGCCTTAATCATCCGGAATATACTACTGCTTTGCTCTTTCGAAAGTGTGCGCTAACCTGATAGACCGCTTTGTTGGTGAGGCCCACGCCATCTGGAAGAAGAACCCCAACTACGACGACTTCCAGTCTAAATGCGTTTGCAAGCCAGAGACGGGCTGTGACGAAGACTGCCAGAACCGCATTATGCTCTACGAGTGCAATGACGAGATTTGCAACGTGGGCCCGGAGCGATGCAGCAATCGCGAGTTCCAAAGATTGGCGGACCGGACTGCTTCAAAGAACCCGTATCACATCGGTGTCGAGGTGTTTAAAACGCTGGATCGTGGTCATGGCATTCGTGCCAGCCGTGGTTTCCGCCCCGGCCAAATCATCATGGAATATATTGGCGAGATCATAACGGAGGAAGAGTCCGACCGGCGAATGAACGAGCTGTACAAGAACAACGCGGTAAGCCGACCTATCCTCGCATATCTTCTGTGTCTTGCCTTTGTGAGTTTTGCTCCAGCACTAACAGACAGCGCAACAGTGCTACTACCTTATGTCTTTTGACCAGTCTCTCATCATCGACGGAACCAGCGGTAGTATCGCTCGCTTTGTCAACCATTCGTGCTCTCCGAACTGCCGCATGATCAAATGGATTGTGTCCGGCCAGCCCCGAATCGCTCTCTTTGCTGGCGACCGGCCCATCCAGACAGGCGAAGAGCTCACTTATGATTATAATTTTGATCCATACTCGGCTAAGAACGTGCAAGGATGTCTCTGTGGAGCTGACAACTGCCGTGGTGTGCTCGGCCCCCGGAAGAGTGAGAAGGCCGTTTCCAAGGCCGCTGCCGAGAAGGCTGCCGCAGAGAAGGCGAGCCAAAAGGCCAAGGGCGCCAATGGTTCCTCGAAGCGCAAGCACGATGCCTACAGTATGGATGACGACGTCGACACGGATGGTACAACCAGCGGCCCGGCGAGCAAGAAGATACGGGTAGCTGAAGCTCCGCCAAAGTTCCCGATCCGGCCTGTCAAGAAGCCCACCAAGGCTCCACCACCGAAAAAGGTTGTGACGACGACAAAGGCCGCCCTGGAAGCTTTGGCTGCCAATGCAGCAAGAATTGCCCGACTCACGAAAGCTTCGCATGCTGCGAGAGCTGTGCGGATCGCGAAGGCCGAGGCTAAGAGAGCGGCCGAGGCTGCAGCAGCAGGAAAGGCTAAGCGCACGAAGGCAAAGACGTCCAAGCCGGCCGCGTCTAAGACAGGCAGTGCTGCATCCAAGCCTGCCAAGGTCGTCAAGGTGGCCAAGTCCGTCAAAGTCGTCAAGACCGCCAAGGGCCTGAAGGCCTCCAAGTCGTCTGTGTCGAAGGAGGTCAAGACAACGACAAAAGCATCCAAGACAGCCAAGCCTACCAAGGCCACCAGAACAACCACAGCTTCCAAGCCCACCAAAGCTACAAAGTCACCGGCACGCAAGCCAGCCGCTTCGCCGACCAAGAAGACCAAGGCCGCTGAGACTCGGAAGAAGGCAACGACACCGCCCGCCGACGATGTTATGAACAAGGAGCCAACGACGCCGCAAGCGACGCAAGCAACGCCCATGGCCCAGGCCGTCGCCAAGGCGGCGAAGGCGGCAGCACAGCTCGCTAATGCTGCCATTTCGGCCAAGAAACCGATCGCCTCTCGGAAGACTAGCAAGGCTAACAGCAACGCATACGCCCGGGCGAAGGTGCCTGTCAAGCCTCTGAAGAAGTTGCAGACGAAGCAAAAGTCCACGGTCACTACGACCAAAAAAGCCGACGTCACAACCACAACCACGACGACTGTGACCACCACCTCCAGCGACACCATTCTGAAGCGCGGCCGTGGTCGCCCGCGGCTGGCTACAAAGGAAACCGTCGCTGACGAGCCAATGAATGATGCAGCTGACGAGGCAGCCTCGGATGAGGTTTCAGAGCAGGCGCCTGTTGATTTGTTCGCGTTGGACGACGAGGAAGAGCAGTTGGCCACCCAGTTCGCCACCGAGGCCGCTGCAAACACGCACAGGTCTCTTGATTTCACTGTTGGTGATTCAAATGTTGGCGACTCCACACTTGACGATTCAATGCTCGATGACTCCACACTTGAGTCAGGCGAAACAGACGATGCCTCATCTCCAGTTCAGGGTGGCCTGAAGCTCAGAAAGCCGCGTGTACGAAAGCTGTCAAAGGCGCAAAAGCTCAGAGTCAAGCGCCAGCTGGTGGCCGCTAGGCGCCTTGCCGCCAAGCAAGATGGAAGCTACAAACCAAAGCGTGGACCTGGTCGCCCTAGAAAATATGTCAAGGTTGCGGTCCTGCAAAGTGACAACGACACACCTATGGCTGAGGCCTCGGCTGATGTCCCAGGCGATATCCTGATCGATGCTACAACTGACGCTCCTGCTCCTCTCCCATCAGCGCCAGCACCTGTTGAAGCTGGCCTGTTGGCGGAGGCAACAACCACGGAATCTGCGCCGCGGATCACCAAAACTCGGGTTGAATATGGCGTCGCTCGCAGAGCCGATGTGGAAGAGTTCAAGGCTGCTCGCGCTCGAGCCAAGGCTAGGATGGAGAGAATGAAAGTCGCGGTCGGCGCCGACGAGAACACACCGCCTGTTGAGCAGGACGGGCAAGATGCGCTCAGCCCTCCTTCTGCAGCAACCAAATCGGCTACCCCGGTTGTTGCACATGATGTCATTCACGTTGCACCTGACATGCGCGTTCAACCGGTCTAGAAGGCTCGTTGGTTCACGCCGAGAGTGAAAATCATTTGCGATGAGCCCATGGACACCGACGACGATTAATATTTACGCGCTGCATGGTGGTCTTGTCAGGACGAAGACCCGACCTTGTTACACGATTCAGCGAGTGACCCAAGGGCATTTCAACACGCTCCTTGGCCCCTAGCCGCTTTACTTTGTGTCGCGTTTGCGCCCTGCGTTTATGTGGCCACCCATCCGCCCACCTGATGTGGCGGGTCCACTGGTCTTTTGTCAGTTGAGCTTGTTGAGCGAATTTTGGTCTTTGGTAGTTTTGCTTGCTTTTATTTTACTTTTCTATTTTTGGAGTCATGTAATTTTCTGCAACTGCGGGCATCTGGACGATTTTCTCAGTTTTGTCATTTCGTTTGATATCTTGTCATATGTTTTCTACTCGCCCAGCTTTGATTTCCTCTGACAGCCGACTCTTCCTAGCGTTTGCATGTATTCACTCTTGATAGAAGGGGATTTGATTGTTTTATTTTCCGGTTCGACGATTTCGGTTTCTTTGAGCGCAGGAAGCACTGCATCTAGATGGCTCGGGCGCAGCGTGGATAACGATTCTCCCTCGGCATTTGTTTCTTGCACTTCGCTCATGGAATAGTCGCCGTATTATTATTGGACGGACGGAGACGGCAGGGAGGATGACGAAATTTCCCTTCTTCAGCTAAAAAAGCTTGTTGCATCTTTTATCTCTGATTTTTCATACTCTTCTTGCTACTTTATATTTGGCATCGATTCGCCAATCGCTCTCGCTGAGCCTGTCGCGCAGAAATACTGCACCAGGTGCAGGCGATCACCGTCATGTGACGAACACGTTCTACCAACGACGCTGCCCAAAACAACGACGAAATGGCATGCCTCTGTCTTGGTAGGCCGCCTTATAAATGTTGGGCGGCAAACAACGACTGCTGGCTGGTCGAAATCAAAAGGGCGTTGATAGGACGCTGTTCTGGCAATTATGGCCGTCTGGGTCGGCCGGCCGCGGCCAAGCCTTGCTTATGATGGCTGCAGGGGCATGTTTGTGGCACAAACAAAAGCGGCTGCCGGATATCTTGCAGCATATCTTGCAGGACATCTTGCAGCGCATCTGGCAGGAAGCGTCTACCAATTATCAGCCAAAAGCGCAACACCATTTTCTCGCCCACCGTTTTGTTTCAATATGGATATTGTTTATATGGCTCCCTCGCCATAGAAAGCCGAACGAACTCGCCAAGTTTTTGCTCAAGCTTCCTGTCTTCTTTATGTCTTCTTATCCTACTTTTTCTTTACTTCGTCTCGGGTATATTTCCGAATTCACTGCGTCAGCCGTTCCTAATACGCCAAGGAGTAAGTCTGCACCCTGGGCCACCTCCGTTCGACGCTTGTCACGGCCCCCAAAATTTACGCGGATGCTATTTTCTGGCGATGAGCGCTTATACTGTCGCCGTGCTGTTCCGTCTCTATTTTCAAGCATTGCCAGAAGAAGCGAGATCTACCGCCGACCAGCGGACACACAAACACCGGCCATGATTTCTCCTGGGCCTGTGACGGCCAGTGGCCTCACACCCTTTGGGTTGGCGTTTGTTTTACTATCTCGTTTACTTTGTGTTTCACTTCTGTGGCAGGGGGGGAGAAATCAATTTCTGTCACCGAGCACTTCCATCCTCCCCAGTATCATACTCTGAGACCGAGAATAGTGCTCTCAGCCGTCTACGATGCAGCAAACTCCCAACAAAAATCATTTTTATTTGCTTTCTTTGCAAAAGAAAAACAAAGTACAAGCCACAACAGGATTGTTTTTAGACCACGATTTTATGAATAGGCCTATTTCTCAGAATAGGAATAGGACCTGGAGTGGTTACTGATGCTTGGGTTCTTTTATTTTAGCCTTTCAGTGTGCTGGGTAATGATAGTCAGAATAGAGGATATAGAGGATAGAGACAAATATTCAATATGGCCACTGGATACAATATGGCACGACTGGTCCCAGCCATAGAGAGGCCGTGTAAGTGCAACGCACCGCAAGGCCATCCCGCGCGCTTCACACGCTCCGTGGCGGTGTCTTTGGGCATGCCCTTGTTTCTTCGAGGAGTCCACGTCGCCTATTTGCATGACAACCGCTCAACCTCTGTGGCTTGTAAGTCGGAGACGGTCGACACAATAGGTCGCTATGAGCGAGGCACCATAGCAGGCGGACTGTCTTTGCGTGTAGGTCACCACTTAACTAGGAGGCGGCCGTCGACAGGGCCGTGGCACTGCAGTCCACTGACGAACAAGGCACAGCAAAACGGTACAAAGGCGACTGAATAAAGAGACAAAGTGCTTTGAGGTCGTGAAAGACAGCCAACATCAGGACAAAAAGTAGACCGGGAGGGAGCCATAATCGGCCATTGTACAGAGGCGCATGTAGGCAAAGGAGGCATCAAAAGACGCCCACAGAACGCCTACGACGAGGTGTAATCGAAATAGCCTTCAACATCTCATATTGGAGGGCTGTGATGTTATGATAGATTGGAGGTCGCAGAAAAGTATAAAAGGGCAGGACATCGCCCGCCGTTTGGATGCTTTACACTTTCTTTTCACACGCATCACCTTCTTCGTATCACATCACCACCATTCTAGTCCAGGACTTTCCTACAGGTGCGGCTCGCTCCTGACCTTGCCTGTCTGAAAGTCACTTGAACGCTTCCTCCTCCGTCACTTATATATATATATTTTGTATTGGTTTTGATTTTTATTATTTGTTTTTCTGACATTGTTTATTCTCCCGCTTCTTGCAACTCTTCAATCGTGTGTTGATTTATCTGTGCCGTCTTGTCCTGCATTGTTTTCGTCACCATCACATATCAACGTCGAACAAACCAAAGAACCCAAAAAAGCACAAAAAAAAAAAAAACAATGGTCTCTCACAATACTGAGGCGACTAGGTATGCACAATTCATTCAACATTCCCCTCGACGCAAATGTATCTCGACTAACATATCTCACTATAGGCCAAGCCCTACCACCAGCCCCGAGAGGGTGGTTTCCGACCAAGACTTGGTCGAGTCTCCTTCGACAATTAGTCCCCCGGCTCTTTCTGGGACAGTGGACGCCTCCCGTCTTGTCACCGCTCCCCGCTCGCCTGGCACCCTCGAGGTTCCTCCCATGACGGGGCCCATTGAGTTCGCCGACTGGGAGCCGATGATGCGTAGCGTCTCTGCGCGACGTAACATGCGGCTTGGGCAAGTGGAGGAGCAGCAGCAGCAGCAGCAGCAGGAAGAGGAGAAGATTGCCCCCCACGCCGCCGGCGACGAAGAGGACGAGGATGCGGACTTCCTATACATGCGAAACCGAGCCGTTGGCGACAGCGACGACGGTGACTCTCTGGCGGTGAAGTACTACACTGGCAGCGGCACGAACAGCAACAAAGGCGCCGTCGACACCAACATTGACCCATTACCGGGCCGGGTTCGTCGCCATCTGCGTCGTGTTTTCGCTCGGCTCTCAGACATCCGAAGCGCGCAGCGCCCCGAGACGCACGACGCCCAGCAAACCCCCCGGGCAGCCGTCCCAGCTGGCGCTGACGAGAATGATGTGGCAAGCGGCAGCGGATGCGGCTCGAGCTTCGGGTCGAGCCGCAATGGCTATCTCGCCGATGGCGAAGACCCCAGCGTTGGCTCAACGGCCCACCAGACCGTCGTCCGACCCCACAGACGCAGCCACAATTACGACAATGCAACGTACGGCAGCGGCCATCGTGGCAACAATGCCGACGACTATCTCTACGCGCCAGAGGACATCTCTGTGAACCCCAAGGCGCCTGTTTTCCCGGGCGTGGACGATGACGATGGAGCGCATCAAGGCGGGCGTCTCTCTGAGCCCGGACGCCAGGCGTTTAACATTGAGGTCGCCGACGACACGGCTGTCCTGGCAGCGGCGCTTGTCGCGTCGGCGTCTTCTTACTACTCTGCCTACAACTCTGCATACAACACTGCACGTGGCCCTGCGGCGATGTCCGAGGCAGATTCCGACCCCGACAACCAGCGGGTTCCCCAGCCGCCTCCGGCGTCTGAACTGGATCTCAAGGACGGGTCCTACGTCCCGTTGCATCCTGCTGCCCAGCCCCTTCCCTTTGATGGTTCCCTGCCTGGCAACAGTCTGTCTGACGTGACCGGGGCGCGCCCGCCTGCTCGTCGCATCCAGTTTGACGTGCCGCCGCCGCCGCTTCGGCGCGAGCGCAGCCACTACTATCCTTCCGCGTCCAGCGTCTACCACCGTCTCGACGTCGCTGACGAGCACAGCACGCGCATCCGCCCGGATGAGTCGTATCTCGGCGCCGTCCCGATCGGTCCGCCGTACCCGGTCGACGACGACGACGATTTTTTCAGGCCGCCATCGCCGGATTACCTCTTCGGGGGCGGTTTCGAGCACGGCTCTGACGACGGCTTCGCGCACAGCTTTGAGCGTGAAGACGAGCGCGAAGGCGAGCGCGAAGGCGAGCGCGAAGACGAGAGTGCAGATGAGCGTGACGACCAGAGTGAATACGAATGGCACGACGAGCGCTCGCTGCAGCGCTCCACCAGCCCCGAGTCCACGCGCAACCTGGACCCCAGCCCGGACTGGTCCTCGGACTCGATCTCGAGCTACATCACATGTTCGTCGTGCGACACCCCCTTGCCCAACCCCATGTACATTGGCTGGTACCGGCCCCGGTCGCCCTCGTTCTATGACGACGACGGCAATGTCCGTAACGATGGCCGTCGTCGCCGTGGCCGTGGTCACCGTGACCGTGGTCATCGTGACCGTTAAACAGTCCGTCGTCGACGTGTACCTCATTCAATTCTCGCTCGAGATCGTCCTTGTCCGCCTTTGATCCACGTCTGCTGTTTGTTTTGCTACTTTTCCTTTTTTTCTTTTGTCCTTCGTCACCTGCTTTCATCATGCCTTGGACAAATTGACAATTGTGAGAAGAGTGGAGGAATATCTGCCATTGGTATTGTTGGGTTCCTAGTTCTCGTCCCCCTTTTGTTTACTTTCCCTACTGCACCATCAGACTGTCATCACTACCTCGTATTTTTCTTGTCTTTGCGCACCATAACACGTTTCCATTTATTCCTTTCGTTTCACGTTTTATGGTCCACCTGCCCATCTTCCTTTTCTCCATTTTGCTGCTCTCACCGAAGCTCTTGCATCTCAACACCGCTCGACAGCACGACTTTCTCCTTTGTTATTTGTCAGACCCAACCATCCTACAGTCCTTACTTCACGCACGTAGATAGCTACTTCACTGGGACTCTCCCTCTATGCAATACACACATTTCCAGTGCCTTTGTGATTTACCCTCTCGCATGATGTTATATTATACTATAGGTGACAAGATGCTTTTATATTGTATTCCTATCCTAAATAATGGACCGTAGCTCCCAAACAGCCAAATTCAAACAAAGTATGGTACTTCTCCAAACGAAGAAAAACCACAGGAATGCTTCGCCTGCGCCAATGCTTGCCCTTTCCGTATATAATCGTACACAAACATACCGCAATGCTTCCATCCACCTTTCCATCTTCGCTCCCATTCAGCTCTGGGTATCATAATATCAATCTCATGTCTGCTTTATGCACCATTCTTTTCCCCTACCGCCCATACGAAGGCGCCTCAAACGGGAACGCCTCCTCGATCATCCGGTTCGCCGACATTGACAGCTTGCTCTTCTCCTCAAGCGATGCGTACTGAAGGTCGTTGAGCGACGTCGGCGGCGGCAGCGGCGCCGCCTCGTCCGCCTCGCTAAACACAATCGTCTCCAGCACCGTAAAGTTGGTCCAGTCGATCCGCGCCAGCTCCTCCTTGGCCACCACCCGCGCGTGCTCCTCCTTCTTGCGCTGCGACGCCTCCCAGTCCCGGTACGCGATGCGCTGCTTGGCCCGCAGCAGGATCGAGAAACGCTCGTCGGCGTTTTTGCGCAGGAGCGCGAGGCGGTCCGCCGACGACGTCGCCGGTGCCTTGTCGCCCTCGCCCTCGCCCTCGGCCGGGGCGGCCCCCAGGTCCTTGTGGATCAGCGTGTACTGGTCGACCATGTGCTGAAAGTAGCTGTGCAGCGAGTGGTTCGGCAGCAGGAACTGGAACTGCGCATTGTTGACTTCGCGCTGCAGCAGCTGCGTCATAAACGGCCGCCCGTGCACCGCCACAAACGACGCCGCCAACCGCAGCACATCCAGGTCCTTGGCGTTCATGATGGGCAGGCGTGCCGAGAACGCGTAGTCGGGCGGCTTCTCGGGGCCCTTGGGGCCGTCGGCGGGTGTGCCACTTGCGCCCGCCTGTGCGGCGCCACCCCCGGGCGTGCTGCCGGCCCCGTCCCCCACCCGACCGGCCGCCACAGCCGTCACCCGCCCTGACCTGTACTCGTCTTTCCGCCATTCGTAGTAGGCGTGGAACGCGTCGTCCGGGTTCGTCACAAAACTGAATTTCGGGTTGTTGCTGTGGTTCTCGCGCAGCCGCGCCTCAATGCCCGCACCGCCCCGCACCGCATAGCCCGCCGTCTTCTCAATCACCTCGCGCATCTCGCCCGGCGGCGGCATGATCACGCCGGCCGGCGGCTTGATGCGGTCCAGCGTCGCGGTCGCTGCCGCCACCGCGGCCGACAGCGCGGCGTTGTCCGACGCCATTGCAGGGAGGACAGAGAGGCAGGATACGAGCAATAGAAGAGGTGCGACGGTATTGAAAGATTGGACGGAAGAACAGGGTGTGCCGTTCGGTGGTCGTGAAGCTGTTGTCGTGTGTCGTTCGATGGGGGGTGATATAAGAAGCGTTTTGCGTGCAAACCCGCTATAAAAATTCGCGAGGCGAGCACACGCTAGTGTGGAGCCTTGTCTCTGCAAATATGATCACGTGTCATGACTAATAAATACAACGGGCTGTCAACATCGTTTGACAAACATGAGACGAATGTCAACAATGACATTATAAGTTCGGGGAGGCCACTGCATGGACTCAATTTTACTTTGAAGAACTGAAAATGCGCTGCTCCACAAAACTAAACGGGGTGTTTTCTTCTTCTTGGTAGAGCTGGAATAGCTGGAAATCTGTCTCCCTCGGTAATGATATTGCTTTGCTACTCAAAATACATACACGGATATTTCACGACACGAAACAGAGCAAAGACACAATTGTCGACACGGTCAGATCGCATGCTCGGGTTTTGAATTGTGTCTATCTGGCACAGGCCAGAGCGCGAGGCTGACGTTTCTGGGACAGCGATGAAGGCCGTTGGCCACCGCCCAAACCGAATAGGCGGGGCAAGCAGCTGGGCCAATAGGAGCACTAGTATGATGATGGTCGACAGGCGCTGTGGCCCCCGCAAATGTCAAGTCTCCCAGTACGACATATGAATACGAACTAATTACGTCGTAATACTTCTGACTTGGAATCGGATGTGGCATTGCGCAAAACGCTCAAAACACGGCACACGACCATCCACTGCATTCTTTCGGCCTTCTCAGCCGCCTGTCGCGCTCTCGCACGCCCATCGCGCATCGCCAGCAGGCTTCCCCTCACTCGATAGAAGCCCCCATTTGCGATCGATATCGTCTCAACAGGCCGCTGCCTTGACGACAGCCTGCTCTCCTCTTCCATTCTCAGGCTCCAGCCTCACCCTCGCACCCAACCGTCACAACGGCGTCACCAGCAAAAGACACGTCCCGCCCACCAGCCGCCAGCGCCGGCGTGGCATCCCCCACCTCTCCGTCCGCTCCGACCTCCCCGACGTCCCCGTCCTCGTCCTCCTCCCCGCCACCCGCCTTCGCCAGCTCCCTTCACCGGCCCATCATGCAGACCCTCCCCGAGAGCCGGCCACAGTCGTTTGACGAGATCTACGGCCCGCCCGAGAATTTTTTGGAAATCGAGGTCCGCAACCCCCGCACGCACGGCGTCGGCCGCCACATGTACACCGACTACGAGATCGACTGCCGCACCAACATCCCCGCCTTCAAGGTCCGCCAGAGCGTCGTGCGCCGCCGCTACAGCGACTTTGAGTACTTCCGCGACATCCTCGAGCGCGAGAGCGCCCGCGTCACCATCCCGCCGCTGCCCGGCAAGGTCTTTACCAACCGCTTCAGCGACGACGTCATCGAGGCGCGGCGCGCCGGCCTGGAAAAGTTTCTCAGGATTGTCGTCGGCCACCCGCTGCTGCAGACGGGCAGCAAGGTCATGGCGGCCTTTGTCCAGGGTACGTTGAGAGAACCTACGGAGCTGCAGGCAAAGGACGTACTGTGTGCGAAGCAAGACTGCTGACATCTACAGACCCCAACTGGGACCGGAACGCGTGGTAAACAGACGGGTCATTTTTATTTTTTGACTTGAAACCTTGACAATGCGGGCGGGGGAAGTGGACGAGACGTGAAAATGATGGGACGGTGAAGTGAAGCAGCGCAAAGGGGATGAACGTTTGTTGTAGCGGTTGTCCAGCATCTCCTGTCGTGATGCCTACAGTTTCTGTTTTGTTGTATTCCTCCTACTCCTTTTTTTGTCATTGCAAATATTGTCGTTTTGTGCTTCTTTACTTGTTTATGCCTATCCATAGCTATGATTCATTCCTCGTTATCACCGGACGATGCGTTGCGACCTTGGCGTCTTTTGTTCACTTCTCGAGCTTTGAGAAACCTGCTTTACCTCCTACAGCCCTATAGTTGACCCATGCACTGTACATCGAACAAGAATGGCACGCAGCTGAGTAGTATTAATCATCAAATGCAAATATCTCCAGTTCAAAGGTGCTGATACAGATAGAGTTCATCACAGCTGAGTCAACCATGGCCTTAGCCGCAGGGCTTGTAACGCAGCTTGATCCTTGACAAGCTAAACATTTCGGAATATGATCACAATGGAGCAGCTTCTGAAAGATACAAAGGATGTCCAGTACAGCTCTGCGTCTTATCGTAGGAGTTTCATGTACCACGCACGTTTTGCAACAAATCGTACCAAGTTCACGAGGCAGGCGGCAGAAGCTTTAGTGGGGCGACCGTTGTGGCTCTTTCCCTGGGTCCGTCTTCTTCATGCTTACTTCGTAGTCTTGTGGTGTCAGGGAAGTCACATTCGGCGCCTCCTTCCCTCGAGACGTATGTTGTGCAATGTGAAAAGAAACTGCCCAAATCGTACGAGACAACAACAAACGATCAAAATTGCCTCATACTGCCTCCTCGTCTTCAACGCGCAAACCATCGCCTGTGGCCGCCTTTCCGTCGTTCCATGAATCTTAAAACAAAGCTTGGTCCACCCGCTCCCCAGCGCTTTGGCTCAAAGCGGCTAATCCAACGTCCACCACCCGCGCAACCGACGTCAGCACTGGCCAATCCACGCGCTAATTGCCTGCACACGGCTGAAAGTCGCCCAGAAGCAGAAGTACCAAACAGGACAGCAGTTCATCTTTGGCGGGCACGAAACCGCGTCCTTTCAGCGAAGCTCCCGCAGTCCGCTTATCGAACCTGCCATCCCTCCTTTACCCTTGCACTGGTCTGCAGACGGATATGGAACTGCGGACTTCGTCCGATCACGCGTGAATTTGAGTGGGAACCAGCGCGCGGACCGAATCGTCTCCGATAGCGAACCTCCTACGGATCCCCTCCCTCATCCCAGCAACGGCCGGTCCCTCCTCCGCCATTCTCGACCGCCCCCCACTATTTGCAAGACGTTCCTCTGCCTCAACCGTCCTCCACCGGGCCGACGTCTCCGCGACCATGGCTAGTTTCACGACCTTCCTGCTCGTCTACCTCTTCGGAGGCCTGACGTTTCTCCCTCTCCTGCTGGCGGCGGCTATCTATGCCTGGACGCGGCCTGTGGAGTCAGATGCACAGACTAGCTCGGACCCGACAACAAAAGATGGCGGTCGCTTACCGACAGGGCAAGACAACTACAAATACGACGGGTTGGTTCTGCCGGGTGACGACGTCAAGACGCTCGAGGCTGTACGGCGAGAACATGCCCAGGAACGCAGCGACGGCGCGGCCAAGAAGCACAAACACCGCCAGGACCCGGCCGACGACTTTGCGACCGCCGGCTACTTTGCTGTGCACCGCAAGTATGTTGCCATGGGCGGCAACCTACGGCCCATTGAGCGCGGCTCGTCGGTGGGCGCGGCCGAGGTCGCCCCGCCCAGTCCCAGCGTGTACCAGACCTTCTTCCGCAGCATGCTGAACAAGAAATCCGACCCGACCAAGGTCGAGGTCAGTAATGCCGCCAGCCCACGGCCCAAGAACGCACACAACATGTTCTACGTCGTCCTCCGCCACGGCCATTTGATCCTTTTTGACGACGACCAGCAGGTGGACGTGCGCCACGTCATCAAGCTCGCCGACCACGACGTCGGCATCTCCTCAGGCGCCGATGTCGTCCCTGAGGGCGAGCTCTTCATTAAGCGGAACGCCATCCACCTTGCGCCCAAGAACCACGAGCGGGCAAAGGCTCATAACGCCCCGGCACCCCGACCCTGGTTCTTTTACTGCGAGAACTGCTCCGAGAAGGAGGACTTTTACTTTTCGCTGCTTCGCAGCCTGGACAAGGCACCCAAGCCGCACGAGATCGACGTCCGCCACCTCACATCGTTGATGGAGAGGCTGCACGCGTCCGAAGAGGCCGCCGACATGCGCTGGCTCAACGCGCTGCTTGGACGCCTGTTCCTCGGCGTGTACAAGACGTCGGACGTCCTCAAGTTTGTCGAATCCAAGGTCGTCACCAAACTCTCACGCACACCCCGACCTGGCTTCATCTCGAGTCTTGTCGTGCAGCGTGTCGACATTGGCGACACGACCCCCCAAATCACATCGCCCCGCCTGAAGAGCCTGACCGCCGAAGGCGAGTGCATTGTCGAGGCCGATGTTCGATACACCGGTCGGTTCGAAATTGACCTGGCTGCCACTCTCCGCGTGAGCACGCCCATCGGGCAGCAGGAAGTCAAGACATCGTTGGCGGTCGTCTTGCACCACCTCGAGGGCCATATGCTGTTCAAAGTCAAGGGCCCACCCAGCAACCGCATCTGGTTTACGTTCCGCCACATGCCCAAGATCGAGATGGAGACACGCCCGATTATCATGGCCCGCCAGCTGACCTGGCCCGTCTTTATCCAAATTATCGAGGGAAAGATCAAAGAGGCCATCTCCGAGAGCATTGTGCTCCCCTTTTGGGACGACACGCCTTTTTTCCCGACCGAGAAAAAGGCGTACCGCGGCGGCCTGTGGGAGGACGCGTCGGATGCCGAACACGAAGGTACAGCCATCCGGACAGAAGCGGCTGGTGGTGTTCATGTCGAAACCGGTGCTGGGATCGATCCACCATCGATGGACACAGGCCATGCTTCTGGCACCGACACGAAGACGGCGTCCACGACAGGTGTGGCATCGAACACGCCAGAGAACGACGAAAACGTCTCGCCTGCCGTGTTGCGCCTACGGCGTCTTAGCAAGACCCACAGTGCCCCGACCAGTGGCACCGCGTCGCCAAACGCCCCGGCAACCGCGGCATCGGGCGAGTCTGCCATTTCGGCAGCAGCCAAGGTCATCAATAGAAAACAGCGCTCAGGTGATGCCAGCGAGACGAGTTCTGCCGGCATGCCTCCGCCCAAGAGGTTCTCCCGTACAACGTCTTCTCTTGCCAGCCCGTCGGAACCCATCGTCGGCACAGATACATCCCATGCCGAGGCGTCCATACAGTCGTCCTCGCCGCCGAAGAACGGCAAACCGAACACGGCCATGTCGTGGCTGTCCTCCGGCACGCTCCGAAGCAGAAAATCTAGCGTATCTTCCATGGAGTCGAGCACGGCTGGGCAGACTGCAAGCCGTGCAACCGATAGGCTGCGCAGCAACAGTAAAGACGAAGAAGACGAGGGGGGCGACTCTATGTTCCCCGTCAGCGACGCGGAAACGCCTGGCCGAGGATCAAAGGCTATGCGTGCTGATGCCGCTACGACTGGCGACGGCAGTGAATCGGGGTCTCTCGATGACCGGTCTATCAAGTCACGATCTGGGCGGACGTCTTCCACGTCGTTGGCGGGCATGGCCGGTTCAGGCTCAGGCCCCATATCTTCGCTCGGGCCCGCGTCTTCGATGGAGCCATCCTTCACTACGACGATTACTTCCGACTCCGGAACGCCTCCCGCCAAGCGCAGTGCCGTTTTGGCTGCGGCCATGACAGGTGCTGCGCAGTCGGCCAAACGCTGGGGCATCAATGCCTTGCAGCGCCGTGCGGCGGCGGCTGCTGACCGCAAGGCAAAAGCAAGCCTAGAAAGCCGGACGGCGAGCAATGGCGAGCCGCTCGACCTTAGCAAACCGATGGGTGGCGGAATGCCTCTCCCGCCCCCGGGCGAGCCTTTGCCCAGGCCCGGCGAGCTCGCTCTAGCCAAGGATGGAACTTCTTCTACAGCTTCGTCACCACCACCTCTGCCTGCACGGATCACGCCGATTAAGCGCCGGCCGACGACCGAATCGGTGTTTCACAGCCAGAACCAGTCACAGATGCATGTCCCAATGCACAAAGAGCAGCAAATCAAGAGGAAAGAAGTCCATTCGCAAGCGCCCGTGCGGAAGCCGGTTCACCAGGACAGCAATACCCCTCCCCATCAACATAAGCGTGCACAATCGACGACGTTTGATGAGATTCTGGGCCTGCCGCAGCAAAGTTCACCTGCAAACGGACACCAAGCGCAATACATGTCGCGTTACGACGAGCAGGAGAACATGATGGTCGTTGAGGCGCCTATCGACTCAGCATCCGACGAAAGCGATGAGGACGAAGCCCCAGTCACCCGTGACGGAGAAGGAGAGTCTCCTAGCCATGAAAGTAGTAGCCTACACGAGCCAGCAGAGCCGCCTCATCACAATCCCGCAAACGAGACGAATGATATACCCCGTGCTGAGGCGGACAGCCACGAAAGTGCTGAAACGACCAGTGGCATTCAAGACGGCCCCGAGAGGAGCGGGCGTGAAAGTCCTACCCTGGAAGATGACGAAGACAAAACGAATGGCGGCGTTGGCGATGCACAGTGGGATACTTTGGCCGAGTCTGTTGCCAGTGCCTTGCTCGGAAGCGAAGACGGTCAGCTCTCGAAGGCGCATGGTGCTACAGAAGCGCACGATTCGCATGACGAACCAGAGAAGAGAAGCTCAAAGGCCTCCCTGGTTGCGACTTTGCAAGAAGACGATGAGGATTCCGTTGATGCCAAAGAAGCACCGGCTGCTCCCCTTGAGAATGAGCCAGCTTCGACCTCTACATGAGAGACAGCACCTGATGATGTAGTCTTATTGCCTGCTTTGCACTCCACTTCTGTACGATATGATAGCGTTTGCCACAGGAATGGTCTGTCTTCTTCTTTTATGTTTGTCTGTATAGGAGCCTGACAAATATAAAGCTTACGGGATGTCACAGAGTATATGGATCCACTCAAATGGAAGGCATTGTTTTCAAAGTATTTCACGTTCTATAAATGGCTGTCATTGAATCGCTATGCAAGTGAGTACGATGATAAATACAATACAAAGAAACCCCGGCACGGGCGCGAATCCAAGGCCGCGTATCACATGGACATATCAGTCGTCCCGCGAGCTCCGTTCCTTCTTCCGTTTCCGCGGCGGCGACGAGTCCCTTCGCCTCCGGTCGTCGTCGGACGGTGCGTCACCCTCGTCGCCGGCTTCCTTGAGCATTCTCCGCTCTCCGCGGCCACTGTCGGCCTCCTCGTCCTTTTCGTCCTTTTCGTCGTTGTCGCCCCAGTCTCCCAGTCGCTGGCGCTCAGCACGCTCCCATGCAGCCTTGCCGTCGGCGCCCGTGCAGTAGCTGTTCCGCACAAACGAATGGCAGCACGCATAGCCCCACTGGAAGTTGCTCCACCAGCTGCCCCAGACCGACGTGTGGTTGAGTGGAAACACGTCCTCCGCGTACTTGGAGCGGTCGGCACGCTTCGCCTGGTACTTGTCCTTGACGTGGCCGGACTCGTCGTATTCGACAAAGTGCTCCGACGAGGCCACGGCCGTGGCCAGTAGCGCCGCCTTTTTCTTGGCCGCGAGCTGCACCCTGCTCTCCTTCTCGTCGAATCCGGGAATGTCGTCGGACGGAGCGACGCCGTACTTTTCCCGCATCAGTTCGTCCATCTCCTTTTGCTTCCTGCGCGCTTCTTCTTGGTCCATCTTGCGGCGGTGCGCGGCCGCGGTCGGATTGGCTTGCATGTGCAAACTGGCGTCGCCGGTCTTGTCGTGCACCTCCCAGGCGTACCGCTCGGCCTTTTCAAACGCCTCGGCGTCGCCGGAGGCCTTGGCAAAGTTCTCCTCGGCAAAGAGCCGCGCCGAGTCGTCGAGGAACGCACCGCCGTCCACAATCTTGCGCCGTTTCGGGTCGTACTTGGCCGAGTCGACGTCGAGGTTGACAAGGTACCGCGCCGTGTCTTCGCGCATCCGCAAATCGGCCGCGCCGTTCTTTCGCGACACGCCCAGCTCCGTGTCTTCTGTGTACCGCGTGCCGTCGTCGCCGGCCGCTTGGACCAGCGCGCCACCGTCTCCGCCCTCTGCGCCATCCTTGCCTGGGCCGCCACTGCCGCCACTACTACTGCCGGCGGCGGCGGCCGTGGCTTTCTCGACCAGCACGCGCCGCGCCTCGTTCATGCGCTCCCGCTGGGCCATCATGCCTGCATAGTCGCGCGGGTCGAAGCCCAGCCACCGGTCGCGCTTCGCGTCCCAGCTCAGCTTGACGTCCTCGACCAGCTCGTCCGCCTGGATGTCCTCGCCCGTGTACTTGGCCAGCCGCGCGCGCGGGCGGTGGAAGCAGTCGCGCTTGGCGTGGCTCATGGAGCCGCAGTTCTCGCAGGCGCCCTTGCGGTACTTGGTGGCCACAGGCCCGGCATTCTTGCCGCGCTGGTACCACTTGGAGTCCTGCTCGGGTTTCCGCAGGCGCTGGTGCTCGAGGTAGTCGCGTGAGCCGGAGCGCGTGATGTTGGCGGTGCCCTCGGCGGCGCTGTCGGCGGCGGCGGAGGCGCTCTCTTCCTCTTCGTTGATGGCGTAAAAGGGCCGCTTCGTGATGAACTGCGGGATGTAGACGTTCTCCTCCTTGCGAGACGGCCCCGTGGCGGAGCGCGAGCCGCCGAGACGGTCGTCGCGCTCGTCGGGCGACTGGCGCCCGAGCATCGACATGGTGGCGTATGTGTGTGTGTCGACTTGTTTTCGGGCAGGTAGAGATATTGAAAGTCGATTGCTGCTCGAATCTCGGCCGATTGTGTGACGCAGGTTGTCGTCAGAGCTTTTGCTCGAAATGTCGAGAACTGAAGGGGTCTGCGACAGCGTGTTCCAGGCAGGGCTGGCAGTGGGCACCAGAAGAAAAAATAGGCTAATAATTCAGGCCTCGCCTTATCGCGTGCTATCGCCACCCAGCGCGGTCTTATCTTATCGCCGGGCCACTCCCTCCCATTGAAACATTTTTTAGGCCTGTTCTGACCGCGACGCATTGCCTACCCAAATTTCGGTGCCTCTTGCTCTAGGATAGGTTTTCTTTTTCTTTTTTTCCTTCGTCTTCCCACAACACCCCTTCCCCGGCGACCCGGCAGCCTGCAATGTGACCAGCAGGCCACTCCGAAACCATGTCACAACGAGCCATGTCGCAACGCGCAACCTCCGACGGCCTTGTAGGCTTCACCGAATCCACGGCGCCGGTCCGGCCACCAAAAGATGCGCCGGAGGCCTTCAACCCGCCTGGCACATCCCATGTCGAGAAAGGCGCCACGGCGCAACAGCAGCAGGAACTGCAGCAGCAGGGCCATGGCGTGGCCGTGAAGAACGCAAAGTCGTGGTCCCACATTGTGGCTGGAGCGTACGTCTCATCCTGCTTGGCTACCCGTCCACTACTATCCTGATCTAACAACTTGTCATTCTTACAGAGTCGGCAGTTTGGCCGCCGCAACAGCGACAGCGCCCTTCGATGTCATCCGCACACGCCTCCAGTCCGATTTCTACCAGCAGCAACTGCGCGCCTCGCAGATTGCCCGTCCAGCTTCACGAAACCCCATCGTCGCCGTCTCAAAACACCTCGGCGAGACGATGCAGATCTTTGTCACGGTCAAGCGCGTCGAGGGCTGGCGGGCGCTCTTCAAGGGCCTGGGCCCGACGCTGGTTGGCACCATGCCCGCCAAGTCCATCAACTTCTTTACGTACGGCAACGGCAAGCGCATCATTGCCGAGCAGGCCCACGTCAGCCAGGACACGCCCTGGGTCCAGCTCGTCGCGGGCATCTTTGCGGGCCTGGTGACGTCGACGGCCACCAACCCCATTTGGCTGATCAAGACGCGCATGCAGCTCGACAAGAACAGCGCCGACGCCAACCGCGGCATCGAGCGCCAGTACAAGAACAGCGCCGACTGCGTGCGCCAGGTGCTGCGGAACGAGGGCATCCGCGGCCTCTACAAGGGCATGACCGCCAGCTACCTGGGTGCCGCCGAGTCCACGCTGCACTGGCTGCTGTACGAGCAGATGAAGCGCGGGCTGGAGCGCCGCAAGGCGCGCATCGTTGCCCAGGGCCGCAAAGAGAACGCCTGGGACCAGTTCGTCGACTGGATGGGCCCGCTGGGCGGCGCCGGCGCGGCCAAGCTGTTTGCCTCCCTCCTCACCTACCCGCACGAGGTCGTGCGCACACGGCTGCGGCAGGCGCCCATGGCCGACGGCCAGCGCAAGTACACGGGTCTCGTACAGTGCTTTGTGCGCGTGTGGCGCGAGGAGCGCATCCCTGGCCTCTACGGCGGCCTGACGCCGCATCTCTTGCGGACGGTGCCTGCGGCCGGTATCACGTTCGGTATCTACGAAATCGTGCTCAAGATGCTCAACGCGCCGGAGCCATTATAATAGGCGCAGTTCTTAACAAAGGAAACAAAAAAGAAAAGAAAGAAAGAAACCCACGGTAAAGAATACGACGGCGACGACATTTGTATAACATGACCGAAAACGGGCTATCCAACGCAGGGCCCTTCTCACTCACCACTCCCCATTCTTAATGTATAGCTTGGCCGTGCAAGGCTTCAGCATGATTCGGGTACATATGCACGGGGACACATTCTCTCTCTTTGGCTAATAGACGGGGCCGGTGGTTCAAAACGAGAGGCACTTTCTGAGGCTGCATTGCATTGGCGTTTTCGGGTCTTGATTTTCATAGGAAAACATCGCATGGGGGTTTGTATAGTTACCAGCTACTATAGTTCCATTAGATTCCTCTCAGTATTATAAGTCTATACGATACATTTTCAACTTCTATCATTTTTGCTCTCATGTCGTTACTTACCATACGTCAAGTGACAGGTGTTGGGGCTATTGTTTCTTTAGAGGAGTCTGAAATAAAATACTCAAAAAGTAACACGATAATGCAACAGCGTAACAACTTGACCCAATAAAGACAAATCTATATTAATAAATACAGAAATAAACACTTAACAGTATTAAAATACCATAAAAATATAAGAAGGGATTACAGTCGTTTTATTTGAGATACTCTGTCGCGGTGTTTTACTTGGCGCCGTTCTGCCAGTCGCCACCGCCAAAATCTTTAGAAGCATTTTGGACATCCAATGGAAGTAACCCCACGCAAGTTTTCATGCCGACATCCGACGACACTTGTGAGCGGAAACAACAACCCAAGGCTTCCGCATTCCTTTCCAGAAGTCCCACCACGCTCTGTCGTCATGCAGCCCCCAAAGGATGTCGCTCCGAGAGTCCGCATCCGCGGCATGATCCTCACGGCCGGCATTGCCGCCATAACGATTGTCGGCACGCTTGTCGGCGCCGGTCTCAAGACGGATATGGAGGCCAAGGAGGTAAGAATATCGGAGGCACCTCGTTGCTTGCACCCCAGAATACGTGAATGCTGACATTCTTCTAGAAACGTAAGATGATCAATCAGCCTGCCGGCGAAGACGACCTGATTGCCGCTCTGGAGACCCGCCGCCGCGGCCTTGTCCAGACCCGCGCATCGTGGGAGAAGAAGGCCGAAACACTCCGTGAGCGCATGGAGAGCAGCGCGCAGCGCAGCATTGGCAGAGGAAGTGCGGGCGGAAGCTCGACGTCTGGAAAGTGAGAGACATTTGCTCGCTCAAATAGAAGACGCATCCCGACTATGCACCGTGCACGCCACCCATTTTGTCCCCGATGGTTCAAATATCGGCCATGTACGCTACGGAGGTGGCTAGGCACAAAGCTCCCAACACGCCGGTAGCCCTATAAGGAAACAACGAGCCGCGGGGGTCATGGCGAAACTCATCCGAGCCGTGCCGATGTGCACGATACCGCACTGGCCACGTGCATCAATGAGGCACTGTACTGTACTGTTGCCGTGACAGCCCCGAGAGAGACGCCGAGCAAGTATTCACAGTGAATTTGTTAGAGCTACTCTCATTCTGGAGACCTAGAAGCGAAGAATCAAAAGATAGATTGCTTTTCTTGCTGCCCTTGGGGTCTCGCCCAGAGACAGTTGATACCTATGTACTCCGTAAAAATAAACCTCGCCAATCCCAGCCAAATGCCAAACGCCGCCCAATGCAAAAAGTGTGATGTACAAATTGTAAAATAGTGATGTCGAATCACCACCGCCTTAGTCGCTTTCCTCGCCCTCCTCGGCGCTGCTGACCTCTTCACCGGCCTCGAGTGCTGCCTGTCTCCGCTTGGCCGCACGCTGCCGCTTGCGCTCCAGGAGCTTTGTGAGCCGCTTCGCATTGTTAAACACGCCCGTCGTGGCGGCGCCGCAGGCCGCACAGCTCGGGTCGCGCCGGTATCGGTCGAGCGCGCACTTTTCGCAAAAGTAGTGGCCGCAGCGTGTGATGACGGGCTGCTTATAGCTCTGGCGGCAGATGACGCACGCAAAGGGGATCTCGCGCAGCAAGGCCTCGTCTTCGTCATCGTCGTCCTCGTTGTTGTCCGCCGCCGAAGCGCCAAACCTTTTGCGGTCGGCGCTGGCCACGATGGTGCCGCCCAGGTTCTTCTTGCCCCTGGTCACGGCCTCCCACTCGCTGTCCAGCTGCCAGCCTTGCTTGTAGTCTTCGCGCGCGTGCAAGAACTTGCAGCTGTCGCCGAAACCACAAAAGCCCGTCTGCTTGTAGTCCTTGCAGACGTCCGGGCTGAAGTCGGTAAAAGTAATGGTGCGGATGTTGGCTGCCGCCTTGACAGGGCCGACCGACTTGGGCGGCGCGACGCCGCCCATCAGCGCGCCTGGCGTTGGTGCCGCTGGCGTGGCTGTTGCGGCCGTTTTGGCCTTGTTGTCCTTGTCGTCAAACATGTGGCTGCGCTTTGTGGCCACGTCCGTGTCGGCAAGGAGTGCGCTGCGGTCGGCATAGTGTTGTGGTTGCTCGAGCTCGGTCGGTGCTGCCACGCCGCTTTTTGAGGATGCGCCTTCTGTCGACGCACCGATCACGCCGGCCCCGTTTTTTCTTCGCCGCTTCGCTTCCCGGATCGCTCCCCGGCCTTCGTCGGACGAGTTGCCGGAATCGCTGTCGCTTTCGCTATTTGCTGGTGGCGGCGTTGGTGACCGTTTCCGCATGTTCGCTTTGCCCTTGCGGCCGCGCGCCTTAAATAGAACGGGCGCAACTGGGACAATGCCTTCGACAGCGCCGCTGCCGTCTGCTGCTGATTCCGACATGACTGTGATATAATGTGTGAATTTTTGGAGAGACGATGGCCGAGAATCTGGCTCAAGCAACGGTAGCTTTGCGTAGCTTTTAATGTAACAATATCCAGTCTGATATCAAGATCTGGTTGGTGGTAGAAAGCCACAGCCACAGATGGAAGCTTTTCGCCACACTTCACTCTGTTACATAAGCGAAATTTACAAGTTCACTCTTGCCACCTAGTTGCCGTTTTGGGGGCTGTTGGTCCTGGCCCCTTGTTTGGTGCTAGTGCAATGCTCCATGAGTGGGGCTCTGTGATTGGCCACAGCACTGGGTCTTGTGCAGGGGCGGCCAAATTGTCAACATTATGCACGACAAGCTTGCGACGCGTTCTGAGTGGATTCAATTGCCTGTTTTGTTTTCATGAGTCGCGGTCCGCCAGAAGATGGGATCAAAAGCAACATCAACCGCTCGCTCTTTTGACTTTGCATAGCATGGCCTTTTTTGAGCCACCATGGCTATGAGCGTCTGTTCAGATGCTTCAATGCTCTTGTTTTACCCACTTTATTTACCGTCGTAGTTACTACTCGACGTAGATTCGTCAAAGGAAGGCACGACTCACAGTTGCAAACTGCTGGAAGGTGCATTCCGGGCCCAGTTTCGCAGCACATGGGCCTCTCTCCGGCCTGGTCTCGCTCCTCCAGCATTCTTATAGCGTAATACTTCGTACGTGCGGCCGCTCCGTATTACTTGACCAATATGACTCGTACCCATCTGTGTGGACACCCTTGTCGAATTTGTTTTGTTTGCATCGCAACTATCTCATCCCAGACGACCGGCCGAAGTGAAGCACGCCGGTCTGTCGCTTCTTCCCTGGTCCCTGACAAAAGCTGTTCGTGCTCCGGTAGTGCAATAACACTCTTGGTAGTACATTGTGCGATGGCATGTTATGGAGGATGTACCCATGTCTGACTCTATCGCGCCTGCCTATCGTGTTGTCAACAAAAACCTCGTACTTTCCATCTCCGGAGACAGGATTTCCGCACATTCCTGCCCCCTTTTCGCTTCGTATCTTCCTCCTGTATCTTCTCTCTTTATTTCCCTTTGTAATATGTACTCTGTCTTTTCGCCTCCATTCCTTTTGTTTGTTTTTGTTCTCCCCTCCGCCTCGGTTCTTTCGCCATTCCTCTAGCTGCGGGGGCTGTGACAATCCTGAAGCCCAGTTTGCCCAGGTGCCAGTATAGTCAGTTCGCTGGTTCGGAAACGCGATCGACTACGAGCGACAAATCCAAGCGAGACGGTGCAAACAAACCGCACGGAAAAGAGCAGAGAAAATGAGAGAACCGACGTCGGCGTGTCCTCCTTTTCTGTAGCGTCCCGGTCCGGTGTCTCTGTTGTTTCTCAACCCTTCGCTTGTTGATACTACCCGCAAAGCACCGTTCTCAGGCCGCCGGTCATCCGTCCAGAACGCGTGTTTTGTTTCGCTGTCAACCTGCCCAGAGCCTCGCTTCTCCCGCTGTTTCTCTTCCTCTCACTGGAGCCACTCGGAAACCCACTGAGCGAATCAGACGGGACCTTGGCCAGACACGCCAATTCCAGATCAGCCTTAACCTTGCTTGGTCGCGTATTTTTTTTGCTTGTGCTTTTGGGCGTCCCCTCTCTTATTTTGCGTGCAATTCGCCATATTCCGCCTGGGGCCTGCTGTTTTCTTTTCTATCCCCTTCCTTACTTGCCTTTCCCTCTTGTTCTGGACGTCTGTTATTTCTTTCTTGTCTCTTTCTTTTCCCGCTTAGTTTCCTTACCAGAGTGTCTCGCCAAACGTTGACTTGCCTGCAGAACAGCGGAGCAAGGAACGGAGTGCATTCGGGGGACCTGAAGGAATTTATCCATTATTTTCCTTTTATTTTCTGTACCTGCTGTTCTACCCCCACCGTGTTCTTGTGATTTTGCCATTTCCCCTTTCTCTCCTTAATTCTGCCGCAGCTCTTTTGGTGTCTCGGATTGGAACAAAGGCTACTACCGCCCCAACGCAGCATTCGCGCTCCCTTGCTTTGACGAGAGCGGCCATCATTCGCGTCGGATTTGCCAGCCGAATTCGACCACCAACCCAACACACTCATTCAACGCTCGTACGATTGCAGCAAGCGTTCGGTCCTTTGCATTCACCTTTTTTGTCTTCTTTCTTTTCTTTCGAGGAGCTCCTTTGTTCTAGTTTTTCTAATCTTACTACCACCACGTCACGTCAGGTGGGTGAGACGCGAACGTAATCTCTTCCCGCCTCAATACTCCGGACACATATTCGCGGCCAGGAGGCGACAGAAATATTCGAAAGCGAAAGATCGCGTGCTAGACGAAGACGCATATTGTTTACCGAGTATTGGCACATTTTCGGCCCGGTTGACACATTCGATACGTGCCGCCGACGAGGAGGCTCGAGGGAGCCGGTAGAAGCAATATGGCTTCGCAACCCGATGGCAGCCCGGCGACGCCTACGCCGCGTCACCGGCTGACTGGAGTTGAGCGGCCCTTTGCCCTTCACCCGCCCGCGATGTCCTTCGGTGCTGGCTCGAGCCACCACTACCGGTTTTCCGATTTCGACGAGGGAATGTTTTCCGAGCACGCTGAAGTTTCGGCCGATCAAGCTAAGCGCGCATTACGCGCCCACCTCGCCGAAACGGAACGCCGTATGGCCGAGGCTGGCCGCTTGGGTACCGCTTTGGTCCAGCAGCAGAAGGACCTCACAGACCGGCTTCGTGAGGTTGAAGAGCTGCAGTCAGAGTCTGACTTGGCACCAGAGCTCAAGAAGAAGCTGGCCGACCTGGAGAAGGAGTATGACGATGTCGCAAGGGAAACTGCTCGTGCGTTCTTGCCGAAACAGCGTATTCCCAGCAATGAATCTACTGGCTCTCCCGAAGGAAAGGGAGGACGGGTAAGTTATCTACGGCCATATCTTTTTGTGGTGCGGTCACACGCTCCCTTGTGCCATCACTAACGACCAAACCGCAGAGGTCTTTGAGTCCTGTCAAGTACGAAAGCCACGCGTCAGGTTCCCCTAGCAAGCTGACCGTCTCGACTCGCAAACAACGCAACCAACCGACGAATCGTGTACACGACATCGAATTCGCGGCCGAAATCAGCACGTCACTTATTTCTCAGGTTCGCGGCCTGCAAGCTCTTCTGGCTGAGCGCGAGGAAGAGCTCCGCGATACCAAGCAGGACCAAGCCCGACTCGAAGACGAAGGCGAAAGTCTTCGGGAACGGATCAAGGAGTTGGACGAGAGCGAGCATCGCTACAAAGAGGAGAACTGGAATCTCGAGACACGCATTCACGAGTTCGAAGCTGCACAGCGTGATGCTGCTGATAACGAGAAGAAGGTGGCCCAACAACTTGCCACTCTCCTGGCAGACAAGACCAAGTCACAGCGTGAGCTTGATGAGCTTAAGGCCTCCCATTCGCGCCTCGTGGATGACCACACAGCTGCGGTGAAGCTCCACGACATTGAACTTGGTACAGCCAAGCGTAATATGGCCATGGCGGACAGCGAGAAGGCTGCCCTCCAGCGCCGGATTGATGAGCTGGCTGGCCAGAACCAGGAGCTTGCAAGAGCCGTGTCGATGCAGCACCGCACCCGTGCTGTTGAGAGCGATGCCGTCCCTGCCACCAGCGATGATGATTTCGACACTGCTGCTGATAACATCACACCTGAGCACTCGCCCCCGGCATCTCCCATCAAAGGCACTCCGCGGCACTCTGTTCTGGAGTCGGAGACCCTCAAGACGTCCCTGCTCCATGCCCAGCGTACTCTGCAGAGTCTGCGTACAAACCTCCACCGCGAGAAGACAGAGAAGCTTGAGCTCCGCCGCATGCTTCAAGACACCCGCGACGAGCTCGAGCGCGCCCGTTCTGACCCTAACGGATCTGGCTCTGGTACCTCAAAGAAGAACCGCAAGGACCCTATTCATAACAAGCTTCGCTCTAGCCAACTTGGTGGCGCCCGCTCTAGCCGGACTGACCTCTATATGCTGGCGTCCAACGACCCGGATTGGGAAGAAGTCCAAGGTGACGCGTCGCCATCAGCTGCAAAGGCTCGGGCTGGTCCTACCGACGTTAGCGACCAGTTTGACACCGCCAACGAGGCTCAGCTAAGCGACACATCCTTTGCTACTGCCAACGATGGCGCGGGAACGGCCGAGGACTTCCATACGGGCGCCGAGGCTGTATCGAGTGGCGAAGATACCATGACTGAGACCGAGCAAGACGCGAGCCGACGTCGTACGCTCGTTGCCAAGAGCGGCTCCGCAACCGCGGCGGATGCTTCCGTCGACCTTGACAACGACCCTGCCAACCAGAGCACTGCCTCAACTTCCGACGACGATGACTTCGACTCGCCTCGGACGCCTACTGCTTCTTTGTCAGCATCCGGGGTTTCTCGTATGCGCCTTCGTGCCAGCCGCAGCTCGCTTGCATCTCGTCGCCTACGGCATATGAGCAGCGTCGATGAGGTTGGCAGCAGCCCCGGTGGTATCCAAGGCAGTCCATACAGTGCCGCTGGCTCTCCTGCTACGATGGCCCACACGCCAGGATCTGTTAACAGCACTCCCCGGGTGGCGGGTCCTCAACAGAGTCTCTTTGCTGAACTGGGTGACCTGGGTGAGGACAGCGATGAAGAGGTTGCGAGCGACGGCACCCCCAGCCGCGTTCGCAGCCCGAGGATCATCATCCCGTCTGGCTTCGGCGGATCTGTAAAGTCTACCAGCAGCAGCAACTCGATTGCTCATTCGCCTCTGACCCAGATTGGCCAGTCACCCAAGATTGTCATGGTTGACCGTTCTACGCTCACCGACGCTGTGACGATTCTTCCCTGGTCTGAGGCCGACGAAAAGCAGGCGCAGACTGGCCTTGATCGCACTCCAGAATCACGCCCCTCCTCTTTCATGTCTGAAGGTGCAGGGAACGTTGGCGAGAAGCTAAAGGAGTTCCCCTCACCACCTACGTCTCCTCCTGGCCGTGGCAACCTCCTCACGCCGGTTGTTTTGTCGCCACCAAACGCGGAGCCAACGTCTCGCAGTATCGAGGCTGGACCAGACTCGGAGCCAGACGTGACATTCACACTCTCCGAAGTGTTCTCAGTGCCTATCGACCCTGTCGCAACGCCGATTGTGCCGGCAGTCTTTACTGTCTCTGGTGTTAGCCTGATGTCGATTGAGCCTGTTGCAGAGCCAGAATCTCCCAAACCTTCTCCAATTATTCTGGGCATGTCATCGGTGTCGGTGGAGCACGTCACGCCAAAGATGCCTACCACACCGGAGCCGGAGCCAGTTCCTGCTTTCACAACGTCGCTGTTGCATGCTGTGAACGTTACCCCCATCGAGCTGCCTGCGCCAGTAATACCCGTCCCTGTGCCGGTGGTGCTGCCGAAGGAGGCGCCGCCAACATTCACCTTCTCAGCCATCGAGAAGCAGCACGTGCCACCCGTGGCAGAGCCGGAGCCTGTTATCGTGCCACTTGACCCTCTTTCATTCTCTTGCTTCCATGCCCAGAATGTGGCTCCGGTCTCTGAGCCGGAGCCGGTGTTGCCACCCATTGAGCCTTTCACTTTCACCGCGCTGCAGACCCTGCACGTGGAGCCGGTGCAGGAGCCCGAGATACCACTGCCTCCCCTCCCGCAGTTCTCGGTTTCAGACATCCAGCGCCAACACGTTGAGCCCATCGCCACGCCCCAGAAGCCCATGCCGACGATGGTTGTTTCTAACGTGCTCTCACAGCACGTCCCACCCTTCGTTGTCGGGGAGCCAGAAGAGGAAGTGATTCCTGTTCCTGTCGGCGTGTCCACTGCAACTCAGACCGATGAGTGGAAGCCCGAGGTGCCTGTTGCTTCGGCTGGTGTGATCGGCGCTGGGGCTGCGCTTCTTGGTGGTGGCGCAGCGGCGGCAGCCGACCTTAATGATGATAGTGTGCCTCGCAGCCCGAAGCGCAACGGATTCATCCTCCCGAGAGACTTCGACCCCATACTTGCGCAGGATGAGAATGCTCGGCCGCGTGGCCGTCCTACGACTCCCAATCGGGAGAACACAAGCGCGCTCTTTGGCTGGTCAAAGGCGAAGGGCCCTTCTACGCCCATCATTGCCGAGGATGAGACTCGGCAGTCACCGAACGCCAGCCCGCTTGCCGAGACTCCTGAGTCCCAGCGTCCTTTCAAGGAGATTTCTGCCAATGCTAGCGCTCCTAGGCATGCCGACCACAGTCAGGGGCATGCAGATGACCAAGATTTTATGCCGTCTTCTTCTTCACCTCAGTCCGTGATTCGTGATGAGGCCTTTGAGACCACGCCTCGTACCGCCGGCCGTGGATTCAAGTCCATCCCACCTCCCGAGCACACCCGCACCGCCTCCCAGGATAGCAACACTGGCTCTGTACGGCGAGGCATGCACTCTGATGCCATCCGGAACGAGATCGCCGCTGCTGCGCTTGCCAGCTCCCGGCGTCCTGGCTCCTCGTCTAGCAACCGGCGAACGTCCAGTGACTTTGCTTTGCCGCCGTTACCTGCTAATCACAGGGAGGTCATTGAGGCTGCACGTACGGGATCTGCTGGTTCTATGGCTGGCGAGATGGCCGGTCCTTCAAACTGGCGTGTTCGTACACCCACTGGCTCTGCACGGGAGCCCGCTTTCGCCACCCAGGGCGGTGCGACGCCCACGCCACGGGCAAACAGCCGTACGGCTATCATTGGTGATATGCGGCCCCCATCTCGCCCGGCATCCCGCACAAATGCAAGCCAGACTGGCGCCTCTGGCGTTCATAACACGATCAGCCGGCAGACGTCCATGTCTTCGTTTGCGTCAGAAGTTGATGCCCGATTCCATATTCACGATGGAAGTGATGTCTTCGGGACTGGTTATGGCCATACCGATCCCCGCATGATCCAGGCTATCACCCAGACCATGATAGGCGAGTACCTCTGGAAGTACACGCGTAAGACGGGCCGCTCCGGCCTCTCTGAGAACCGCCACCGCCGGTACTTCTGGATCCACCCGTATACGCGGATGCTCTCTTGGAGCGATCATGGCCCAACCCCCGGAAGCCGTTCTGAGCAACGCGCCAAGAGCATCCCCATTGAGGGCGTCCGCGTTGTGACCGACGACAATCCTATGCCGCCTGGCCTGCACCGGAAGAGTCTTATCGTCATTTCTCCTGGCCGCACTGTCAAGTTTACCTGCCCGACCAGTCATCGCCACGAGATTTGGTTTAACGCCTTGTCCTATTTACTTCTTCGCAACGATGAGGTGCCAAACGATGGCATGACCGCCAACGGAGAGCCGATCACCCGCGAGGATGTGGATGAATTCAACCCACCATTTGCCGGCAATCGCCTGTCTGCAGCTCCCCAAGCACGCCGCCGGCCGCCGGTGTCCCTTGCGTCGTATAATTCGCGCACAACACGGAACGAGTCGCCGGCATTGGACATGTCCATGAACATTCCGACGCTGACACCGACCCCTAACAAGAAAGCGTCGGCTGCAGCAGGCTCTATGACTCCGTCGACGTCTGTGGCTGGCCTCACATCTCGCAGCCGCCTCAGCCGCATCGGCGGTTACTGGCGGTCTAGCCAGTCATTATCGGCGCAATTCAATAGCTTCCGTGGTCGCAGCACCACGCCCCTTGGCCACAGGCACACGAACAGTGGCGCACAGGGCAGCGGCATCTACGAGGCTAGTGAAATGAACGACAGCGCCGAGGAGCTGCGGGCAATGTACGAGGCGCAGGACAGGGCATCTGACCGTCTTGAGAATGTCCGAGCGTGCTGTGATGGTAAACATGATGTCGGTATGCTATCGCATAGTTCGCGCCGCCACCGTCACTCTAATGGAGCATCGTCTGTCATGTCGACGCCGACACATAGTACTAGGCACCGTTCTTAGAGCACTTGTCCCTTGCCACCTTGCTCTTCACCCGAGTCATTTCTTTCCTTATTGTCCGTCATTCCTTTCTTGTCTTCTTGTCACTCATTCAATGCTTTCCGCCAATTTCTGAGCAATCCCGTTTCCCTCTCAACTGTTCAATTTGTCATGTTGATGAAGCATTTCGCGTTTTCGCCTCGCGGTCTCGTTACGATTTTATGCCTCTCTCTCTACCTCTCTTTCCAGTCTTTTTCCTAGTGTCTTTTTCTATATACTCCTTGTCAATTATTTGTTTTGAACCCAATTTCTGTCAGTCTCTACAACCTACCTTTCGCTGTTTCCAAGCAGCCAGGCTGTTTCTTTTACTTTCCTTTCGTCTTTTGCCACTGTTCTCTTTCTGTGCTTTCTAAAAAGCCCATGTTGTCCGGCGCGACGAATGGCCTTAACCGGCAGCCGTTTCTTTTGATTAGTCAAGTTTGATGTGTGCTTCTTTCTCTATGGATCCCATGTATTACCTTGTTATCTTCCTTTCGCGTTCGTCTTCCACTTGCTGGGTAGCCGTGAAAAAGGTCTAACTAATTACCTGCTTTCGTTATGGAGCAATAATCTTAGGCGTTGCTGCTCAAAAGAAAACGACGAAAAAAAGACGGGAACGGATTTGGGGTTCTACTTGGTATTACATGTTGCTACCAATCATCAGGCGTATAGGTTTTACTTTACTCTCTCGACGACTTGATATCCTACCTATGCATCAAATTGGACAAAAAATGCTCTGACCTTGCTCTTCTCTGCTGTGATCATGTTACAACTGTCGGACGAACGCATACCTACGGGCTGATACGTAAAGTCTACGCTGATAGAAAATCCTTTGGAGATTAAAATTTTTGTTTTGAATTTTGTTCTTTTTTTGATGTTTACCGACCCAGGCCCATAGTTTCAAAAATCAAGAGAATGCAATTGTCCCCGAGTCCGTGTGGTTTATAAAACGCAAGTGGAAAACAGGACAACACACATTGTTGTTTTGTTTTTGTTGTAACAAAAAAGGTAGAAGACACCCAGAAAACATCCCACGCTCGGCTCTTTTTATTGCCTTTCCGTCGTTGGTCGTCCTCTGCGCATGTCGTGCATCTCCTCCGCCCGTGCCTCCCCAAGCTCCATGCTTTCCTCCCGGTTCGTACTCGCAATGCTTAGATAGCAGTGTCGTACGGGATGGGGGTGACGGTCTCCGGGGCGTTGTCGTCGAGGGAAATTGTGCGGGCTTCCCGCGGCAGGACGGGCTGGCGCTTCAGCTGGACGGGGGTGCCCTCGGCCTTGGCCTTCTGCTTCAGGGCGGCGTTGGTCTTGACGCGGCGCAAAAAGTCCTCGCGGGACCGCGACGGAGAGACGTGCTCGATGCGGACGTTCAGGCGCTTCTCGATGTACCGGTGCTTGACCTTCTTGTAGATGATGACACCGACGGCGTTCTTGGCGACGTTGTAGATGACGCCCGTCTTGCCGTGGTAGACCTTGTGCGGCATACTGTGAAAATGAGAGCAATGTCAGTGTTTCTGTTCCGCATTTGGTTCCATCGTCCATCGTCCCACCGTCCCGTGTCCGTAGTTGCTCAAAGTCGATCGGTCGTGCATTCTTCCTTCCGACCATCAATCTTAAATCTCTTTCATCCGAAGAACTCTCTGGGCAAGCATCGTGGCCGAGTCTTTCGCGTTCGGAAACCGGCCGTCTCGTGTCGGAACTGGGACCGGGACCGGGACCGGGACTGCTGGAACTGGATAACTCTCATTCGGGACGGTATGGTCTTGCTTACCCCTTCTGCACGGCACCGTTCGTCTTCAGGTCAACAATGTCGCCGACCCTGTCAAATCACAACGTCAGCATTTCTGTACCACCTCGCAAAGACGGTTGTCGTCCGTCTCTTCCTCCGCGCTCGTCTGAATCCAATATTTTGCTTCGTCGGTTCATCGGATGGAATCGGTACTGACTTGTACTGCCGAAGGTACGTGGACAGGCGGATCATGCCCTTCTCACGGAAGTTCCGTGAGAAGGCATAACGCGTACCGGAACGCAGACCAGCGCTCTTACCCATGGCGACGGTGGGTTATGATGTGTGGGAGGAGAAAAGGTTGGGGCGGTGTTGTAGTCGAAGGTGAAAATGGAAACCGAATCAAAGACTCAAATTCCCAATCGGATGCTGGCGAGGAAGAGGTGGTGATGGTCGCAAGAACTGAGGTTGTGGCCGTAGACGGTAAAACCCCCCGCGAAAATGTTTGGCGTGCAAAACTTTTAGGACTGGTGCCCCCAAGCGGAGGAAAAATTTGGCCGTAAGGGCAAAAAAATATCAGGTTTGTGTGGGAAAGTGGAGACACAATCATGTGACTTAAATTTCACTGTCAAAAATGGAATGGCTTAGTCATTTCTTTTCCTTGCAGATTACATAAAGCAGCTCCATAATGCCTGCTGTCGACCAATAGGGACGCCTCGCACAAAAACCTATTTTTTTTTCCCACTGGCGTTAGGGTAAAAATTGTCCTCACCTCTGCGGATTTTCTTGTGAGACTACTGGACTTTTTCCTTGCTTCTTTTTCTCGTCTCTCGACTGTCCATCCACATCACCAAACCGGACGACAACCCAACAACAAAGTCGAGATCTTTGTTCACGATGGCTCCTCTGTCGTACTCCAAGACCGCCAAGGTCCCCCGTCGCCCCTTCGAGGCCGCTCGCCTGTTCGTCAGCTCCCATTTTGTCCTCGCCGGCCACTGAGCAAGAGCGTGTTCTCTTGCCCAAGTCGTTGTGAGCATCCAGCTAATGGGGGTATTTTCATTTCTGCAGTGACTCTGAGCTCAAGCTCGTCGGTGAGTATGGTCTGCGCAACAAGCGTGAGGTGTGGCGCGTGCTGCTCACCCTCTCCAAAATTCGTCGTGCTGCCCGGTGAGTTTTCCCCCTCGATTGTGGATTTGTGAATGCGTTGAATCTCGCAATGTCTGCATTTTGCGAAACGTTTTGTTTGTCCTGTGTCGATTGCACACCATGACGACCGTTCTGGACAGTCTAAACTAACCAATTGCCTCGGTGCACCCCCGAACTACAGTCAGCTCCTGACGCTTGACGAGAAGGACCCCAAGCGCCTGTTTGAGGGTAACGCTCTGATTCGCCGTCTGGTGCGTGTCGGTGTGCTCGACGACTCGCGCATGAAGCTCGATTACGTGCTGGCCCTGAAGGTCGAGGACTTTTTGGAGCGTCGCCTGCAGACGCTCGTCTACAAGCTGGGCCTCGCCAAGTCCATCCACCACGCCCGTGTCCTGATCCGCCAGCGCCACATCCGCGTCGGCAAGCAGGTCGTCAACGTTCCCTCGTTCATCGTCCGTCTCGACTCGCAGAAGCACATTGACTTCTCCCTGAAGTCGCCCTTTGGCGGCGGACGCCCCGGCCGTGTCCGGAGAAAGAAGGCCAAGGCCGCCGAGAAGGGCGACGGCGAGGAGGAGGAGGATGAGGAGTAAGCGTGTCGCACGCGTCGTTTCTTCTACAACGTACTGCACCGGAACGAAATTGGGGGCGATGGCCGCCAGCAACTGGGGGAGCGGATGGAACAGGAGGAATGAGCGTTACTTGCCGACAGGCGTAATGCCTGTCCTCACGCAGATTCTGCTGCTGTTATCAGGCCTGTCCTGGCTATGTGTCTTTGGCGCATCGGATCTATAAAAACATTCGGATTATGCAATATTCAAATTCAAAAACAGCGGAAAACCATACGTTTTCTTTTTCTTCCTGTTCGTTGTTGTGTATATGCGAGCCGTCCTCGATATATTGTATTGCGTATAATTGTAGTTGTATGAGCATAATGAAGCGGACATGCACTTTTACTATGTCCGTGTTACGGCGCTACTACGGCGGACAAACCATCATCGATTGTGCCGGGCACCGAACAGCATCCAGAGGCAGCCTGTGTGGCTTGCCCACTGCTTCGTCATTTGATGTCCTTGGCTTGCAGGTCCCATCCTTCATTCCGTCCAGTCTGGCCTCTCTCGGCTGGTTGTCGTTGGCGGCTCTTACGTATGCTTTGTGGAGTGTGGCAGCCGCAGCAGAGCGGCGAGATGACCTCACAAGTGCAGTTCTGGACATGGGATGCCGAGCCAGTCCCGTAAAGCATCGGGCTCGACCGACTGTAATTCGTAGCGGGAGACAAAAGGCGGCAGAGCCTTCTGCTTGCGTGGTATTTGAGGCTGTGCTGGCTGCTAGTCGCCCGGCGCACCGGCACGTGTTTTGTACCTGTCCGCCGAATTATTACACGCTATGAGCTGATGACACCGCTGAGCGGCGCGTCTCCAGGAATAAGGTACTCATCTGTGGGATCATCGACCGCAAAGCTTGCCATATTTACTTGCAGCGTCCCATCCCCTCTTTTCCGGATTTTCTGCGATGAGAGCTGCTTCATTTAGCATTACACCAGCTGCCTGCCCTTCCTGCCCATGTTTTCCCGCCTGACTTACAGTGAGCCTCTGCCTGATCATTCTTTCCTGCCGGCATCCGAGCTTTCGACCGTCGCGTCGTCGCAAATTGCTACCCAGAATCGGTGAGCAAACCAACAGACGGCGCAGCACAAGGCAGGCGGCTAATTGCCCACTTCCCTCAGAAGGCCGCACCTGCCGATCGACAACTGGCGACTGCCGTCGGAGTGTTCAGAGGCGCCAACTTGATCGTTCCTTCCTGCCTTTGAATACGCCGTACTGGCGTCGCAGCCCGCTTCATATTGTATCTCCCACTTTTTTGTTTCTCGTCAAATTTCATTTCCTGCTTCTCTTCTCCCGCCCTCTCTGTGCGCCCGTACCAACATTCGGTACCCAACGTACGACAGACTACTGGCCACCGCTTCAAGCCGATCCAACCACAGGTCCCTCGTCACCCCTGGACCCCCTTGTTGCCTAGCGGCCGTAGGCCCCCCGTCCAACGCCCAGCGCCGCCATCAATCTGGCCCTCGAACTACAGAACCTGCGGCTCGCCGGGTTGTGGTTTTATGGCTGCAGCATTATTTCTTATTTTCCATTCCCAGACATCCCACGGCGCGTGCAGCCTCAATCAGTTCTAGGCCGTCACCCCATTTTCTTCCCCATTTCTTTTGGAGCGCAAGGCAACCAGCTCGTTGATTCACCTGCGGTCTAGCTTCCAGCTTTATTTTTCTCTTTCGATTTTTTAGTTTCTTTCTTGAGCGCATCTTTCTCACGCCACCGATCTAGTCTCTCCTCCATAAATACCATATTGGTTCCTTGCGACTGGACCGGCAGACTTGGCGACCGCTGAAACGGGTGTTGTTACTCCTCGACAGCAAGAATTACCAGTCCTTACACAGCTTTCAGCCAAGATGAAGGGATTCCGACAGAAGCTCAACCGCAACAGGAAGTCGACCTGTGAGTACACACTTGCATTTTCTGGAGGTGTTTTTTTTGGAGGACTTTCGGAAACAGAAGCTGCAGATTGCTAACCCGAGTATAGTTGACGTCGACACCGTAGCGCCTCAACGAACCGACTCGGTTACCACGGCCGGCTCCGGGAATGGCGCAAACAGCGGCACTGGCGACAATGTGGACCATGAGTCGCCCGAGGCGGCGGCGCAACGGCTTGTGGTAGGTAGAAGGCGGTTACGATCGGCCATGCCCGCGAAGGGCGGCATTGGCCGAGATGGCGGTGGTGGTGATCAATGGCTAACCTCGTTCTATAGCGGACATTTTGTATGAGCGAAGTCGACGAAGCTGTAAGTTGTGGTCGCAGCCTACCCTGCCCCCATCTCCATCTATATGTGCTCCCGCTGACTTCTCTCCTGGAACAGGGCGCAGAAGTTGCTCTCCTACCCAGTATCGTCGAAGCCGCCGAGTCCTCGCCCCAGGCCGCCACCGAATGCGCACGCTACATTCGCAAGTTCCTTCACCGCGACTACTGGTCAAGACCCAACTTTGTCTACAACGCCATCATGCTTATGCGCATTCTTGTCGAGAATCCGGGTATGACCTTCACGCGGAACATGGACAAGAAGTTTGTCGACACCGTGCGCGACCTGCTGCGCGGCTGCCAGCACGCCCACATCGTGCACTTCTTGATCGAGACCCTCCAGGACTTTGAGAGCAAGGGTGCGGTCGACGAGGGCATCGGCCGCCTCGTGGAGATGTGGCAGAAGGAGAAGGCGAAGAGCAAGTCGGCATATTCGGTAGGTCCTGCCTTCTTTCAACTCGTGTAAGCTGCATTCCAAAATCCTGACCTGGACCAGAACCAACCTCCGCGACAAGCCCAAGGAGGCCAGGGCGGCCTCTGGCACCGCCCACAGCAACAGATGTGGCCTCAACAGAGCCAAAATTACCCTGGCCAGGGCAACTTCAACTACGGCCAGGGCGGATATGTCAACCAGGGCGGCTTTGTTGGGCCGGGACATGACTCTCACAACTCCAGGCGTGGACCATATGAGCGCGGCCATACTAGTGCCGCCACTCTTCCCAAACCGCGTGAGTTGCGGAAGCGACTGGATGAGGCGAAGACAACGGCCAGCGTCCTGGCTGACGTTGTCAACACGACGACACAGGACGGTCTCCTCAGACACGATCTGGCAGATGACCTTTCGGCGCGCTGTCGCCGTGCTACGAACCAGGTGCTCGAGTACATGAACACCCACGACCCGATCCCAGACAACTACGAGATGGCGGCGCTGCTGTCTACGCACGAAGTTCTCGAGCAGACGCTCCACCACTACCACCGTGCGGTGCTCGAGGCCCGCAAGAGTCTTGGTGTGGGCGAATCGCGCCGGACGTCGGACGGCAATGAGGCCTTTGAGATGACGCCAGCCGGAAAGGGCAAGGCCAACGCTCCCCAGTCGCCGGTGGCCGGGGCTCCCAGCGGAACAAACGGCAGCCGCAGCCGCAGTGAGAGCCACAGCAATGGCCTCGAGAGCCCAAGGAGCGGCGACGAGACCTTTGACCGGAACGAGGACGACGACATGATTGCCGCAGCCATCGCCGCTAGCACAGCACCCGGTGCCAATGCCCGCGGTGGACGTGGCGGCTACCAGCAGGGCGAAGGGTCGTCTGCGGCTGGACCGGCGAACGAAACAGAGAACCCATTCGCAGACAACCTCCCCGAGTCGTCCCGTTCGTCGTCGCGCGTCCGGCCCGTTTTTGGTGCCGGTGGTGGCGCATCCTCTTCTGCTGCTGCTGGTGCTGCCGGTGCTGCCAGTGCTGCCGGTGCTGCCGGTGCTGCCGGTGCTGCTGGTGGCAGCGGAAGTGGGACGGTCGCGTACGTGGACAGCGAAAACGAGAGCGACGAGGAGTATTTGCGCGTCCAGCGACGCAACAAGGCCCTTGCCGATGTTGGAAGCTCGTCTTCGTCGACGGCGGCTGCTGCAGCTGCTGGTGGTGCATCGTCGTCTACGTCTGCCCCGCCGGTCCCGCCCGCATCTAGTAAGCCTGGCCCGGCGTCGCCCCGTATTCGCACCCCGAGCCCACCCACCGAGTTTGATGCTGGCGTTGGTGGCAGCTCGTCCTCGGCTGGCCCGGTTGTTGACTCAGAGGCAGGGGGGAGCGGAGGACCTGTCTTCCGCTACTAGAAAAGACCGTGACGAGGTTTTTGCGCTGCACACGTGTGATTCGCTTGACTGTCTCGGATCTGAGAACGACGTGGTCTGCCTTTTGCACATGACCCGGTCCTAATTTCCTGAACCTTGTACTAGGAATGAGGTAATTTGCATTCGAGTTTTGCAGCGAACTGTTTTTGATGCTGGCTATTTACGTTGATTTTTCACATGGAGAGCTTGGTTACAACTTTTGAATATTGCCATCGCTGCCGTCACAGCCCTTCCCATTTTCTACCCTCATGATTCCCATGTCAAATTACTCACATATTACCCTTTTCGTTTCACACATACCTCTACCTCATAGCTCGTATTGTATTTGCTTTGTTTTTTTTTCTCAAGAATTTTTGTTTCTATCCGTAACAGCGAACAATACAGCAGATACCCAGCCATATTATACCCCGAATTTTCTCTGGTTTTACAATGACCATGCATTTATGTCGAGACATTTCTCATCTTTTTCTTCACCCGGTGCGGCATCCGCCCCGACTGGCGTGAGAACAGAAACCTATACTGAATATTCCGCAATGGCATGTGCCGCCTCTGCCTGGCGGAGACGCAACTTGTGAGGTCTCAGCTTTGCTTTTTTGCTACAATGCTTTCAAACACATTCGCCCTGTATCCGAACATTTATTTTTTCTGCATGCCAACCTCTTTCAAGCACCCCTGTCTTCAGCTGCCCGGTCACGAGTCGATTTTTGCAAAAGGTAAGACAATTTTCTGAGACAAATCGTAACGCCCCCCCCACCTGGTTGGGAACCTCGAGCTCTCCCACCGCCTTTCCCACGCACCCCTGATGGCCGGCTGTTTGTCCTACCGTGGCCGAGGTACACCAAGAATCGAGGACTTCGATAACTTCGAGTCCATAAGGTGGCGAATAAGAGCAGACTCGATCGTTTATTATTCGTTTGCACGACGACAGCTCTCCCGCAACAACTTTGTCCACCACCAGCAAAGCGGAGTCCCTTTCATGAAACCCATGGCCTATCACTTTCCCTTGTACACCCTTTCTGGTGCTTTCTGCTTTTCCTTGCTTTATCTGTCGTAGTTCTAGTTTTTTGCACTCACATCAATTTTTCACTTTTTTTTTTCACTTTCTTATTTGGGTGTTGTTTATAGCCACACACTCCTTGGGATAGGATTGGGAATCGAATGTATTATGCAGCCATCCCTTGCTTCACACTCGTGCATTTGTCTTAACATTTTCTTTTCATTTTCATCCTGGTATGTGCTCGTCTTCTTGCTTTCCCAGGATCACTCACGCTTACCCCACCGATTCCATTCTCGACATATATCGAAGGCGAATATTTATGCGTCCTAGCCCGAGGAGAAAATAATGTTCCTTACACCGTGGGATGAGATGGTGGATATTGGAGAGGACCTGAGAGACAGCGCTCCATATTGTATTCGTTGCTGTAGTTGTAAATCGGTGGCCAGATATCTCGCAATACGGCCACGGTATGTCTTGCAGGCACACCTACTGCTTAGAAACCGCTGGTGTCGAGTCTTGAATGCTGTCTTAGTCCAAAACGAGGGTGTGGGAGGTGGACGGAGAGACTCTGTTGCCAAGGCTGTTTATGTATGTTGTCTATCTAGGTTGCTGCCCTTTCCTTTCCACCTGCTTGGTCACTCACCCTTACTTCTTCTTCGCTATTTCTGTAGGCCAGACGATATACCATTGTTTATCATTTTTAATGAAGGGCAAGGGCAATTGTAGCATTTTCAAAAGGTAGCATCAGTCTCTTCTGCAGCTTGTTCCGACCACCGTCTGTCCCTTTTTAGTTCCAACCATTTCTGATCCGGAACACGACGTTGGTTACTATCGCGTTGCCTTTATTGCCCGAAGATCTGTTCTCTTATTATCTTGCTCCCACGCTTCATTCGCTCCTTCCCAATCGCGCACATGGTCGTTCCTTCCTAATCGCGTTCTGTTCTCCATCAGCCTTTCCTGTTTCCACGTCTCTGAAATTGTTGTATATTCTGCCCGCGCACCTTCTCTCTTTTGCGTGCCTTTATCCCGCAACCTTTCTCGAACATCTCTTCCATACGTCGCTTCTTGCTTGGCAGACCGTGTCACCCTTCTCATCCTCTCGCCAGACTACACATTCGTCGTTGTTGATTTGTTGTCACGAACGTACCACCGGAGCCAAGTCTCACTCCGCAAAATTATAACGGCGACTAATTCGCCTGCCAAGGAGGCAATTGCACTCCCATACGGCACTACGAACATTTTTGGACAGCCCGAGGCGCCGCCAATTTGGCTACGACTACAATGGATCCTCGAGATGCTGCTTCCGCCGGAGAGGGCGATGGGATTGTAATCACTTTCATTGACCCTCGTCATTTCCCAATCCTGGCTGACGTTGCTTCGAGGATCCTTGTTACGGCCAAAGATCTGTCTGTGGCCTCCGGGCTGCTTATCCTTCCTCCGGTACAGGACTCTCTCGACGCACTTCCACATGCAACTCTGGTCGATCTCTGTACTGAGGTAAAGTCTGCTGCTGCTTAACGTATTGCCCTGTTTCATTTCATGTCGCCCTTTTACAAAAAGCTGACACAGATCAATATTGTCAGCGCCGTATTGGCATGGTCACGGGCCGTATGGCTCGGGAGATGCGACGTATTTCGCACCATACCGGACCGTCGTCTACCGAGGCTGCTTTGGAACGCTTCTTGGTGACACAACAGATGGTAGACGTTGCTGATGAGGCTGTGCAGGCCATGCAGGAACAAAATGGCAGCCCTGATTTGTACGACAAGAGCGTTGGTGGCATTCAGGTGCTCATGATGTCGCTGATTTGCTGCTGGGCAAGCCACATCGAAGTGTTCGGCCAGCTCGACGAAGCAAGGGTTGCCTCGCACTTGTCAATGATGACGAGGCTGAAGACAGTTACGTGAGTAGCATCTTTGAAGCTTGTCATCAAAATTTTTACCTTCTTGCTCTTTCAGCTGACGGTCTTTTGGTCTCACAGCTGGAATCACCCCGTTGCCCAGGGCTCTGGGCTTGTAGGCCATCCACCTGTCTTTCGAGACAATATATGTTATAACACTCCTGGCGTACAGGGTCTCGCTCTGGGGAATCTCCTTAGAGAGGGTGTACGCTTGACCATAACAGGATTGCCTTTGGCGGGTTTTGAGAGTCGGCTTGCACTCTACGTGGCCAACTGCAGAGCGGCACGTGGGCGGATACTCCAAGACGGTGACAAGAATCACGGTTCACAAATCCAAAAGGGTATACACTACCTCAAGTCGTCAGTCAAGGGCCTGATAAGACTGCAGTTTGTTGTAAACGCGCCCAAGGTCGATGATCCTTTGCCCTCACGACAATGTCCTCGTCCTACGCCGGGTGACATGGCCGCACTAAAGCAGCTGATGTTGGTTGCTCCGGTCCTGGAGTCGCTCGCAATCGTGGGAGACCCAAGCTCTCACTCCGACGGATTTGCCGGTGGGCATATACCGGGAGGTACGAGCGACTACTCCGCCTCGAGTAGCCGCCCTTCTGGTATAGACTTTTATTTGCCTCCCTTCCGCTTTGCAGCTGGCGAGCGCTTGCCACCGCTTCGCAGTCTACACCTCTGGCGATACGACTGGAGATGCCACTCTGCGGATGATGTTTCTACGCACTGGGACCTTAGCCGACTCCGATCGCTCGTTTTCGACGGAGCGCCGCTCCGCTGGTTCTTGGGAACGTTGGCTATGGACCAGCTGCGCAACCTTACTGTTCTACGGATTGAGGATGCCGAGTGGGGTTTACAGCCTAGTGAAGCACGCCAAGCAGCGTTGATGCTCTCGTTGATGTTAACTCATCATATCGAGAAACTAGAGTGGCTGGAGCTCATAGGTATCTACACGGACAACCTTCCCGTTGCGGCGATTCGGCGGCACCAACTATCCCTCGAGCGTCTTGTATTACGGCACCCCTACGGGCTCCGATCAGCCGTTGATGCTGTCACGCCTTCGGTGTCTCCTGTGCTGCTTCTGGCACTGCTGAAAGACAGCGACGCAGGTCCCGGTGCAGAAGCATTTGCCGCAACAAAAGACGACCCTGGTGGTGCTGGCGGCCTATGTGAGGCAACGGAAGCTTCCCAAAATGGAACTACCCAAACGACGACCTCTGAAGAGACTACTATATACAGTGACGATAAGGAGGATACAGGTGACGACTCGCAAGATGACACACCCAGTGTAACTACGGATGGCACTGCAATCACTCCTCCGTCGGATGTTGACGAGCAGCAGAACGAACCAAGCGAAGAGAACACGAAGCACGGACTTGTTGAGCACCAAAACCACCCACATAACCATGAACACAGTCTCAATAGCCATCTTGAGCCTACTCAGTCACATCTTGTCAGTGTCGAGTTCGATATGGACGAGCGCCACATGGGACCACACGATGAACCCGAGATCATGACACGGTTGGCCCGGCTTCCCATGGTGCGCAGTATTTCACTGGCGGTACCATCCGTTCTCAGGAACCTATATTGCGTGCCAAAGTACGACGTGGATCTCCACAACGCGCTGCAACGCTTACTGTTTGTCCTCGGCCAGCGGCAGCAGCGAATGCATGAGCAGCGAAATGCGTCGCATGGCAGTGGCCAACGACGTTCAGGCTCTCTGCTCCTCCCACTAGAGCAGATCACCTTTTTCATTGACGGCTTCACCCCTCTTCGCCGCACTGAGCCTGGATGGGACAAGGACCGGCACGACACCCTGTCTGGTGAAGTAGACGAGGCTGCTACCCGCGAACAAGAAACTGCAGAAGCAGAAGCCTTGCGCAAATTGATGGCAACTTTGGTCACACGCGTAGCTGAGACTACGGCATCAGAACAAGTGTCCCAGCCCTCCGAATCCCCTAAATTAGACACGGCCGCTCGAGGCTCAATATCAACGCCAAGCCTGGTTGTGAACCCGCTGCCAGAGGAGATGCCGCGGACATCCACTACGGAGTCGACGACGGAGACTGTCAAGATGAGTTCGACCATGAATGACAGTCCGACTACACATGGACTGTCGTTCCTCCAGCCGCACAACCCAAACGAGGTGGATGCCACACCGGGTATTGCCCAAGCACTCATGTTGCGCAGCCAGAAAATTCGGCCTCAGCGCTGCATCATTGCAGAACTGATTTCTCCGGCAGAAGTCCCCACCATGTCGTGCAGTCGTCAAACTGACGCCCAAAACCACAACCCATACGACAGTTGCAGATTGCTCACGTACCATGTCTACGAAGAGTTTGCCTGCTATGCGGACGAGCAGAGCCCGGACCTGACGTACTACCAGAGACGTGACCTGCGCGAGAACAACCTCCGTCCTCGCCAGCGGATGAAACTTCCCTTTGTGGTTCACTTTGAGCAGCCGGCCAATCTCCCACCGCCCCGCTGGGATGTTTTGGGTGTTCCTCTTTATATGTGAACTGCCCATGTAGAGCCAGAACTGCCGACTGTACAGTGCATGTTCGGTTTTAGTCGTTAGTTGGTTTGTTCGTCTCCGCATCTCTCACTTTTGAATCTTGCAACATTTTCTTTTTGGGGATGCTACGATCTTCCTGTTATTTATTTGATACGTGCTCATTTACTGTTTTTGATACCTTTCACCTTGGACGGACATGTGTTGCGTGTTTCTTGAATGGAGGTTGAAGTTTAAATTTTTGGCAGTATCTGCTATTTGCAGGCGCTGCTGGAGCCTCATGCTGCTCATCGGGCCGGACAACGCCTTGCTCTCGGTCCATCCTGGCATTACGTTTATATTCTTTGTTCCCGCGTACACGCGAGAAGAAGTGGAAATGGAAACAACACAAAACGCAGACAATGCAGAAACGGATGGGGAAAGGTGAAATCGGGTGCTGGAAAACAACAAACATGACCGGTAGTATCCATCTCGAAGGTAAAACAAAGAAAGAAAATCCCTAATTCATATCCTAATGCATTATGAGAAAAAGCAAAACGTCGCTAAACAAGGGCAGTGGGTAAAATGTAGGGTAGGGCGGGACGTGAGGCAGAAAGAAAGCAAAGAATTATTTGTTGGTACACGCAGGGGATAGGCGCTACGAAAAGGCCCACCTCCGGCAATAAAAAAGGGCTTGTCTTTGTTTTATGAGACGTGCCCGCCCAAGCCGCTGACCATGGCGGCCATGGACGACGACAGCTTTGACGGCCGGTTCGGTCCGTTGTAGCTCGGGCTTGGACTCAGAGTCGGACGGTCGTTGCTGTTCTCGATGCCGAGGCCGGCGTTGATGGCTGGGCTGGCGAGGGGGCTGGCGAGGGGGCTCGAAACGGGCGAGCCGTTGTGGTTGACGCTGATCTTGGCGGGCACACCCTCACCGGCGGCGGCCGCAGTGTCTGTGGCTGTGGCCGTGGCTGTGGCTGTAAGGGACGACTGCCGGCTCAGCTCGGTGCTCGGCCGCGCACTACTGCTGCCATTGGCGTGATGGGACTGAGATGGCGAGCTGATGGAGTTGTGCGCGCTGCTTCCACCACCAGCCACCCGTGAGTGGCGTGCGGATCCGACACCATTGGGGACGCCGCTGCCGCTGCCGCTGCCGCCACCGCCGCTGCCACTGTTGGCGGGCAGCACGCCGCCGCCGATGCGGGCCCAGAACATGTGTTCGCGTAGGCGCACACACTCCTCCCAGGCAGCCTGCTCGGCCTCTTCGTCGGCCGCGCGCCAGTGGCCCTCCTTGATCATGCGCAGGAACACGAGAAAGCCGCAAACCGAGCGCACGCGGCTGAGACAGTAGTTGCACAGCGGGTAGGGCGTGGACTTGTCGCTCTCGGTCAGGCGGAAGCGGTGGTGGCGCAAAAAGCTGTCCTCGCGGCGGTGCTCGCCGCACATGGCGCAGGGCTGCTGGACGACGAGGGCCGATCCGGTGATGTTGGGCACGGGCTCGGCGACGAGGGTGCCTTCGAGGACGGCAGACATGATATTGCGACGGACAAGCCAAGAAATGCCGGGCGCAGTGTCCAAACGCAAGGTCGGCTCGATATCCTCGATGACGACGCGCTTGTAGAATCTCGTCTCCTTGAGCTCCTTGGTGTGGTTTTGTGGCGAATTGGCGTTGGAGGATCCGGACAGGCCGGAAGCGACGGTAGCAAAGGCATTGACAGCCGACATGGAGACGACAGAGGATTGGACAGTGGTAGAGGAGTTGGAGGTTGTCGCGTTCCAGTTGGTGTTGTTCATAGGCGGTGTTTTCGGAAGCGACGTCGAGGAAGGCGACCGGACATGGGATTGGGGTAAGCTTTGCATGTGCAGCATGAGCTGGATTTGCGCGGTGCGGATGAGGTCGACAAACTCGTGGAAAGCGTTCGTGTCGTAGCGGAGAACGGGCCGCAGCAGGTGTGTAAAGCTCATCGGCTGGGACGGGGATTGGGGAACCGTGTCGGGTGTCTGTGCTGCTAGTGTTGATGACGTTGGCGGAATGACTGTGGGCGAAAGGACGATAGTTGTGGGTACGGTGGTGGTTGCCGGGGCCGCAACAGATGGTGAGGATGACGGGCCTTCGTCCGTCTTGGTCGTCTCTGCGTCGTCGGTTGTTTCTGTGTCAGCGGCGCCATCCGCCTGCTTCTCGGAGACGGACCGTGCATCGGCGTCTTTAAAGTCAAACTGGCCAAACCCGGGCGATGTCGGCGTGGTGAGGGCCGTGGTGTGGTCATCACTACCGGCCGCCCCGTTCTGGATCATCTCTTCCATCACTTGCTTGAGTTGGGTCAGCTGCTCTTGTTGTGACTTGAGCAGGACCTCGGTATCGGCCAGCTGGCCCCTGAGATTGTCGTAGCGGCGGTTTGCGGCGACCTGTTCGGCGCGGGCTTCTTCCTTGGCCGCGGCCACCATGATGTTGGCCTGCTCAAAGAGCTCGGCCGTCAAGGACTCCAGCTCGAGCTCGATCTTGGACTTGGCACTCTCCGCCTCGAGACGTAGACGCTTCTCATCCCGCGACTTGGCCAGGATGGCTTGCTTCTCCTCCTCAACGGCCGACTTCCGCACCCACAGGCCACCAGAGAGGAATTCCTTTTGACGAGCAGCGAGTGCTTCCAGCTTGCGAACCTGCTCGCGGGACTCTTCGAGCTCCATGCGGGTTTGAGACAGTGTGTCGTCGAGTGTGCTCTGGCGGTTGATGGCGTCGATGAGTTTCGTGCTGAGCGCTGTGATCTCGTCTTGCGCGGCGGTGTCCGTGCTGCCCGAGGCCAGGTTGCCGGTGCGTAGACGCGGGTCCGGGATAGTGCTGATGTCCTGGTCCTCAATGGAGCTCGACGAAAGGGACGAGGGCAAGCGTCGTATCGGTGTAGACAGTGTCGCGGCGGCATCGTCAGCCTCTGCAGTCAGCTCGGTGGTCGAGTTCGACTTGCGTAAAGAAGGCGTGTCCTCTTTTATTGGGGCTGTCGCGGGGGCGTCGGAGTGGGAATACGTGTGATTTCCCGAGCGGGAAGGAAGTGAGACGTCTTTCGCATCGTCTGTTGAGGCCGCTGCGGCCTTGACGTCTTCTTGTGTTTCGTTTTCGGATGGCAAGGCGGCGGATGCGTCGGCGGAATTTGGTGATGGTTCGGCAGAGTCGACATCTTCAGGGAAGGCACCCGTGACCGGCTGCAGAACGACCTTGGGCTCCTCAGCTTCAACCGTTGCATCCTTTTTCTCCATTTCATCGGTCGTCGTCGCTGGAATGTGACAAAGGCGGAGGATGGGGAAGGGGGACGGCGAGGGTACGTGCAGCCAAGAATGGCTGGCCCTCAAAAGGGGGGAGTTCGATGGAATCCGCGAGCGACTATAATTTCGAGCATATAGAAATAGGAGTGGACGCCGACACTCGGAAAACTGTCGCGAACGTCGAAATCGGACGGTAGGAGACAAAGCTCAAGAATGACGGAAAGGAGGCAAAAGAAGCAGAATCGAAAGCAGCGTTGGTGCGTTAAGAACGTTCGTCTGCGATCGAGCTGGTGTGGGTAACCAGAAGCGCCGATCGCAGGGAGGCCCGGCGCAGTGAGACCAGTAGTGCACTTCAAGAGAAATGGATGGTCACAGTGGCGCTCACGTGGAGGCCGGTTAGGCGAACGAGGAGTGGAAATTGTGACGAAAAGTGTGGAATATGGCACCGAGTGGGCGTTGATTGCCAGGGTCGGAATGCCGAAGCTGAAAAAAGCCACTGTTAATGTTTGTGATGCTGTATACGGTACGAAGGAGACGACGAAAAGGTCTAGAGAAACCGAGATGCAGAAATGTGCTGGCAGAGGTTTGGGTTCAGTGGCGAGAAAATGGCGAGAAAAGCTGACGTCGATGATCTGCGTTCGGGCGCTGAGAAAATCAAGACAGGTGATCTTATTCAGATTTTGGCAGGCCGGCTCGTCGGGTCGAGGCAGGTGCGATGGTGTGAGTGCGGGCAGGCGCAGCCAAGCTAACAGCTGGAAAAAGCCAATTGTAAGACACGGGCGACTGGACAGCGGCCTCGGACAGGAAGTTTAAGACTGGAAAGTGCAATCGAGGGACAAATTCGGCAGAGAGAAAGAAAGAACAGCCAGCGAGGAAAGACAAATAGAAAAGGCAAGAGGGAATAGAAAACAGCGAAAACGCAAGCACGGCAACTCGATCAGAACGAGAAAGAACGAGTCGAGGGAAGTGTCAACAAACGCACAAATGCGGAAGGCGGCAATCTTAATTGCTCTCTTGGGGCAATGACGGACAGGGAAGGTGCCGGCTGGTTTCCTCCCTGCCTCCAATTCAGCACGCACGGCACACGCAAACAGAGTTCAGCTTTGCGTATTGCAGGATCACAGGCCGCTCGTAGCGGCCTTCAGGGAGGACATGATGGTCGTCTTACTGGCCCTATTCACTTTCTAACCTATCAACATCACGAACTAGTCTACATCAGGATTTGCCCATGGGATGGTAACAAGGATGCGTTCAAGTATTCAGCACGACAGGCCCAGCCAAAACCGACTCAAAGTAAGATACGAATTACGAAATATGCCGTAGCCCATGCGACATATTGTTTTCGAGCTGCATCGTGCCTTTCACGTTAATCCTCGTCGTGAAGACGGTCTCGGCTGGCCAGGCCAGAATCTCACTGTGACAATCTGAACTGACCGTATTGCTATGAAGGTGCAATTGGCGTTGGGAGCGGCCGGGAGAGTACAGCTCGTCTTAACAAACCAGGGAAGACATCGTCTTCTCCGCTCTTGCCATCGTGCGCTGTCTCTCCTCTTTCTCCCCGCGGACTTTCTTATTGCTTCTTCTCGATCTATTCTCCTCAATTTCGTGTTCGTTGGCTCCGTATATCTCTCCCTCGTATTTTTGCTACGCTGGTTGAACCCTGCCAGACACGAATAACGAGCGAAGTGCCGACCGAGTCCTTGCTGCACGGCGTGTTTGTGCCGATCCTCTCACCTTTTTATGCAGGCACTTCACTCTACAGCTTGATGCCCTTTTTAGGGTTTACTGACGACATTCACAGATCACCTCACGCACGTTCCCCGCTGTGAGCTGATGCTTTTGGGCGGCATTGCGGGTGGACCGCATGAGGCGCGCCAGGAACCCGACCGCTAGTGCAGCTTGTTTCTATATTAGTTCTTTCTGTTGAGGTAGGGGGATTTCGATTTTTGATTCCGCTTTTGATTGGGCCTCTCGTATCGGACATTGACAACACGAGTTCAGCCCAGATACGCATTGAGATAGTCCCAATATGGCGCTCTGTGTTGATCGTTTCGTTTGCCCTCTTTTCGCTTGCAATTGTGACGATGAGCTTTTTGCAATCTTGCGCTGTGTCACGGTGTGCAACGTACTTTGGACAATAGCTGCACGAAGGGCATTGTTCTCCATGCTACCCGAGCCGAAATGCCTGCAGGACACAGACCACTGCAGGCTACCATGACGCCTCGGGTAGGGGTATTGGAGCGCTCACGTCTGCGTTGTATGGCGGTGTGGTTGGCGAAGGGCTGCAGGACGCTTCTGCAGGGCCTATGGCTTCCAGGGAAATATGAGACGGCAAATACGTCACACTTCAAAATTGGCCAATTAAGCCGTGATGAGAAGAGACGTGACGAAAGAAAACCAGGTTCGAGGCTGGGTTTCGGTAGCAGGCGGCACTTCTATATGTCGCCTTGTAATATCGTCTTGTTTGCTGGTGCACGTGTATGCGTCTTCTCGTACCTTCGGCCCAAATCTGGTGCGGCTCGCACTCAATTCCTCATCTCAGGGCTTTGCCTTCCGCGTCCCGCGTCTTATCAGTCCTGCTATAAAGGCGAGATCCGTGTCGTCCGTCAGTCGCTGTAGGCAACAAAAACAGTCAGCGGCAAGGTCAACGCTACTACGACACACGACGTAATTCTAGCAAGACGGGCGGCACAGTTACACATGGCTGGCATGGTTGACACGGCTGCAAATACTTGTCTTGGAGGGCAACGCTTAATGTCGTGTCAGCATCAGCCTCGCTGGTGTTGTTTCAACACAGATGCTTTGAGATTTCGGTTTACCTTTAGCAGATTAAATTTGTGCAAGTCAAAACAGATAGGATGGAAAAGAAGGGTGAAGCAGTAGTCCAAAAACAACTTGTTATCCTGATCCAAAAAGGGAATATAAATAAACAATATACGATAAATGCACCCATAGCGAGACAGAGGAGCTACGATGCCTACCAACTAGTGCCGAATCACCAACACTGCTGCGACATCGCCCACGAGACAGTCTACTCTCACTGACTTGCAGCTTCTCTAGTGACTAAGCATAATATTGTTACAAGTTATAGGGCGTCTATGCGCAACTCAATTCGTCTAGCGACGTTGACGAAACGGCGGATGGGCATGATGGAAGCTCTGTATCCCGATGCCTGGCCTTCTTGACGCCTTGACGCTTTGATAATTAGAGCCTTGGGCGCAGCCTCGGCCTCGAAAAGAATAAAACAAAGACATCAAGCGGCCTACTTTCTCCTTCAACAGTCGGTATTGATAATACAACGTGGCGATTCAAAGACCACTTGCTGGCGTAACTGACGATGTAAATTTTCTCTCCAGTTTCCCCAAGACATTCGAGAACCACGATGCCTCACGAGCAGAATCTCGACATACGAGAAAGCCGAGCACGGCGAGCGCTGTCAGTACCGACGAGCAGACATTTTAAACATCATTCGCTGTTTAAGTCCTGCATAGCACTTCGAATCGAGTCCCATTGACGTAGTACTTGTACAAAAACGAGAAGTATTACACCGGGCATGGACCGAGTAGACTGGTGCCTGTCACCGAGCACGCCACACCCACTCTGCACGCCAATTGGATATGGGTTCTGCCGTCCTCGACCGCTCTCTCATAAGCGCCTGGACTGGAGGCGCCGTTGGTCTTTTCCCCTCGCGTCCGTAAAAATGGTCGGCTCAGTAGCGTCCCAAGAAAAGGCTGGCTACTAAGGAGGATAGTTTAGTTTCACCGCCCGCTTTCCATCCCGACTAATCTGAATTTGTTTACTTAGAACCGCCCAGGATTCAGCTACGAAGCAAGCAACATCTTCGACTCTTCTTTATTTCACCGCGCCTGTGAACTATCCTTTGCCCTATTGACGATAAACTGATTACCCCGACAAAGCATCCTAATGGTCGCTGCCGAAATGGTTGTTTCCGTTGTCAAGTATGCTTCCATATCGGTCGCGGCACTCGTTGGGTTTTACGCAGCACTTTTGGGGCTTCTCACGACGTCCACATTTCAGTCCCATGCGGTGTACCTGCATGCAGTTCAGATGACATGGTTCAAGGATCTCGATGTCCCCGAGACCTTTGGTTTTCTAAGAAATCAGGTGACACCGTTCTCGGTACAGACGATTGACGGCGAACAGCTGCATGCTTGGCACATTCTCCCCGTGGGGTTGTATCGTAAGCACGAACTGTCTCTCGCTGCAGAGCCAGCCGGTTTCGCCGGGGACATCACCCGCCGGCTCGCGTTCCAACTACTTCGCGACGACCCCGAAGCCCGGCTGGTCCTTCACCTGCACGGCGCTGGAGGCACGGTCGGTTCCGGCTACAGGGTCCCCAACTACCGTGCGCTGTCCGCGGGGCAGCCGGGCAAGATACATGTTTTGACATTCGACTATCGAGGATTTGGACGGAGCACCGGGAAGCCGTCGGAAAGCGGACTCGTCACCGATGCGCTGGCTGTCGTGGACTGGGCGATGAATGTCGCAGGCATACCGCCGTCACGCATTGTCGTCTTTGCGCAGTCGATGGGGACCGCTGTGAGCATCGCTCTATCAGAGCGCCTTGCTTTGCAACCGCAGCCTGTGGTCTTTGCAGGCACAGTCCTTGTCGCGCCATTTGTCGATGTGGCAACGTTGGTAGCGACATATCGTGTGGCAGGTACCGTGCCGATTTTGTCACCGCTCGCACGATTCCCCTGGTTATTTAAATCTCTTCAACACTTTATCAAGGACAAATGGCCAAACAAAGACCGCATTGCACAATATGTTCGTGCCAACGAGCAGCAGAAAACAGATTACCGTCTGACCATCATCCACGCAAAGGACGACTACGATATTCCATGGGATCACACACCGGCCCTTTTCTGGCATGCCGTCAATGCTTCTGTCCCTTCTGGCATCAGCCAAGATGAACTCGAACAGAGAAAATTGGACGAAAGACGGGATCTCGGAGCCGCCGGATCCGTCATGGAATGGCGGACAGAGTATGGTGTGATTCGAGAAGAAATCCTGGAGACGGGTTTGCATGATGTGGTCATGGGCTACCCTGTAATAACGATGGCTGTCATGCGCTCCTTTGAAGCTGCGGATCCGACATTTAAGTCTTAATTTTGATTTTGGAATTTGAGTTTAAATTCGCATATCTTTTTCTTTCGCGATTTCGTTGGTTTCTGTTTGTATAAAGTTAGCGGCACAGCGTTCTTTTGGAAGTCGTTTTCTAGAAGGTCAATATATGATTATGAAGATTTCAAATCTAGCGAGTGCATTAATGGCATCACGGCGACGAGGGCTCGTTTAACTTAGGTAATCTAGTCTTACAAGAAGTGCATCCAATACGTTGAAACTTCAAACGTATCGTATATGGCCGGTTCTTCGCCTCTTAGTGTGACAAAGACCTCGACCATCATAACGATGCGACTGACAAAGTACAGACCCGGAGAAGCAATGCTTATAACTGTAACAAGACCATTCCAGCGGAAGACAACCTTCTCAAAGTGCATAAAGACGAGCATGGAGAGAATGGACAGAAAAATGGCTCCACGCCACATCCACATTTCGAACGTCGACGGAAAGACGGTTTTCCATGACACAAGGTGAAGCGCTGGAAAAAGAACACTGAAGATGCACATCAGCGGCCAGATCCGAGACCTGTACAGCTGGGGGTCCCAGTGTGACAAGACGATCTCTTTTCGCAGCTCAGTCTGAAGATCTTCCACATTTCGTGTGCCGTATTCTAGGGTGGCCGAGGCTGTGACTTTGCGCGAGACATCGTGCGAGATTTCGTGACGAGGATCGTTTTGCCGGCTCTGAGCGGCATCGTGGATGAAGACCTCTTCCGGTTTTCTGTAGGCGTTTGATGGTGTGCTTCGTATTGCTCGAGCGTTTTGTATAGCTCTGTCCTCTGCTTCTTTCTAAAACAAGCGAGGGGTGAGATACCAGATGTTCCAGTATGTGACCTGGTCTCTCCTCCCTTCAGAGTCAAATTTGTTGCTAACTGCCATCAACTCGAAGTCGCGCATTTGTTCTGGACTCATATCCGGCAATTTAACAGTGGACGGCGAACATATGTCTTTGGGTTTGCTCCACCAGAAAAAGTATGTGACGACAAATATGGGGATGTAGCCGAGGGTCATGGCCTCGATTTGAGAAATGGGGAGATTATTCGCGGATCGCATGATGCATTGTGCCATGAACCAGGACACCTGAGTCAGAGCCACAAGTTTGGTAACACCGTCTGCTTTGCTCTTGTCCCGTATGGTCTCCTCGGAGAGCCCCCAGGAGGCGTGATCCTGCCAGTCGATAAGTCGTTCTCGAAGTAGCCAAGCGTATTGATTAGGCCAGATCACACGATCGCCGAGTTGTGTGCGGTATCGCAAACCAAGCATGCTGATATAAAACGCTTGTCTGAGCTTGAACTCTCCTTGTGTAAGTGAAGTACACTCATCGACCATCCTCCGGCACTGAGCCCACTCTTGGAGCCCTTCCACAGCGATCAACTCAGGCGCTAGTATGGTCTTAAGGAAGAGGGCTAGCCTGTGGAATGTCGCAAATCGTAGTCGTTTGTAGACTCGGGGGTGTATCACCACCCACGTGCATAGGAACGTGGTGGCTAGACATGTTGTGATCAGGCTTAGTGTGCCACGTCCATTCGATTCCAAAACCCAACCGACTAACTCTCGTGGTGATGGCGACAGACTTGGTTCGTTTGTCGAGTTGGTTGTAGGAGTATTCATCGAAATACACCCTGTAACGGTATGTACGTTCTCGTATGGCAGTAGGGGTTCTTCGATCTGAATCTGGTGATATTTATTTTTGCTGGTTGGGCGAAAATCCAATATATACGAAACTTGAAGTACGAGACGAAGATGATATGAACTGTTGTGAAAACCGCAAAAGAATGCAAACACTGCATTTATTTATCAAACGTTGGGCCGGGCCATCGGAAAAGGTGATACCCAAAATAGCAGATGAAATAAAAACAATTTAGAGATACCGTTGAATGGGACGTGCCGGCCCGTGAAGGTCGCTTGTGTTCGGGGGCTTGTCAGTTGTTTCATCCTATTTTCAGTTTATTTCAGGCTCAGCGATGTTTGCTTCTGGCCTGGTTACATTTGTAGACCAACAGCAAATTCCGAACCGCCATTCACGCCTTCGGTACGACTTCGTATGCAGGGGCAAGGCGCTGTCTTTTTTGTCGCGTTTATTACAGTCGTGTCTCAGGCCTACCCCCATGGATGCAAAGAACGGAATTCAAAACATTCCCAAGAAAAACCACGGGTAATCCTGGTACGAAAAGCTGCGCGGCTCGAATTCAAACCTTATTGGTGAAAGTCTTTTCGCTGAGACAAGGAACTCATGCAGGCGCTAACTGATACCCGCCATCACCCTCGCTGATAAAACGTGGGGATACGCAGAAGCGCACAAAAACAGAGCTGGCTATCGCATCCGTGAATAATATCATCCAAATGATCTGCAGAAGGCTTTCCCGTGGGGAAAAGAGCATCTGATGATTGTCGCTGGGTAAGCTTGTGCATTCCAGCACATCTGCGATGAGCTTGATTCAGAATTTGAAAACTGGCCCAGACAAAAACCGGTTTGACCTGCAAGACATCGCCATTGTTGACGACCACCGACGCAACTGGCTGGAATAGCCATAGTAAAAAGAGGACATCCAATTTATGTAATCTCCGTCGCTAAAGACGGAATGCGTCGCATTTCGCTGCCACGTACCAAGTTCACCGGGATATATGTCATAAAAACAGCTCTGTAGGTCACTGGGACTACAAGAAATACGGAGAAAGCGCCGCAAGTTGGACAGATGGACTAAGAAAAGGAGGCTCTCGAATGGTCCTCCTAGGCGCTCGGACACATCGGTATGCATGTCTGCAAATATCAAAGTACAAGAGTACAAGAGGGCCATTTCAAGACAATTGTAGTTATGCCAGGCCAGTAATATCGCGCTCCGTTTTGAGGGAGGGAGCTGCAAACACCGATAACGGAGACAAAGAAGAAAACGAGTGTCCTGCCGACCGCTCATCCGCTCTCCAGGCGAGACAGGCGAGACAGGCGAGACTTGGCCAGCATGCAGTCTAGGGCATCAGTTGTATGTGACGTGTGTACGACATAGATAATCTTATTATTCCAAGATCTGCTAGAGAGATGATTCTGGTTTTGCCGTCGACGAGAACGCCGTAATTACTGTGTCGATTCTGGATACTCGCTTTGCTTCTCATCCACAGTCGGCAAAGACGTAAAAGTCTTGAACACCATACCAATTCCACCACGCCACAACAACGTAGTATTATCAGATGGATCGGCGCTGAGTTGAAATTTCCTTTTTGTTTCCACCTGGCCCCATCCTTCCATGGTGTCCTAGCCAGTCCCACACCCTCTGGATTCCTCCGTACGAAGTCGTCAGTGTGTTTTTGAGTTATCAGATCGTCTTTTGCGTGAATTTGTCTTAGGGTGCCCCACTCTGGGATATGTCCCGTAATCAGATGCGAATTTGGCGGCACGCAGCACCCAAATCGGTGCTAGTCGAGGTGCTAGTTGAGCAAGTCGGACCCCTTCTTCTGCTCCACGGCAGGCATTTCGGGCAGTCGGGCTTTGCTTTCTTGCTGTCTTATTTCTTTCTCGTCTTTCTTCGTCCATGGTGTGCTTTGCGTCGGTGAGGCGGTTGAGTTGTTTTCATTTGATTGCTGGCTGTCGTTCTTTCCTCAAGTTTACGATCTGTTGTGCTCGATATTTCTCGTATGCGGGGCGCGGCAGGCGCGTGTCTTTTGGTCTACTTGCTCTTGTTGCTCTTGCCTCGCGTCTGGAGATGGATGTACATGCGGCACACGTCGCTCCTACCACACTAAGTTGAACTGGGAAACTGGATAACTGGTCAAGTTAAGCGAGTTCGGTCCCTTCCTTCCTCCTTTGCCTGCTTTTGCTTGATCCGATGGATCGCACTTTCCTGTCCTCCCATGCACCACCCCCAGTAGCATATTCTTAGCGTGGGGACCCGACCAAGCACTTCATCTTATCTCTCCGAAGAGTTTTCTTTTTCTTTTTTCTTTTTTTTTCAACGCTGTCGACGACTCTATCCTCTGGCTACCATCCTGTCTCCGTCCCCACCACGCCTGTTCAATGGCCGTTCTCAGGAAGCTGCTCTGCCGTGGGGCTTGACCGTGGGGTTTGCATAGGTTCATTCATATCCTGGTCCTACCCTAGCATATCATTCTTTGCACTCCTCGCAGTCGGAGCTCTGGTTGGGTAGCAGTGAAGACAGGATTGTTGTTACTCTCCCTCTCCACCTCCGTCCTTCTTCTCGACTATCCTATCCTTTTAAGAATCAGGCCCTCTCCTGTTCCTTTGATTTTGTTCTTTTTTCTTGTCTCTTTCTCTTGGCACTCCATCTCTTCCATTCATCCCTTGGATGTCGCCAAGTTGTTCCGGTACAGCTTCTTCGTCTTGTCTTGTTTTAAATTAATCCTCTTTAACTTCGTCTTCTTTCCATCCCCCCACGATGAGTGTATTCCACAACATCCGCGGCCGCAACAAGGCTGTCGATTCACTGGTCATCGGGCCCACAGCCGGCGAATATGCGGCCCCCGAGGCCACGACCACCGGTGCTGACATCGGCGTCCTCGGCGGCGACAACGAGAAGGCCGTCGTACCCCCGCAACAGGAGGCCAGCTCCAGCAGCGACGACTTGTCTCGACTGAGTCTCGAGGCCCGAAACGAGCTCGAGGTCCAGAAGCATGGTGGCATCGTCACCGAAAAAGCGCAGCTCGGTGTCCAAAAGGCCGAGGCCGCCGCTCTGGTGTGGACGCGCAAGGCCGTGCTGCTGACCTACGTCTGGATCTGGGTCTGTTTCTTCATGCTGGCCCTGCAGCAGTCGATCCTCAGCAACGTCACCTACTACGCGTACAACGACTTCCAGCTGGCGCCGCAGCTGGGCACGGCCAGCATCCTGGCGTCCGTCATCGGCGGCGTCGTCAAGCTGCCCATTGCCAAGGTGCTCAACGTCTGGGGCCGCGCCGAGGGCTTCCTGTTCTTTGTCTTCATCTACCTGCTGGGCATGATTGTCCTTGCCTCGTGCAAGGGCCCCAACGGCTACGCGGCCGGCTACGTGTTGTATTGGATCGGCTACGACGCGCTGTACTTTATCATGGACGTCTTTGTGGCCGATACCTCGGGCCTGCGCAACCGGGCGTTTGCTTTTGCGTTCGTGTCGACCCCCTTCATCTGCACGGCCTTCACGGGCCCGCTGGCGGCGCAGGCTTTCATTGACCACGCGTCGTGGCGCTGGGCCATTGGCGCGTTTGTCATTATCATGTTTTTTGTGTTCACGCCGCTCGCCGTCGTCTTCAAGTTCTTCCAGCGCAAGGCCGAGACGATGGGCCTGTTTGTGCGTGCCAAGTCGGGCCGCACCTGGTGGCAGTCGACGCTGCACTACATCCACGAGTTTGACATTGTCGGCATGCTGATTCTGATGGCGGCATGGGTGCTGTTCCTGCTGCCTTTCAGTCTGCAGACCAACGGCCGCGCCGAGTACAAGTCGGCGTCCTTTATTGCCATGGTCGTCGTTGGCCTCCTGCTCTTCCCCGTCTTTTATGTCTGGGAGCGCTACTTTGCGCGCGTGCATTTCGTGCGCTACGAGCTGTTCAAGAAGCGGACCGTCGTCGGCGCCTGCATGCTGGCCGCCGTCCTGTACTACAGCTTCTACGCCTGGGACTTGTACTACTACTATTTTGTGCAGGTCGTCTACGATCTGAGCATCGCCCAGACCGGCTACATGACGCAGATCTACAACGTCGGCTCGTGCTTCTGGGGCGTCGTCTTTGGCGTGTTTGTGCGCCAGACCAAGCACTTCAAGTACGCCTGCCTCTGCTTTGGTCTCGTGCTGATGTTCCTTGGCTCGGGTCTGATGATCCGCTTCCGCGGCCAGGACGCCAACATTGGCCTCATTGTCATGTGCCAGATCTTCATTGCCTTTGGCGGCGGCACGCTCGTGATCGGCCAGAGCATGGCCGTCATGGCGGCGGCCGACCGCGACGGCGTGCCCATGATGCTGGCGCTGCTGTACCTGTTCAACAGCTTTGGCGGCTCCGTTGGCTACGCCGTGGCGCAGGCCATCTACGTCAACACCTTCCCAGACGCACTGCGCAGCCACCTGCCCGACGACCTCAAGAACCAGACCGAGACGATTTTCAACGGCGGCTCGACGCTGCAGCTGACGTACCCAATGGGCACGCCCGCGCGCGAGGCCATCAACTTTGCCTGGGGCCAGAGCCAGCGCGTCAACTGCATCTCGTCGACGGCCTTTTTGGTCCTGGCCATCCCGGCCATTCTGCTGTGGAAGAACTACAACGTCGACCGCCGGCAGAACAAGGGAACTCTGTTGTAAGCCGTGGGAAGAGATCGGCTCCGAAAATGAACGGCCTAGTCATCGGAGCACTTTTGCTTCTACATATATCCGTCCGTGCCGTAGGCAGCAGGCCACAAGCCGGTCGTTTTGGGTAATCTGCGCTGCTGAATCACTACAGTATGGACTATGGAGCACTGGCAACGCGAATAGTATAACAGTTCTAGACCATTTTTACATCGTCATGCACCAAGGTGATTGATCTAAAAGCGCTGAAGCGAGAAAATGTCATTCATGCAATCATGGGCATCAGTCACGGAATCATCGATAGAGCTGCTTGGAGTTCCATCGTTCTGCTTAGCCGCTAGCGAGTTCCAGATACCGGTCACCAGGCCATACCCAGTAGACATCGTGCCTGGTTACGTCTTTTTTCACGTCTACACTGTATCTGACCCGTTCGGCAAAAGCAACGTCTCTACCTCCCATCATATTTCCACCACGATCGGCGGATTTCGCAGCTTGTTGTCTGGCCCGCCAACAACGGCGGCGTTGACGAATGTCGTCACTTTCTCGTCGTGGCGAATGCCCATGATTCGCAGCGGTGCTGCTAGCATCGCTGTGGTCTTTGCCCACACGACGAGCATGAGCATCCACACCACGCCGGCCCACCCGGCCCACCCGATCGCGACGGTATCGTGCTGCCAGCGCACGGCGTCGACCAAGACGTCTTCCCGTCCGTACGCCGCATGAATGTGGCCAAAGACACACAGCCGGGGCCGCAGGCGCGCCACCTGCTCCGCCAGGTAGGCACACCCGGCGCGGTAGAAGTCGCGCTGGTCGCGGTGCAGCTTCGGCGGGCCGTGCGTGACGAGAATGTCGGGTGGCTGTGCCGGCGAAAACGCGCGCAGCCGCTCCGACCAGTGCGTCGGGCAGTCCGGGCGGTATTGGAACGCGGAGACACCGTACGCCGGGGTCCAGGGCGAGCCGTAGATGGTGAGCGACCGGGCGCCCACGCGAATCGTGACGTGCCGGTCTTGGAGATACGTCACGTCGCCCCAATCCAGGTCTCGTCTTGTCTCTGTTGCGGACTGTCCATACCGGCGTTCTGGATGCTTCTCCAAAAAGGCATCGTCCAGCAGCACGTCGTGGTTGCCGGCAACGAGGATCTTGTGCTGGTGCGGCTGCGCCGCCAGCCACGACAGGCCCGCCTGCACCTCGGCGAACGAGCCCCTGTCGGACAAGTCGCCCGCGTGGATCAGTACATCGCCGGCCGGCAGAACGGGTTGTGTGTTGTGCGTATCGGCGACGCAGACAACGCGCACAGGCTTATATTCGGCGGTGGTGGTGTCTGTGGTGGTGGTAGTGGGGACGGATGCGGGCCGGCCGCGCAGGTGGATCTGCAGGAGACGTGCTGCTAAGCGCTTCTTGGTCTGGCCGCGTAGCTTGATGCTGGTGAGAGGTTTTGGTGGCGGATGCTGCTGCTGCTGATCTTCCATTGTGCCTTCGAATGATGTGTCTGGTGAAGGCTGAATATTAAGCCAAAGAAAATGGATTGCTTTTTTTGCAGCAAGAATTAAGATGGATGTGAATTGGCTGCTTCGAAACGCACCTTTGGTTAGTTAGCTTGTGGCATGGCGCTAAATGCACCGGCGCGTAGCGCCCGCAGCCCAGAAAACTGACGAACAATTTAAAATAGCATCGAGGCCCAAAACGAACAGCCGTCTTGATATTGTTGCCAATGTTTACGTATCGAAATGCCCAACGGGTCTCTCAAAATGGTCAACAGAGGCATAGCCACTGCAATAAATTATTTCTGAGACAGGAGAGGGTTTCACCTCTTACATTTTGCAGAAAAAAGACGAAAATAATAGAATATCATGACATTGCGCTGAAAGTTTTCATGAAGCTTTCAAGTGGATGAGAAGGATGAGAAGGCCAAGGCAGAGCACGTAGACTTACTTAAGTTGAAGGGGGTCGTAGGACAAAAAAAAAAAAAAAAAAAACTAACTCGCGCCTCAACTCCGTTATCACAGCTAGGTCTTCGTTTGTGCGAAACTATCAACTTGAAGGCTTTAGCTCAAAGCACCACCGTTCTGATTTTGTTACCATACAAGACACACAGATCCAAGACCATGGGCAGCGGAAACAGCAAGCCGTTCCGCAAAGGCAAAAAATCGAGAAACAATAACAAAAATAACCAGAGCAACATGGTTATTGGTGCACCCCAAGATGTCATAACACACATCCCACGCAACAGACTCGACAAGTACGGCAACCCGGTCCAACAAGTCACTCGCGACATTGACCGCGGAACCTTTTCGGCTGCGCTTCAGCATGTGTCAGATTACATTGCCAGCCGTCGGCAGCATATCACCGTCGTTGCTGTCGGCGGCGCCGTCAACATTCTGCATCTGCGGTCTCGCGCTACCACGCACGACGTTGATATTTTCGGGTCCGATTTTAACAACCATGCCCGGCTACTTCTCGACGAAGCTATGCACAGTGCCCAGCAGCCGTTTCCGACTCTACCGAGACGCAGATGTGGATGCCCGGCCCGATACACGAGCACCTCACAGCGGCATCTAAACAACAGAATGTTGTGGTGTTTAACGGCGCCGGGTTGACCATTTACGCGGCCCCATGGGAATATGCCTTTTCTGCCAAAGCCAGCCGCCTCATCAAGGGCGGAGAGCAAGTGCGCTCCTACGACCTTGCCGACGCCGTCACGTATATCCATCAGTACATCCTCTTGCACGGCAACCGCCCGGTCTCGGTCGACACCGTGCTAGGCTGGGCCCGGCAGTACAAACACGAAACCAGCAAGAGTTTCTGCGCAATCGCGTGGATCCCGAGTATCAGCGACTGCACAGCGGTCGCCATGCTGTTGTTTGAAATGGATCTGAGCAGGAGGGGTCAGTCACGTCGTCGGATTTCATTCATCGGGTCGTTACTCGGAATTGTTTAGTATTTTCGTACCTAGTCTTGCGCTGGACGAATGGGTGCGTTGGTCACTTGTCCCAACACGTAGGAAACCAAGAATGGAGATAGCAGGTTCGAATATGACAAGTTGGTAATGTCAAAACGCGAGCTGCACGTCATATTGATGGTATTAATGGCATGGCGCAACCCTCACGTAAAGGAGATATGAGGTGTCCATAACACAATGTTTTTAGCTAGAAACTCCGGGCAAGCTCGACCGTCGCCTTTGTCCAGTATTTCACCACCCTCGGTCGGCACAAATAATGTCGCTACCAAGGAGGCAGCCCTCTCAGCCCATTCAGGCGCTCTTTCATATGCGCGCAGATGGTCAGGACGGTTCCGGCCCCTTTCCGCCTCCTCTGGCGTGATCAAGGACGGCATGTTGCGATCCAGCCCGAGTTTGATCCTTTCGTTAAACGACCGGACCAGTAGAAGTGTGCAGCAGGCCAAGAATGCGTAGCGCTCGGGGTCCTCGTCTTTAGGATCTGGGATGTCGTGGACGGGCCATGATTTTTGTCGCCAAAAGTACTCCAACTGATTTCGATAACTGATGACCTTGTCCAGGAGAACGAATTCGTAAAGACGGTAGAGGGAATACAGGGGCTTGTCGTCGAACTCGCCCTGAGGCGCGGAGAACTTTATGGTCGAGAGCTTCGCCAAGTACGCGTCGCGGTTTTCCAAGATGCGACGAGGCGTTGGCGGCGGGAAGACCGGATAGTCTTCGGGCGTCGGGACGTACTCGTCTGAATCGCTGCTGGCGAGATCTGAGATGGAGGAGGCTTTTCGGCGCGCCCATGGCCAAGCCAGAGGCCATCGTATGTGCTTGAAACAGGTCAGGATGGGCATTTTCCTGATATCGCGGCCGCTGCTCGCTATCGTACAAAAGGATTCGGGTGCTAGAAAGTTGGAGACGGCACGTTTTGCTCAAGTTGCGGGGATTGCACAACATATTAATACAGCTGAGCAGCGCCGCAGCACTAGCACCAATACTGCGTCAGTGCACTGACGCTGAGGACTTCACTACACTCGGGCATTGCTCCAACTATATTTTCTCTTCCCCAACTTGTCGCCTCATAAACTGTACCCTGTCTCTCAGTTCAGGCACCCCAGGCTGCCCAGACGCAGGACCGTGTCCTTGGGAGGCGTTTTCCAGTTTGAGATGCTTACCTTCTCGCCACTGACGACTGCCAGCTTCGGCTGACAAAGGCATCAGTGCTCCGGTCCTCTGACGGCCTCTGTGGGTGTCCCAACCTGATCTGAGCAAAGCACTGAGCAGTATCGCGCACGATGTCCTCCAACGGTACGGCACCGTCCAACGCCGCGCCGACAATGCGTGGCAGCGGCCGTGTCCTCGTGGCCTGCGACAGCTGCCGCCTGCGCAAGTCCCGCTGCGACGGACTGCGGCCTCGCTGCAGCCACTGCGTCCAGTCCGGCCGCACGTGCTTCTACCGGCCGACACCCGCCGGCCTCGAGTCTGATGCGTCCGTGCTGGCCCGTCTCGCCGACACGGAGGCGCGGCTGCAGGCACTCGAGGACAAGAACCGCATGCTTCTGGCGGCGTTTCCGGCGCTGTCGTCACCCGGGACTGTGGCCGCAAACTCGCTGGCCACAAGTCAAGGCCAGGCCCAGAGTCTGCAGAGCAACCAAAATCAGAGCCAGGATCAGAGCCAGGATCAGAGCCAGCCGGACCGCCAAAACGCCGACGCATCCGACGACAGCACTCTCACGCCGCCGGACCTGCACACGGCCGCCGCATTCCAGCTGCTGACTCGCTGGCCGCGGCTGACGATCAACATGACCATCCCCGGGCACGACACGCAGACGTACCTGACGCGCTGCGACCAGGCCGACGCGCTGCTGGAGCGGGCTGGGAGCGATGATGCCCGCAGAAGCCTTGACACAGACGATACCTATGCGCCCTGGCAGGCCATCCTGGCCCTCGAGCAGCTGTACGATCGCAACATCTCGCAGAACCTACCCCTGGCCATAGCAGCCCTGCTGGAGGCGGTGCCATTGCTGCAGCGGGACCATGTCCTGGCCAGCTTTGCTGCGATCTTCCATGGCAGGGACAACAGCCAAAGCCGGCCGGTGCCGTCCACCGATGCCATGGACGCCGATGTGGACCTTGTGGAGGAGGCGACCATGGCGGCGGCCACACAGCCGCAGCCGTTTCACGGCGGCCGCATTCACAGTCCGAATAACCACCACCACGAACATCAACAGCAACAACAGCGCCACCCCGCCGGCCAGTCGCCGGCCATCGACTACGACCGCATGTCATTCGCCCAGCTCCTGATGTACTCCATTGCTGCGCGCGTGTGCATAGGCTCCAACGGGAAGGACACTCCGCACCGCCCGCGCCAACGCACGCCCTTTGACCCGCCCTCGGACCCGTCGCTCATGGCCCTGTCGGCACACACCTGCAGCCTGGCCCTCCAGAAGCTGTGGACGCTGCAGGCGGGGCCAGCCGAAGATCGCGTGCCGCTTGTGCTGTTCCTGGCCCATTACCTGGCCGACTTTTGGGTGCGGCCGTTCCACGCGCGCGGACTGCTCCAGTCCATCGATCCAGCCATCAAGCACATGGCCATGATGCAGCCAGACGATCCGTACGTCCCCCACCGCAACTTGATCTGGATATCTGCATTGTGTCCTCTCACTCACAGAACAGACTGGTCACACTGTACGCGCGGCTGCACTTTACTCTTGAGAGGTAGGTCGCTGCATCGTTAAACAGACGGCTTATTCTTGTAAAGGCTGGTTACGTGCTGACAACCCAGCGACATCATCACCGAACTCAACGGTTTCTGTACATTGTCGAGCGCAGCCTTGCTCGCCATGCCAGCGTTGGAGACGGCCAGCGCCGCCTCGACGGTTCCTGTGTCCTCTCTTCTCCATCCCGCCTCACCTCCCACGTCATCCGCGCCCGCCTCACCGGACATCGAGAGCCACCAGCAGCACAACGCCCTTCAACGACCACCGCCACAACGGCCACTGGCATCCCATGTCAAAAATCATGTCCGCCTGCGCATCCTGCTCAACCGCATCCTGCATTTGCTCTATAGCCCGACCAGGGCCTACGCCCAGCCACATGAGCTCGCCGACATCGTGGCGCGCCTGAGCGCCAGTCTGCGTGCATGGTATCAGGCACAGCCGCCCGGCCAGCAATTCGTTCGCGATGCCACTGTCTTTCGTATCCACCAGCCGTCCACCACGACAACGACAACAACGATGCCCTTCCGGCTGCGCGAGACCGCCCTGCGCTACTTTGGCTGCGTCTTTTTGCTCCACCGCCCCGTCCTCTACTATTTCTTGCACAACGACCTCGAGAACGCCGCCCGGCCGCCCGGCCACGTCCGCGCCCTGCACGTCGACCGCGAGCCCTGGGTCCTCGAGTCGTGCCGCGACTGCATCGAGAGCGCCGCCCTCTTGATTCACCTGTCGTTCCCGACGCCCGAAGAGCGCGGCACGTCCGCCGGCACCGGCGGCGGGCTGTGCGTCGAAGACGTCTTCGGGTCGTGGTGCGGTCTGCAGATGCTCTTTGCCGCCTACTTGATTTTGCTGCAGGTCCGCGTCGTGCCCAGCCTGCGGCCCGTGTTCCGCAACGTGGGCGACGCGGACGCGCTGCTGGACAAGGTCGAGCGGGCGTTTGCGACGCACCCGGTGCGGCGGTCGCTGGTGCTGGACACGAGCCTGGCCATTCTGCAGGACGAGCGGCGCAACTTTGCCGCGGCGACGCCCTAGACGGCACGCGACAGGATAGAACTATGCGAACGGCTTGCATTTGGAAATGCCACAACTGGTCCTGTGCCTGGCCGCTGGCACAATGCAGAATGGCTGTTGATGAGAATGGCGTTTGTTTGGCTTGTGTCGACCACCTTGTCGTGTTGTTTTGTGTACAGTATAGAACAAAACGTGAACTATTGGACGTATCGTCATCGCCGCTCTGCCAAACGATGGACGAATGATACACCTGGCCGGCCATTTTCGCGCGCGAGAAAATCTTAAAAATAAAGTCAGGTTGATCAGCCGAGTCTCGCATCTCGTTGATCGTGTCCTCGCGTGGCCTGATTTTGATGTCCCACGGACCTTTGGTTTCGATCTCGAACAAACGATCTTGGCTCGGCCTTGGGTCTCGGGTCGGTCTCCTTGTGGCCCTTGCGCGATCGGAAGCAAAACCATGTGGTGAACGCTCGCATCTAGGATCGTTCTTGGCCATTCACGAGTGCGGCCTTGTTGTCAGGTCTTATGGCTCCTTTGTCTCGTGACTCTGGACCAAAACCATTCTCCGAAACACGTCTGTCACCGACTGGGTCGCGCCTTCCTGTTAACTGAGTTGCTTTGTTGATATAAAATTGTTTCTAAACCCCATTAATTGTTCCTTCCTCTGTTCGGCATATCCGCTCCTTCTCTTCCACGACACGTTTGCCTTCCATTCGCCCCTTTTCTCTGTTTATAATCTTCCACGTCCACCTCTCTCCTACCACGTCTTCCCCGCAAAGTGGTCTACATCCTCGGCCTCAACAGCGGCTCGATTTTTGTCGTCGTTGACGCCGTCCTGTGCTAAATCGACGTGCCCGTCCGCGACCTCAACGACAAAGATCCTGCCTTCAACGTCATCCTCAAGATTGGCGGCATTGTCAATCTGCAGCTGACGCCCACAAGGACGGCAGCCGCATGATGGCCTTTGACACGGGCCCGGGCAACGTTATGGTTGACCACGTCAAGGCCCGCACGGGCGGCAGCTACGACGAGGACCGATGACATTCTGAAACGGTACGGTACGCCGACGCGTCCTACAAAGACCTGCTGGCCATCCTGACGCGCTTTACTGGCATTGCCATCACTTCGCGTCTCGTCGACTTCATTCTACCTAAATTTGGCAGCTAGCCCCTGGTGATCACCTCGGGCGGTGGCACACGCAATGCCACGCTGATACGTGACGTGACCTGGCCGACGAGCTTGACACGCAGGTCCTCATACTGAGCACGAGCGACGAGTTTGACATCCCCGCCGCCTTCAAATAGGTCATCCAATTTGCCCGCTTGCCTTTGCCAGCAAGCGCCGGCTCGCCAACGACTTCCCCCGCCGCCGGGGCTTACCGCTTCGCGACGCTGGGCAACGCACAAAACAGCGAGCGCGTTGTCGGACGTGACGAGCGCGTGCTGGGCATTATGACGGTGTCGAGGAGGACGGGGTTGAGCGGGGCGCAGAGGCGATTGCGCTGAGCTATGTGCCTGCGTGACGAGATCAACAAAACGATCGTTAGAAGATGTACTTGATTTCACAATCTACCTATACGTACAGCTACTTTTCTTGTTCCCTTTCCTTTGCTATCTTCGTTTTGGTGCATAATACCTTACGCGTTGGCTTGCTTTCGTTGCCTTGCGCCGCTGGCTGAGCGCGCCGGCTAAATGATCCAATATCGAGGGCACAACCGTTCATCCTTCTTCCATTCACCTCACTTGCCCCTTACCTTTGCAAACAGGGAATGCATTGACGGCAAAAGAGCAACCGGGGTTGGATTACCCTGCATTACATAGCTGTCTATCCGCCAGGTTTGGTCGTGCCCGTACGCTTTCTGACATTGCTAACTCGCTATTTGCACGGACTTTCGATGTTCATCACCACTCGACCTGCACGACGTCGAGCTCCATCGACGACAACCATTGTTCCACACATATCTTCCCTTACACACATATTCCACGATGCATCGAAAAATAGTACCCCTCGTAGCGGTAGCCGCCAGGACCGCTCTGGCTGCGCTCGAGGTCGACCTCGACAATTCCGACTCCATCATCGCCGCCGCGAAACTCAAGGCCTACGACGTCATGACCTACTACAAGGGAAACCTCAGCGGCCAGATCCCAGGCATCCTGCCCGGACCGCCACCCGTCGGCGAGTACTACTGGTGGCAGGGCGGCGCCCTCTGGGGCACCATGATCGACTACTGGCACTACACCGGTGACACCACCTACAACGACGAGGTCATGCAGGCCCTCCAGTTCCAGACAGGGCCGCCCCAGAACATGTACATGCCCTACAACTGGACTGCCTCGCTGGGCAACGACGACCAGTCCTTTTGGGGCATGTCCGCCCTCCTGGCCGCCGAAGTCGGCTTCGAGAACCCGCCCGCCGACGCGCCGCAATGGCTCGCCCTCGCCCAGGCCGTCTTCAACTCGCAGACCACGCCGATACGTCGCGACGACCAGTGCGGCGGCGGCCTGCGCTGGCAAATCACGCCGCTCAACAATGGCTACAACTACAAGAACTCGATTGCCAACGGCTGCTTCTTCAACATCGGCGCGCGCCTCGCCCGCTACACCCGCAACGACACCTATGCCCAGTGGGCGGCCGAGACCTGGGACTGGGTCGAGGGTGTTGGGCTCATTGATGCCCAGTACAACATCTACGACGGCGGCCACACCGACAAGAACTGCACCGACATCAACCGCGCCCAGTTCTCGTACAACGCCGCCATCTTCTTGCAGGGCGCCGCCTTCATGTTCGACTACACCCAGGACCCCGTCTGGAAGACGCGGGTCGAAGGCCTGCTCACAAACATGCTCGCCACCTTCTTTCCCAACGGCATCGCCAAGGAAATCTCGTGCGAAAGCGACATCAATCTCACCTGCACCACCGACATGCTCTCCTTCAAGGGCTACATCCACCGCTGGCTCGCCGTCACCGCCCAGATCGCCCCCTACACCCACGACCGCATCTTTGCCACCCTCAAAACCTCCGCCGAGGCCGCCGTGCGCCAGTGCACTGGCGGCGACACAGGTCGTGTCTGCGGCTTCCGCTGGGTCCAAGGCGGCACCTACGACGGCACCAACGGCGCCGGCCAGGAGATGAACGTGCTCGGCGCGCTGCTGTCGATGCTGCTCGACAAGGCGCCGGCGCCCGTGACGAACCTGACCGGCGGCACGAGCCAGGGCAATCCGAGTGCCGGCACCGACGAATCGATCCTGCCCTACACGGGGCCCGTCAGCCAGGGCGACAAGGCCGGTGCGGCGTTCTTGACGCTCTTGTTCCTGACAGGATGCCTGGGCACGCTGTCGTGGATGATGCTGGGCTGGGGCGAGGTGAACTAGTGCAGACGATGGGGCACGGACGGATATGGCTGTAGCATTACGATTACGCTGGGTTCTTTTTATTTTCTTGGCTTTATGTTGCGTTTTCGTCATCGTACAATCCGCTGGTTTATTTTGCTGCTCTGATTTTTATGTTGTAGGTCACTTCTGTTTCTTCCATTTTTTAATATATAAATATACATTGGACCGTCGAGAGGACCACCTATCCTCTTGTAAATATAAATAATAAAACAAGTGTGAGAATGTAAAAAAAGTAAACCAAAAAGAAAGAGAAACTCTGTCGAAAGCCATTGATTGCAGCCCCATTCTCCATTTCCTTTTGACTCGCAACACTTTAAGCGCCCAATGTCTTGGCATCTTGCGGCAACAGCCGCGGTCCCTACGGCTTCCAGCTCGTAATGGTTTTGGTCGCCGTGACGGTCACGGTGGCCTTGGTCCGGGTCGTGACGACGATCGTCTGGAGCACGGTCGTGGGCACAATCTCGGTCGCCGTCACCGTGGCCGTCGACACCGCCAGCGTCGTCGTCGTCGTGACGGCCGTCGAGGTCGTCGTGAGCGTCTCCGTCGCCGCCGAGTAGCCCGTGCTCGTGACCGTCGCCGTGTCCGTCACCGTCACGACGGGCTGGCTGGTGATGACGGCGGCGGTGCCGCCGGCGCACAGGCACGCACTCACGTACGCGGAGGCAGACGCCGTGGCGTTGCCGGGCGCGCCGCAGGCCGACGCATAGGCCGGAAGGAGGGACGGGACGATGGCCTGCGTGGTGGGAACAGGAACCGCACCACGGCCGATGTGGTTGTTCTTGGCTGTGGTCGTGGTGGTGGTCAGGGTCGTCGTGCGCGTCGTCGCGGTGTACGTGGTGACACTCGTGCGCGTCGTGGTCGTCCACGTCTCGGTCGATGTGTCCGTGGCGGTGCTCGTGGCGGCGCTGCGATCCGTCTCGACGGCCGTGGACACCGCGGTGGAGAGGTCGATCTCGGTCGTCGTCGATGGCAGCAGGACCGAGTCCGTGACCGTGACCGTGACGGTTTCCGTGCTGCCAGGTTAGTCGGGGACAGCGGACGGGCATGACGAGGAAGCCACCCGACGGAGGACCTACCTAGTCGGCTTGACAAGCGTGGTCAAGAGATACGAGTTGCAGTCGGCCACGCCATGGCGAGTGGTGATGCTGTCGGCAATGATGGCGCGGAGGCAGTTGTTGTGATTGCAGTTAGCCTTGGCCATCTGGACAAGGCCTGCCGCAGCGGCGGCAGCGGCCAAAACGCGAGCAGAGAAACCCATTGTTTTGGAGGTAAAAACAACTTTGAGAGGAGGAAATTGGCCAAGGAGCTAAGGAAGGAAAGTTGTGTAAGTGAGAGCAGAGCGGCAGAGAGGGAATGTGAGTATTGGGCTGGATGTCTTGGGCGTAGGTCAGACAACGGTTGGTAATGAATATCAAGAGACACTTATTGCCTTTTTATAGACGTTGAAGAGCCTCATGGTCGGGTTCTACGAGTCATGAACATGAGCTGACAACTCCGAGGTTGGCGTCACGAATTGGTTTCCATCCGGTCCATGTTGCGGAAGAGGACTCGCATTTGGTAAAACCACGGTTGGAGACCGTACAAACATAACAACTGTGCAGTCTGTCAGGTAGACTGGAGTGACCAACGGCCCGAATTGTCGTGTCTTGTGCCGACAGAGTTACATTGCCGGAAGCGTTTTTCATAATAGCATTTGGAGCATGGCCGACTGCAGCCTTGCACCGCCAACATCGTCTTTGTGTGCTTGTCCGTCATCGAGATCACCCGATACTCGCCGCCACATTTCCGAATCTGGCGATGGCAGGCCCGTTCGTTTACAAAAATCGTCGGATGTGCACACAGCTCTGTCAGCCGCCAGCCATATGCCACCCGTGGCCGATGCGAGTCTATTGTCTCCCGGCGGTGAAGCTGTCGGGATGCAGTAATTCATTAATACGAATATTGGTGAGACCCGTAGCACAACAGGTGACAGGGACTGAAATAGAACAATTTCCTGCAGGGGAAGGACTCAGAGGGGCAACGAGCCCGAATCTAGGCTTGTGGCTTTTCGATATTTCGTCCGAAGACAAAAAGTGAATAAAGTAGAGAACACAGTCAGAGGCAAGCTGAAGAAACGGGAAGCAGCAGAGGGAGGCGATGGGTTGCTTCCGGGCGGAAAGCCACCGCAGGGGCGCAAAATAGATGAAATGGCGGAAACACGTTTTTCGAATTATTGGATATCACGAGTAAAAGAGATCATGGGGAGACGGAAGAGACGAAAAGCGCCATGTACGACTTATATAATCCAAACTCATACAATACGGATAAGATAAAGTATACTGACCTGGCATCTCCTCAGTAAACAGCATAAACAGCATAAACTATCCATATATCCCCTGGCGCCGCGGTGGCCGTTGGATATCAACTGCCAGTTTACCACTAACACCAGCTGAAACACTCCATGGCCCACAGGGCTAGCCGTAGTCCAATTCGCCCACTTGTCGGGTGCGGAGAGACTGGGACTTTGTGTTCCATCGAGTATTCTTGTCCTTTGGGTCGCTTGCATTCGACCATGCTCGGTTCTCTGGCCAAGGCCGCACACAGTTTGCCTGTAAACATCAAACTTCTTTTGATTGAAAAACGTCGACGTAGTTCGATGGCTAGGTCATGTAGGCTCTATGGATGCATTCTAGGTATTATTCAGTGAAAAAAAAGAAGAAAAAAAATGTAGACTAAAAAAAACAAGGGGAAAACATTGGCTCAAGACATGAAAGGGTCATAAAATGAAGTCGAGACGACGGCCGGGTCCAAACTGCCTCCGCTACAGCACGCGGTGGAACAGGTACAGCAGCAGCACCGGGATGATGAAAAACTACAAAATCGCCCCGACCAGCTCGGCACCGGCGGCAAAGCCGACACCCGTGACAAATGCGTTGCCAAGCTTGCCGCCAATCTTTTTACCGGCGGCACCAACTTTGTCACCACTGCCTTGCTCTGGCGGCTGCTGCTGCGCCTGCTGGGGCGGCGGCGGCTGGTCGCTGGGACCACCTCCATAGTACGGCTGCTGCTGACCATAGTGCTGTTGGCCGTAGGGTTGGCCGTACGGCTGCCCGTAGGGCTGCCCGTACGGTTGCTGCCCATACGGCTGCTGCCCATACGGCTGCTGTCCATACGGCTCGCCGTACTTGGCGTCGCCGCCTGCATACTGCTGCTGCTGCGGTGGCGGGTTGCCGTACTGGTCATAATAGGACGGTGGCGCCGTCGACGCACTCCGGCTGTTGCTGGTACTGTTGTTGGTACCGGCCGCCGGTCGTGGCGCGGGCGGCGGCGGGGCGTCGTTGGGGCCCGGCAGCTGGTTGTTGCGCTCGAGCTCGGCCAGCGCGGCCTCGGGCTTGACGTACTGGCGCGGGAAGATGCCGACCTGGCCCGAGCGGACGTTGCGGCCCAGCCACCAGTCGTCGTTGACCTTGCTGTAGACGGCGATGGCGTCGCCGCGGTCAAAGGCAAGGTCGCCGTGGCTGGGGGCCTCGTACTTGTACTTGGCCGTCGCGTAGCCAGCGGCTGTGCGGCCGTCGCTGTCCGCGCTGTCAGCGTTGTCGTCGGGCTTGGTGTCCGGTTCATTGCCATTGTGGCTGCTGCGTTGAGCGCCTTCGGAGGTCGTAGGCGTCGCAGTGGCAGATGCCGCGGCTGGTGCTGTTGCCGACGCCGATGCAGCGGACTGGGCGGACGGGTGGGCGTTGCTGCGGATGGGCAGGGGCGGGCCGGGCTGGCCAGGCTGAAGAGCGGCTGCGGCGGCAGCAATCGCCGGAGCCTGTCTCTGCTTGCTCGGCGCAGGCGGGGGAGGCCCGCCACGCAGGCTCCATTCTTGGGGCAGGAGGTCGTGGATGGAGTTGAAGTCGTCGTCGGAGATGGCGCCCTTTTCAAGCAGTGTCTCGAGCTCCTACAGTTGGGGCGTGTCAGCCAGGCTGTCTCGCGGTGTCCCTTTCCCTTTCTCTTTCCCTTTCCTTTTCCCATTCCCTTTCCCTGCTCTTCCCTCGTCACCACCCATCTCCACTCACCGTCTTGATCGACCGGAGCGACCGGTTGACGTCCATGGCCTTCTGGCGTGTGTCGCCCATCTTGGACGTGTTGGAACGTGAGAAATGCAGGCGCTGCGGTCGGACTAATGATACTGTCGGCTACTGTTCGTACGAGAGCCGATGCAACAGGTGGCCGTAGTCGAAGGCCGGATGAGGATAGACAAGGGATGGGAGACGACGTTGACGAAAGGTGGTGTTGTGGATCTCGTTGTCTTGGGGTCCTGTTGTGGGCCTCTCGTATTCTGACCCTTGGCACAGCCAGAGCTCAACAGTTGCAGATCAAGAAAGAAGGAACACTGGTAAATGGCGGGTGGCAGCTGCCCGTTAACTGCTGGCTCGAACACTTTAAAGTGCCGCGAAAGTCGGTCGTTCCTGCCCGTTATTCGTTCTTGAATGGCGCTGGTCACGTCACCGCAACTGCTGGCTGGCTGGCTGGTCACCACTTGCACCGGTGGCGGCAAAGCTGATGCGGCATGCGTGGCGCAGTGCATTTCAAAGTCTATCACGTGTGAAGTGGGCTCTGTAACGAACATCTCGCCGCTAGTGTTGTTAACAACAAGCAACTGTACTATGTAAGTCAAAGAACAATTAAATTACACTGTTTTTGGTTTGTTTATCTTCTCCTATTCATGTTGACATAACCACGGGCATCGTAGCTTCGCAGCAATGCACTTACGGGGGCAAAGATAGTCTACTTTATGTATCCCTTCTCAATCAATTAATATGGGCGGTACATTATGGCTATTAACAAAATTGGCTGAGGGGCGGCCCGGGACGCGCCACGGGCCTGTAGGTACCCTCTGGCGGATACGGCGCATGGCGTACAGCGTGATGTTCTGGGTAGGCTTTGCCGGCATCGGTGTAGTGCAGGGCGTGATCATCGGCAGGTAACCATGTCGCCCAATACGGATTGTATCTTTGGAGTGTTGAAGGAAGAGAAGCTCGTCGCCGTGCATGATCTAGGCGGCAGGGCCTGCGGCGATGAGATGGATCAGTACGACACCAAGCTTGGTAGTTCGATCGATGCCACTTGTGTTGGACACGAGCACGGGGCATCCAGCTGTGTACGGCATAGTGCCTGACGACCTGGGACGTCCGGTGGATGGAGTTTTAGGCACACTGGCCGATCGTACCCGGTCAGACAAACACGGTGTTTGTACCTACTCCGGCCAGTGACGCATGTTCTCGGTCGGCAGCATCAGCTAGTATTGCTTGGTGGACTGGAACGACTATGACAGCAGCTCGGCGCGGACAGTCGGTCACGTAAAATTGGCAAGTGGTCGCTTGGGTTTCTTGTACGTTTTCAATTTTATTTTGTGTTGAAATTCAAAATGTTTGGAAACAGTTCATCGCCATCTAGCTTTAGTCTTACGGACTGAATTTGTCATTGTAAAGCGACTCACCCTCCGTGTCATCCAGAAGGTCGTACAGGTCGTTGTGATAGAGGCCGATGTCTTCCAGCCTCTCCTGCACGCTCAGACCAAAGCTCTCTTCATTGTACAGCCGGGCGACTTCGTCTCGGGGCAAATCGTGCGCCTGCTGAAGACGGGCCGCGAAGGCAGGTTGTTTTGTGCGGTCGGCGTCCCAGAACACATAGCCTCTCGCCCGTAAGGCGCCGTTGAGGGCCCGGTCGTCCTGAACGTCATACCAAGGCCGATCAGTTCGCAGACTTGGACGATAGAGATTGAATCCAGACCCGTTTCCGAGCATCCCCTTTGGCGCACCACGATCGTCATGGTCGAAGGCGGGCCTCTGTCGAAGCACCTGCGCCGCATCGTCGAGGAAGCCAGACTTCCACAAACACACATACGACCCTGTAACGAGCCTCGTCTTCTCGATTCCGTCTCGGTGAGCCAGCTTGTACATAAACAGCGATCGCAGGCTGGCCGTGACAGAAAGATACGCGACAAATTCATTGACCACTCGGTGAGCTTTCGAGAACATGACGTTTCCATGTCGCTCGTAGTCCATCCTGAAAAAAAAATACCAATTTCCGTCCTTAAGCCGCCGCTCGCTTCTCTCAATGTCTGTTTCGAATGCTGGCGGGGGATCCTCATGTTCCCAATCGTGGCTCGTAAAGGTAACAGCATTTCGGCCCGATGGTCGAGACTTGGTGGCGAGGCGGTATGCAGTAGGTAAGGCCATGACCCGCGCAACAAAGTCGTCTTCCGCAAGGAGCGTATGCTTATGGATGAGCCTAGTTTGATAGAAGAGGACAGAGATCATGGCCTCCACGTCCCACGGGTGTATACGCGACAAAAAATGGTCGATCTGTGCGTGGGTCCCAATGACTGATTCGTCAAAGCCAGTACGGTATGACGGAAAGACAGTACCAAAGAGTTCGACGAGGAAGAAGCCTTGCTGAAATGCAGTGCGCTCAGCTCGGGAGAGAACCAGTGACGGCAGGGCCGGCGAGGCCGCACCATCACCGGCCCCATCATGAAGCAAAGACCATGCTTCGGCGGCAAAGCGGTCGACAAAGTAGAGGATGCGGCAGACAAGACCACAAAAGGACTTGATGTCTTGGCTTTCAGTGGGCGGTTCATATATTTTTCCACCGAAATAGTCGTTCAGAAAGCCGTGCTGCAGATTGATGTCCGCATCCGTCTTCATGTAAGGCACATGGCGAATGGCGAGTGCAATGGGGCGTACTTCTGGTTCGATGGCATTCAGGGAGACCGACAGGAGGATGCGGTCTCGAAAGAGATTGAACACCCGGAGCACGGCTGGTGATGCCGCGAGGAAGGCCCGGAGATCATTGGGGTCATGTAGAGCACACAAGATCTCGCCAATCACCTCCGGGGGAATGTCGTGCAAATGCATGGCAGTTTGCGATGCGGCGGTATTTGTTGGGATTTGTTTCGAGGTGAGAAGAGCAGTTAGGAAGGACAGAATGTGGAATGAGGGAAAGAGGTTTGATAAGCAGCAAAAAGTGAGAGGTTGACTATACAAATGGAAGGAGGTAAGGAGTTAAATAAATCACAGTCTCATTGGGAAAGAGCGAGATTCTGCCTCACGATTTCGTAAACAGTGTATTATAAGTAATTATACTGTATATTCCACTGTGCGCCTGATCTGGACTTGAAGCGCCTAATATTTCGAACATTGCGCGATGATTGGCGGCCCTTTGTACAACAACCTCTTACAGTAGGCGCGCGCATCGGTCCTCTTGTGCATAGACATTTCTCAAAGTACCCTTTCCAGGCTCCAGCTGCCTCTTGCAGCCCAGCATTTCCACTGGCTGTAATGCACTCAGCGGTGAAACTGTTGCCAAAGATATGCCTCGCCGAAAGCCCACGGCCTCTCTCGTCCGGCCAACAGGTCGGTCCAATGCAGAGGAAGGACGGTCGAGAGGGCCGGCTGTTCAGTATTTATCGTGGAGGCACCATTTCATAGGCAGCCGACGACCCAACTGCATCCCCAACATTGCCATGCCTGTCCTAGCCACATCGTCTTCAAAGGCCAAAAGCCATGACCTTTCTGTGTATATGCGGCCGAGCCCGTGGCCATGATTCAGGCGACTGCACAGATTGGGAGCGCCTAAACTTTTCTCAAGTATTTCCTGTGAGATTGCTGCTCGTGACTTGTTTGAACCTGAAAATGGCTGTATCTTCTCGGACGGAAGACATCATAGACAAGGCTTTTTTTATGTTGTACCGGAAAGCCTCGCTTGTCTCCATGATGCCCTGTCATGGATATCATTTTTTTATATAAATGCTAGGAATCGAATGTTTTATTCTTGTGTAAACCAAGTCTTCCCTTCAAACACCATCTCAACTTTCTCCTTTGCCATATTCTCTTTCTGAACTGCTACCTGTTTTCTTCCTATCTTGTTCATTTCCCTCACGCTTTTGCCATTGGCACTCGCTTTTTACCTTTCCCTATTTTCTACTTGTTTGTTCTATCTATATTTCCGCATACGCGAATACATCATGTCAGACGACTACAGCAGCACATTCAGATACAGCGGTGGGTTTGATCCCACCTTTGACGGCGCCTCCTACAGAAGAATGCACCGCGAGCTGTATCCCGGAAGGCGGTGGAGCTCTCCAGTGAAAGACCTTTACGACAATTACTCAAGCATGACACCAGATGTCAACGCAAAGAGAGCGAGATACGACACGATGGCATCCGAATATGGCGGGATAAGCCGGCCGGGGAGACGGACCGAGCTTATCGACGTCTCGAATGTGAACAGAGACGGTCATACGGCTCTCGTTGGGCCAGCAAGAGACTGCGCAACGACATACCTGGAGTAAGTATTACAAGCCAACCATGTACGGATGTGGATGTAGACTAATGAAACGGCAGTTACGCGCGAGGCCGACACAGGTTCTTGGACAAGGAACCGTATGCATATCAGACCCTCGGGGGGCGCTTCGAGCACGAGAGATATGCGAGAGACAACTACGCCCTTGCCGGAGCTTTCAGAGATCGACTGTGGCTCCACGAGCATGAGGCCGTTGACCATGCCCCAACCTCCTCTCGTCTTCGCAGTCCAAGCCGCGGCCGTACGTCTCTGGTATCCACACTCGACGATCTGCCAGCGACTGGCTACGCAGGCCCGTCTCGCGCCAGCAGATCCCGTGGCCGCTCTGCAGTACGTCTCGACGATGTCGATTTGCGCCTCCGTGACCTGAGCCGCGGACGGACTTTGTCAACTTTCGACGGCGATCGTCGCCGTAGTTTGAGCCGCCCCGATCTTTACCGCCGCAGCTCCCGTCACTTCGACTAGGCTCCACATTGCCCAGGGCCGTGCGATTGCACAGTGGTTTCAACGGCTCGTTTTCTCATCACACTTCTTCCGAAAGTCCAGATTGGTAGATTGGTATCATCTCTTCTTTCCAAAGTTTGCTCAATTTCCTTTCCCATTTAATATTTTGCCACCATCCCGCCGGTATTTGTTTTTGTTTATTCCTGCGCTTTTGATTTTTCATTACATTTTTTTGCCCAGTTTCTGTATTTTCCTTTATTTGCGTTTGCTTTACTTGCTTTACTTGCTTTACTTGCTTTATTTGTGTTATTTGTGTTATTTGTCTTACTTTTTGTTTATTTTTACTTATTTTTGGGTTATTTACCTTTTGTTATTTTGCTCTTTATTATTTTGCTTTTTGTTCTTTTGCTCTTTTGCTCTTTTGCTCTTTTGCTCTTTTGCTCTTTTGCTAGTTATTCTTTGTTATGTGTTATTTTTGTTATTTGCTATTTGCCATTTGCTTTGTTAGTTTGTTAGTTTGTTAGCTTATCGACTCGTTAGTTAGTTAGTTAGTAGTTGTTATTTCGCTCTCAATATATATATATATATTTCGCGATATTCAGTATTATATGAAATAGAAGTTCATACTACGTGAGAGAGGCTCTATTTACAGATAGTGAGTGTGGATTCTACCGCGCCTGTAAGAGTGCGCTGGACGATGTAGTCCGAACACTCGCGGCGGAAGTGTGCGTCCCTTTGTCTATGGGGACTTGCGGATGTTCTATATTGTACGACTACCTAGGGAGTTGGAAACACATTGAGATCAGAAATTCAAGTGGTTTGCCTTGACGACGTGCCGTAATTGTAAGAGGTGAAATGGGCCAATAGAATCACAGGATTTCAGTTTCCTATTTGGGAAGCGAAGGGGACGGACAGTTTTTAATTATAGCGTATTGTTGCGCTACGGACACTGACATTGGCGGCGAATCGCACCCACCGACAAACCCGATCCGTTTCTTTCCTCATCTTCCGTGTAAGAGAATTAAACAGATTGAGAGCACCAAGTGGTAGTGTCGCCGATTTTCACTCGACGTTCCCGGATACAGCCATCTCCCGCGATATGCCGGTAGGTGACGTTGTGTCTAGAAAGAAACGGACGGTGAGAAGACGCCTCGTCGATGACTAGAGATTGAGGACTCGTGACAGCATTGTTGAATCTGAATTTCAAAGGTGGATATGTTGGTATATTATAGGCGATGACATCAAAACGAATGTGTTTCCTGTTGCAAATCCAGACGACTCATGCTCCCATTTGCTTCACATCTCATTTGTTTCACGTTGTCCTATGCCTCTTCCAACTCTTCTCTCATGGCGTCTTCCTGAGAGCTTGCTGACGTCTGATGTGCGCGCAAGACAGCGCGGATGTTGACGGTCACAAGGCCGCTGAGCGGTGCGGCACCTAAAATAGTCCGTGCCGGTATAGCTGGGAGAGCTGTTTTGCTTGGGGAGCGCGATGGGTTGGGAGACGATGGCAGCCATTGTGGCAGTCTTTGTTGAAGTTTGGAGTTTTCAGTTCAGGTCGTTCTGATCCAAGATAGGCTACAGTACTCTTCCATCGTTCCTTCCATAACTTGTTCCATATTTGCTTCACATAACATTTACGGAAGGGGCGACGTAGCTTGTCGTTATCAGCGACCGACGCAAACTCGAAAGGGTAAGAATGACCTGACAGATAAACCTAGCTGCGCCTTCCCAACACCAGTCACGAATACACTGGAAAAGGCGTCCTTCATTAAATCTTAATGGTAATGTGATTCAAAATAGACACGTGATTGGTTAGATAAGACACAAACAAAGACGGGGCCTGGGTCAGAGATGGCCCCAGGCTCCAGATTCTCGTCAGTTTCATCACCATTCCCAACCCGACCGACGGAACTCGATCTAAACAACATGGGAACGCGAATAAAGATATGCGAAACAGAGTGAAATACAACAGTACGACGTACACGAGCAGACTCCCAGACTCCCAGACTCCCCGACATTACGTGCAGAGTAATGCCAGAACCGACAGCACGGCCGTCACAAGTGATATTGTCGACACGCTGCTGCTCCGCCCACCGGCGTTCTTCTTGTCTTCTCCGCTGTCCCCTGAAGACGGCGCAGTCGCCGTCGCCGCCGCCGAAAAGCCGCCGGCACCGCCACCATACAAACTGTCTGCTACAGAACACGCGCCGGTAAATCCGGCAGCCGCCCCTGCTTTCGCCGAGGCCAGCGGTTGCAAGTTGGCCGTGCCGGCGTTGCAGTGTGCGTACGGCGCCATGAAGACGCTGTTCGCTGCCTGGTCATAAACGACGTAGGCGCCGCGCAGGAATGTGGCGCCCAGCAGCAGCGTGGCGCCCGCGTCGGGTTGGGGGATGCCGGTGCCTGGACCCGACGACGACGACGACGATGACGACGACGACAGGCCGTCATCCATGGCAATGCCTCCCAGGACGCACATGTCGGTCGTGATCTGGATGGCAAACTCGGACAAGGGCACGCGGACGAGGGCGGCGCCGTTGTTGAACGAAAAGTCGACGGTGCGCTTGAGACCCGCCAGGTTCTCCTTGCTGTGCACATCGGCGCCCAGACCAAGTGCCGTGCAGGGCACGGGAAAGATGGCGGCGTTGACGGCCGCGTCGGGCGCCCGTCCCGTCAGCCGCGCGTACTCGTTGCGGCTGCCCTGCGTCATGCTGGCGCCCAAGTCCTTGGCGAGGGCGGCCAAGATGGAAAACGGCAGGATCGAGAGCGTCGAGCCCGTGTCGAGGACGATGGGTGCGCCCGAGTTGGGATAGGTCTTGCTCGCATTGTTGCTGCCGCTGCTCGTGCCGCTGCTGCTGCTCACCGTGCTGCCGGTGAGCCCAATCGAGTCCAGCTTGACCCAGTACCGCACCAGGGTGTCCGACGGCGGCGGCGGCAGGATCGGCACGCCCATCATCGGCCCCGTAAACCGGTTCGTGTCCAGGCCGCCCAGCACCAGCGTGCCCGCATTCAGCTCGTTGGCCGACGCCAGGCCAATGCTAAACACTTTGCCCGGCCCGCCGGCCGCGCCCTGCTCGGCCGCCGCACTCACAAACGTCGTGTAGTTGTGGTTCTCGGCGAACCCCAGCCCCAGAATGCCCTCGTACATGTCCTCGCTCTGGCGCGCCACGCCAAACTGCAAGCTTTTGAGCGTCACGCCGCTGTCGGGCTGCGCCACCGTGTCGTTGTAGTAGTCGAGCGCGACGCTGCCCAGCGCATACTGGATCTTCCCGCTCTTGTTCAGGTTGTTGCTGGTGCTCGAGCTGCCCGGGTCGTACCGGCCGCTGGCCAGGCACTCTTTTTGATCGACACCCGTCACGCCGTTGCTCCGCCCACTGCTGGCGCTGGACGAGCTGTTGCAGCTCGGGTTGACCCAGAGCTCATCGGAGCCCGTGTCGACGACCACACGGACCTTTTGGCCAGGCGTTCCTATGCTCACTGAGGATGGTCAGTAGGGAAGAGGCACGTTTCAACAGACAACGAAATGCCAGCACATACACGTCACCAGGTAGGCCACGGTGGATATGTTTGTGAGAGGAATGTCGGCATTGCGTCGTGACAAGCCGTTTGTTCGACCCTCCACCTGTGCAGCCGACAACGAAAATGCGACTGGTCCCTTTGCGCTCTCAGCAGCAAAAACGTGAGCTGCCGTTAGCAGGAGTGCCAGCGTATTTGTTATGCGCAACGCCATTGTGCTGGCGCTATTGATATCGTGATGCAGCGTGTTTCGTTTCGTTTGCGGTGCTTTAGGCTGGTTAGAAAAGGTGCCGTACGTGCGAGCTCTCTGCTTCTTGTATGAATTGAGTTATTGTCTTCCTTTAGTCTCCCTCTCCAACAGAGCGCTGCTGGCCCGTCGGGAAAAAAGAGTCAAATGCGCCGTTTGTGTTGGCCTCGGTTTCCGTGCCAAGTCGTCGTAGCGTACCAACAGACAAGGGACGAACAGTGGAAATAGAATAGAAATAGATGCCAAGAACACCGAGGCTGGAATCAAATACACGGGCAGGGACAGGGAACAATAATGAGAAAAAAGACCCGACGACACGGGTGTGACGAGGAAGACAAGCACGCTCACGATTTACCCTCATATCTTGTCTTCCCATCGGCCCTTGGGAATATGAGAGCGAAACGGCATGGCAAAAAGCACAGAACCAACAGAAATTTCAAATATACGTATTGTATGCGGATGGAGTCCAAATTACAGAAATAAACACCATCTGTTGGACAGACAGAGTGGATAGACAGCAGTGCGTCACGTACATACGGGATATATCATTCTCCTGCAGGGTAGCCCTCTTACACATTGCACAGCGGCACGGCCGAGAAAACAGTATTGCAAAGGGAAACACGATAAAAAAAAAAGAATGGGAAATGAGAAGAGGCCGTCTGGCCTTGGCCAGATGACATGACTGTTTAGCCTGAAAGTCATCGGAGGCAAAATACGTGGAGAGAAATGCAGTTTATATTGCCGCTCAGCGCCCGAGGCCATATGGCAAAGTTGGGGTCATAATGAGATCGTGGAGAGGCAGCCGGGCAAATAAGACGAGAAGAAGAAATAGAAACAGAAAAAGAAAATTAAAAAGAAAAATAAAAGATGAAAACAGACAAAAAAAAGGACCAATCGACCCTCGGATCTGGAAAGTCCACGAATGTTTGTTGTCTGCCGAGACCGAGACTGACTCGAGTCGTTGGTGTCGATGGAAGAGGAAGATCTTCCAGCCTCAACGCATGGTGACGGAAATATGACCACTTTGTTTAACTCACTAGTCACCGGTAGTTTGTTTTGCGGAGTATCTCATTGGCTGTATCAGGGGAATAAGTAAAGAAGACAACAAAGATGCAAAGGAAATCAACGCAAAAGACAATCAGACGATGCACAGATTTAACATTGTAATAAACTCCGCCGTGATGCAGCCCGACTCAACTTGGATCAAGGCAAATAAAATAAAATAAATAAAAAAAGAAAAGATAAAAGCAATTTCACATTTCACATTTCACATGGTCCGGATTCAAACGGTCGCTCATACACGAGCCTCCATTCATCCCCTTCACTCATCCTCTTCTTCGATCGGAGCGGGCGTCCGGCGCTCGCTTCGTCGCTTCGGCCGCCGGTGCTGCGAGCTGCTAATGTTACTGGCAGAGTCTTCGGGCTTGAGCTCAAAGAAGTCGTCGCCTGCGTCCCAGTCGGCCTCGCTGGCGGCGCCCGGGTCGTACGGGTCCATGGAAAATTCGTGCGGATGGACGGGCACATGCATGCCACCGCCAGGCGCGGGCGTCCCCGGTACGGACCAGGCAGGCCGCTCAAAGTCGTTGCCCGACGGTCCGCCACCCCCCGACTGCGGCAGGACATCGATTTGCGCGGCGGCCCCACCCAGCCCGCCGACCCGCCGCTGCTGCAGTCGCATGGACAGACCGGCGCTGCGCTGCCGAAGACCGGTGCGCACCATCTCGGCACGCCGGTGCAGCACCTCAAAGGCGTCCTCGAGCGCCTCCATGCCCAAGTAAATCTCACGCTCAATCTCGGCAAGGGCGGCGACTTCCGCTTCCTCGTCCGTCGACACGGCCTGGCGCGTCGCGTTCGTCGACGCCGACGACAATGCGTTGGAGAAGTTGCTGATGAACGAAGCCGGCGTCGCATTGCGTGACACAGGGTTGCTCGCCAGGCCGCCGAAGCCGCTGGCTGGCGTCGGGCCCCGGGACATGGGCGTTGGACCTCGCAGTCCCATGGCCGGCGTCGGGCCACGCGACGCAGATGGAATGGATGTGGCTGGGAAGAAGCCCGACGGCTCGCCGGCAATTGGCGTGGCCACGTCGTCGTCGTTGGTGTCGGCGCCCGACCACAAAAAGCCGTCAAAGCGGCCCGAAATGAGAATTTCCCACTCGGACGGGTGGATGTCCGCAATCGTATGCAGCAGGTCGTGCACACTGGGATTCTTGACGAGGTACAGCGTCGTCTCGGCGTCGCGAGGCGCTGTGCCCAATCGGTACAGCCGCTGGATGGCAAGGCCGGTCTTGATGATAAAGTTCTGTCGTGGCTTCCGCATCGGCGTCGGCGCCCGCACGGTCGGCACCAGATCACGTGAGCCAGAGAGCAGTGCGTTAAACAGCGGACGCTCGTCTTGGCCGAGATTGGTCAGAATCGCAAAAGCCAGCGTCTCATCGTCGATCTCCTGTGGAGCCGACGCGGGCGCCGAAGCACAGTCGCGCATCCAGCGATCCACGCTGGCACGGACCTTCTTGTTCTGCCGAAGGTAATGCTCGCGAAATTCTTCAGCGATATCAGGATCGATCTTGACAGGCGAGGAAGGCCGCACAGGAAGGCCCGCTGCCGCGCCAGCGCCGACACCAACAGCCGCGGCAGCGACTGCGGCAGCGTCCAGGCGTTTCTCCAGCTCGGAAATGTTGACCGGAGGCCACGTCGGCAAGTCAACACGGCCGCTCACTCGCTCAAGCACCTCGCCCCAGCCAAGGCCGCGGTGTACATCGCCGCTAGATTCACAGACCACGCAAGAGCATCCTTCTGCAGGGAGCTCCCGGGAGAAGACATTCTCAAGGCGGTCCAGGAGACGGCGGGCGACTGTGCGGTGTCCAGTAGCAACGGCAACCGATCCGTGGCCTGAAAGCACACTGTTGTACTGGTTGAGGAGGTTGAAGAATGGCTGGAACAAGGTCTCAGCACCCTGCAGCGGAGGGTTCATAGGACGCGCAAAGTTCTGCCGGGGTAGGACGGCTAAGAAATTCTTGGGGATAGGATTTGGCAGACCGCCATTCTGCATGAGATAGTCAATGCGAGGAACCTCGACGATCGTGAGAGGCGGCGGTGGCGGTGGAGCAGGAGGCACGGCGGAAGCCACGGACGCCGAGGTGCCATCGTCCTCTGGACTCTCCGTAGCGGACAGCTCCGAACTGCGAGGACTCCCTGGGGCAGGTGATGGGGTGTACAGACGGTCGGCAGCAACGGCGGCAGCAGCAGCCGCTGCTGTGCCACTTGGGAAGCGCTGTGGGGGGGATTGGAGATGAGGGTGTGGGTGTGGCGGTGGTGGAGGCTGCTTCCAGTCGGCACCAGAAGCGAAGAATTTGGGAGACGCTTCTGGGTTCGGCGTCTTGGGGGATGAAGATTCCTGAGCAGATTCCGGCGAGAAGTCGGCATCGCTGGCCTCGGCCGGCGACCGACGTCTCGCGTCCGGTTTTGATGCTGTAGCCTGCGAGATCCTTTCACGCGCGCCTACCGTATATGTGGCTTGGCTGGAGACCATGGAGTTGTCGGAGGGAGCCGACTTGGATAGGTCGTGCGCCGTCGTAACACTGCCACCAAGTGTGGAGGGTGTGCGGCTCTTCCTAATCCGCACTCTGCTCGTCTGACTCTTGTGCGTGTTTGAGCCCAGTCCGGGATCCAACTCACTCTTGTCATCATCTTCGTAGTCAGAGTCCTTTGCGTCCTTCGCCTTGTCTTTGGTATCGTCGTCCTTGTCTTCGCTGCTGCCCTTTTCGTGTGCTTTCTTTGTGCTAGATAGATTAGTGTCAGGTGGGCTGGGTGGCCGGTCATGGTGACGGCTGCTGGCACGGGTGTGACTGTTCTTGCGTGACGACGGCACCGAGCTGTAGGCCGCTGACGACTTGTCTTTTCTAGTAGCACGTGAGCCCGGTCGAGAGTCGTTTGCACTGGACGATTTTGAGCGCTGCATGCCAGCGGCGCCGGCACTGAGATCGGTCGCATCAGGCGTCAAGGGGTCGCCTGTGCGATGTTTCACAGACCCGGCCGATGCCCGTGACGGGGCCGATAGATCTTCACGGCTGATTACCGACTCACGGCTAAAAGCTTTGTTGACAGACGGGTATGGCAGCCGCTCGCGGCTGCGGCTCATCTCTGGAACGAGGTCGCCGGTGGAGGAGGAGATCGAGAGGGAGGCAGAGCGGGGCTTGGTGTGCTCGTCGACATCGGGGAGAGATGACGACGTTCCGCCTCCCGTCATGGCAGACGACCTCTTTTCACGCCGCTCAGACGAGCTGCCGTCCTTGTCCTTGGTCCGCCGCCGGCTGCCGCTGCTCATTTTGTGGTTCGCAGACGATGACCGGTGAGGCTTGCTGCTGCTGCCGGTGGTTTCGCCGTCGGTCGGCTTGCGTCGTTGGCCGCGAGACAAGGAAGACGACGAGGGATAGACAAGGTCGCTCTCGCTGGTGCGGGTCTTTGACGATCGGGGTGCCGAGCCCGAAGACGATTTGTGGTGTGACGAGCGGTGGGACAGCAGCGACGACAACGCCGACGGCGAAGGCATACTGTTGCGGTGTTCGCGATCTCGTTCACGGTCCCGGTCCCGGTCCCGATCACGGTCGCGGCGCTCAGACTTGTCTTTGCCACTGGTGCTCACGCGGCGCTTCTCCTTGACCGGCCGGTCGTTGGCGTCGACATCCCCGGGGGTGACGGTGGAGGCATCGCGAGGTTTCGATGCCATGGGAGACGAGGTGAAAGGAAACGGGGTCGAGAGGGGAACGTGTGAAAGCTGGGCCGATTTTAGGTCGGGCTCAGTGCGGTGGATTGAGGCCCAGCGGGCTGTTTTTATATATCGATGTCCGCCTCTGGCGAAGCGGTGAGGTTCGAGGTTAGGCGAAGACAAAGATGTCGGTCGACTCTACTCAAGCGCAGAGGGGAAGCATGGGGGCGAGAGTCGACGCCGATGAAAGGCGGTCGATAGGGGGACGAAGAAAGACGATACGTTCGAAGCAACAGACTGAAGAAACGCCTGACTGAAGACAGGTAAGCTGGCACAATGTAGTGTTATGCTGGTAGTCGTGACGTGGAAGGCCTATGCAGCTTTAGCGTATCGTCGCAAACGAGTGATGGTCGACAAATCGCAGAAAATGGTTGTCGAAAGTGAAAAGTGTCGAGATTGCAAAAGGAACAAAATGGTGAAAAGGGACGGCAAGCAGAAGCCGAAGACGCTGAGACAGAAAGATGTAACAGCAAGAGCGAGTCGAGGCGACAAAAATCACCAAACGCTGACGAAAGACAACGCAGGAAGGCGCACAGGAAATGCTAGCAACCGGAAAGGATGCAAGGAAGGTGCGAGGGACTCGGCCAGCACACACACCACCACATGAAGTGCAAAAGCAAAGGCCGTAGGCAGGAGCGACGGGCGAGCCCACTAAAAGAGGGGAACTGCCAGCACCTGGATGCAACCACAGCTCGAGATGGAGAGAAATCACCACGGCAAGCACACAAAACAGAGCGAAGGCAGGCACCTGCCCCGTTCCTTCCTGTTGTGCCTTGTGCCTGATTGGCCCGTCCGCGCGGCAGCACCACTTCCAAGGAAAGACGCCAACGCCCAACGTCAGCGGGCAGAGCCACTCGGGCACTTGTTAGCACTTGGCATTTAGCCCTTTAGGCCTTCATCGAGCGACGCAAGGGCAGCCCTTAGGCACGATTGTGCTGTCTCACAGAGGGTCGTGGAGCGTGGGGTCCGGCGGCTAACGGCTGGTTGACAAGGGCAGGAAGGCGGTAGCAAAACCTGGCAAAGCGGGGATCATTCCTGATTTGAGCTTAATTTAGAAAACGGCGTGTAGACTTTGGTTTTGCACAGCCATGCACGTAAATTCATGTACCTTTCTTGTACCATGCTCAGCAGCCGCTGGCCGCTAAAAGAGCTCCACCAACAGCGCTGGACTGCGTAAGTGAATAATTTTTTTGAAGCTTCAACGTCGAGCGTCGTGACAATCGTGCATTGGAAATAAGGACACAGCACACAGGAGATTGCACGTCCAGCAATATCGACTGCCCTTACATATTACACGGAATGGCTGCGCCTGCACACATTGTTCTCCCGGGCGACGACGTCGACCCGACGGAGCTGCTGCCGCCTCGCCCGGCCGCCGGCACCGACAAGAAAGCAAAGAGCCCCCCACCGCTGCGTCTCGGCCCCGGCCTGCGTCTCCTTCTGCCGTCGGGCCAGGTCGTCCCGACAGTGAGCGGCGAGCTGGTGGCCGACCGCCGCAAGAACCTCCTTTGGGTGGAGAGCGACGGAGGACGAGTGCGCGCCCACCCTCCCTGTCTGCCATTCTTCCTTGGCCGCATTCACTAACCATTGGCAGTACTCTCCCACCACCGGCGACCTCGTCATTGGCCAGGTCCTCCACACGACCGCCGACAACGCCATCGTCGCCCTCGCACCCCACGATGCGCCGCCCCTCCGCGCCGTCCTCCCCGTCCTCTCCTTTGCCGGCGCCACGCGCAAGAACCGGCCCGATCTGCACGCCGGCACGCTCGTCTACGCGCGCGTGTCGCTGGCCGCCAAGCACCTCGATACCGAGCTGGAGTGTGTCGACCCGACAACGGGCAAGTCGGAGGGGCTGGGCCCGCTGGTCGGCGGCATGGTGTTCCCCGTCAGCCTGTTGATGGCGCGGCGGCTGCTGATGGCGTCTGCCGAGAAAGCGGGCGTCGCCGTGCTGGCGGCCCTCGGCGAGGAAGGCTTGTCGTTTGAGACGGCCGTGGGCCGCAACGGCCGGCTGTGGGTCAACAGCGAGAGCACGCGGACCGTGGTTCTTGTGGGCCGTGCGATCACAGCCACAGACGCGCAGAATCTGGACGTGCAGCAGCAGCGGGCCCTCGTGAAGAAGCTGGTCCGCAGCAGCGGGTGAAAAAAGTTTACAAGGTGTGTTGACAACGGCAGCACTTTGTTTACCAGGGACACGCACCGGAGCACAGGGCCCGTGGACAGCGCCGCTCTACGTGGCAAAAAAGGCCCAGCTTGGTGTTTCACGGCGACACAAAACGTGTGCAGCAAAATATACGCTGCATGTATGGGATAAGTTCAGACGCATGTCTTTCTGTTGGTGCGTGCACGGGCAGAGGAAACATGCTTGTGGTGCTCTGCGTCGCGGCCGACAAGACAAGACGAGGCAGACTGATCATCGCGCTGCAGCGAGCAACAGACACCGATCCTATGAGCCGGTGGGCGGGTTAAAACGCGATACCAACATACATTTGGAGGTCACTATACTTCACGCATAGCCTGCAATTGCGCCGTCAGTTCGGTTCTTCGGCTTGAACAAATATGATATAGCATTGAAATAAGAAATGGTGTCTTAGGCTTGACATTAAACGCCGGCAGGTGTGTCCACCATGAACTCGCTGTGTGGTATATGAAGTGTGCCGCTCCCTTCGAGGCAGGTTCCCGCAAAGCAATACAATGTGAATAAAAATGCAGAACGATTTTTTCACCAGCGCCCCTTCCTTTGTTTGCCTCGCAATAGCCAAACAGGAACCCAGAAAATAAGTAAATAAGAAAAAAGGAAGATAGTTGTACAGTCCAGTCGTTTGAGGGTCGGTAGTTCTGCATAGACGGTTTACGCATACGCCATTGGCTGATCAATGACCTCAATCGGCTCGTGGTCAGGTTGCACACCGTGCTTGTTGACCATGTGCCGCCGCCAGTTGTCCTTTCGCGGGAAGGACTTGCCGCCGGGCACGGAGTAAGGGCAGCCTTCTTCGGTGCAGTGATACTTGCGGCTCTTGCTGTGCTTGTCGTTGATGTGGCGGTCGAGATGTGTCCGGGTACCGAAGCGCTTGCCACAGCCAGGAACTGTACATGCGTGTGGTCGCTCGTGATAGCGTTTGTGGTGGCTGTCACATTAGCAAGAGGTTTTCGACGGGAATATGAGGTAGTAACATACTTGAGCTTGTGGATCTGGTCAAAGACACGGCCGCAGTCGTCGCAAGCAAAGGTGCGGGGAGAAGCTATTGAGAACATCAGCAACGAGACCGTATAAAGAGGAAAGGCAGCACGGACAAAAGAGGTCTTACAAGAAGATTGTCCTGGAGTCGAGCCCTGGTTTGATGCAGGAGACACAGGGTGGCTGGGGATGTTGGAGCCAGGTACGGAGAGTGGTGAGTTGAAGTTGCCTGGCTTTTGCGGGGTTGGTGTCGTCGGTATGGCCATGCCTGGTGGTAGATTGCTGTTTGCCGAGTTCGACGACAGTTGGCCGGGGCTGCTTTGCGGGGTTTGCAGCGCAAACTGCGGGAGTTTGCTGTTATCTTTGCCGTACTCCATACCCTGCATACTGTTGCCACCGTTCATTTGGTTGATACCGTTGAATGGAACGGTAAACGGAGGTGCCAGCATGCCGTTGGGAAAGTCGCCCTGGCTGACAGGCGTCATAAACGGTCCAGCAATCGTCGGGAGGTTGCCACCATTCGGCATGCCCCAGTACTGCTGTGGCGGCTGCTGTGGCATTTGCTGTGGCATTTGCGGTGAGATTTGCTGTGGAATAGTCTGGTACATGTTGTTGCCGCCGACAGACATGTTTGCCGGATACGTACCACCGCCGTTGAAGCCGCCGATGAAGGTGTTGTCGCCTCCACCGACGGTGCCGTTGTCGGTGATGGTTTCGTTGGCAGTGTTGTTAAAGTCGCTGTTGCTTGGCACAAATTCCATCTGCTGGCCTTCCCCGTAAGCAAAATTGTATCCGCTGTCGTCAAGACCACGCATAAGTTCGTCGAAATCAGCAGGGTCGATTTGTTGCCCGCTGCTAATGGTGGCTTGCTGGATTGTATTGCCAGGTGCGACTGGTGTGGCCTCTGCAATTCGTGTGTCTTGTGTGTTTTGGGTGTTTTGGGTGTCTTGCGTATCTTGGGTTTCGGGGCTAGAGTGGTCAATCTGCGGGTCAGATGCAGGAACAGCATCAGGCTGGGCGGGAGTGGCAACTTTAGTGTCTTCCGGTGCCGACACGGACGGCACGGTAGTGGGTTCTTGAGGGGACGGGGCATCGGTGGCATCGAGGGAGGCCTCGGTGGGAGACAAGGCTTGTGCTGAGGCCTCGACGGGTCCGGAGGCCTCCTCTTGCTCTGCCTCAAAATTGGAGTCAGATGGCGATGCCGCAACCGAAATTGATGGGACATGCGGCACGTCCAGAGAATCGTCGTTTTGGTCGTCTTCCACTGCAGAGGGTGGCGATTGTTCAATGCGATCGAGCTCGGCCGTCTTGTGGACGAACCGCTCGTCGTCGGTGGCAGGCGCCCAAACGTCTCGCGGGTTGACCGTACCGGGAGCTGGGAGACGGGGACTGGGAACAAGCGGACGATAAGAAGGCGAATGTGGCATAAACTCAGAGGGTTCGGGAGTAAGTTCTGTGCTTATGGATCGTGACCCCGTCGGTGGAGAGGAGATGCCGCGATCGCTAGTTTGGTCGGGCTCCTCCTTAATGCCGCGACCGCCCTCCGCGACACTGGGAAGAGGCGAGGTAGGGCTCAATGGGAGCGGCGAAAACTCGTCGCCCGTCGCGGCTGTGCGGAGGCTATCAGTGCGCGAAACGGGTGGCTTTGTCGGTTTTTTTGAACCGGTAGCCGCGCCGGCCACAGCTGCTGCGGAAGCAATACTCGCCAGGCTCGACGCAATCATGCTCGGAGGCTCGGGGGCGTACGAAACAGGCGACATAAGGTGCGAATTCGGGTCCGTGGGCGGCGACAGCGGTGCTCCCGAATAGTACTCTGCCGATGCACCAGTGGCATATTGTGTGTTAACCTCGAAAAAGGACGGGTCGACGCCCGTGCTATTATCGTCGATACCTTGTTGTCTCATGAGCCATGTGTGGTGATTCGAGGGGTCGTATTGATTGAAGAACAACTCGACAGGCGAACGTGCGCTGCCTGGACCATGGTCGGGACGGCTCGTTGGAGACCGCGATGGTGAAGACCGCGTGCTGCCGTGGCGGAACACCGCCGCGGCACGGTCTGCAATCGTTTCTAGTGTGCCAGAGAGCTTATGTGACGGTCGACCCGTAAGCGTTGTCGAGCTGCGCTGGCGCGGCGCCAGTATAGGATCCTGGGAACCGACAGCCGGGAACGTTGCTGCCGAGTTTAGTGTCGGTGGCGGAGGATATAATGGCTGCGGCCCTGCAGATGAAGCCGACCGTGGGCCAGCGTATGGAGCCGTGTTTGTGTTGATTGGGAAGCCTGCTGGCGGAAGAGTCGCACGGGCTGGCGCAGCGATGCCAAGTGCAGCAGGTGCTGGAGCTGCATCGGCCGCTGAAGTAGGTTGCGGAGCGCCGTCAGCGGGCGGCGGAGTCGGTGACGAACCGGACACGGCCGGCTTGCCGTCTTCGGATGAGTTGTTGTCGCCAAGCGTAGCGGCAGGATCCGAGGGGCCCTGCGCTGACGGGTCGACAGCACCCGGGCCGACTCCGGGAGGCGTTGGTGGCTTATAGAATAGAGGATGGAAGACTTGGCCTGGCGGGCCCCCGTAGAAGCCCTGCCCGGTGACACCCATCTCGGCATTTTCGGCGGCGATTTTCTTGTGGTATCGATGCTCCCGTATGGCTCGCAAGATAAATGGAAGGACAAGGATGAAGATCAAAAAGGCGCCAACAACGGAGCCCACGACAGCACCGGCGATGCCGCCATGTGAGAGCGACCGGGCCACGAGGTGGCCAGCAGCTGTTGACGGAGACATGCCGGAAGATCTATGGCGTGGTATGTGAAATGGGGGGAAGCGAAGACTGAGTCGGCTGTACGCCTCAGAAGTCGACGTCGTCAAAAGTTGGGACTACCAAACCAAAATGGAGAGATTGGCGGACTTGGCGACTAAAGCAAATGCGATCGACTCGGCCGTTGCGTGCGGGTGAGGTATGTTCGGTGTTATGCCAAGCGGTCAGACGGCGCGCAAGATGTCGTGGTGTCGCAGTACAAAACGTATCGAGTGAGGCTCGATCCGAAGCAATGGGATCCCGGAAACAAGGTCGGGTGGGCCTGCGCAATCGAAACCTGTCGTGCTGTCGATATTCGCTCTGTCGCGGCGAGACTCGAGATTGGTTTACTCTTTGGTCTCGTTCGGATCTAATCCACGCAAATGCCGCGTTACGCCGCGGTGTTGTGCGACGGGAGCGGCATGAGGGAGACAATGGATACAGATGCTGAAGCGACGAAGAGGAGTGAGGCTGGAGGAGCTGGGTGGGCTTAAGGTTGAAGAGGTTATAGGCAGGTCGAGGAGGCGGCGCCCGGCGGTCGATGTGAGACACTCTTGTGCTCTGCGGTACGAGGAATGGGCGTCGCGAATGGGGGCGGGTATCGTGTCCGGGGATGACTTTGGCGCAAAGGCGAATTGAACGGCCGTGGAGATTGACGACAGTCGACAGGAATCGACGAGATTCAAGCTGTTGCGGCTGTCAGGTAGTTGGAGAGAAGAGGCTGGAGGCCGGCTAGCTGGGAACACGAGAGTACGAAGTAAGACAAGAGAGCAGGGGAGGCAAACGAGGGCTGGAGAAAACAACTAAACCAGCGCACGGCCCGACACACGAAAAGCAGGCGCGAAGAACGAACCAAGACCAAAGAGGAGATGGCGGCGGGCGACGATGGCAAGCTGGCAAAGTAGGCCTGGGAAGCAACTGGGGACAAGACCAAGAAAGCTGAAGGCTAATAGGTGGTACTAACGGAATGGGGCGAGGGCGAGATGGCGGTGGAGAGCAGGTGTGAGAGGGCGCCGATGGAGTGCCGCAGGAACATGCCGTACTGTAGCACTCAATGGCAAAGGCATTCGGAAAACGCCTCGGAAAATGAGGCAGTGAAACGGTCGACAAGATAAAGAAAAGAATAAATAACGGCACAAAATAGACGCATCTCCTTGAGAAGGGCCAGGAGAATCCAAGGTTCTCTAGAGGCAAGAACGGAACAACGGTGAGAGGCAAGTGCGATCGTGCTTGCGTGGAGTGATGGAAAGAGCAGACGGCGTACCATATTGGCCAACGCCATGAACTACGACGTAGGAATGTCGTACTTTACTTCCCAAGTGTGAAGGATACCTGAACATTTGCCAGAGTCCCCAGCGGGTTTTAATCATTGTACACTCTGTGCAGCTTACGCTTTCATTTAATGTGGGATGCCAACGTGTCTATCAAGTGGGACTGTAAAGTAAATAGAAGGCAGTAGCGAGGCGCGAAGAAAGATGCTGCGGCAGCTGCGAGAACACTCTGGATCGATCCTGCCGGTAATACTCGCATCACTGTTAGGGAAGGCGCAGGGCATCGGGCAACAAACAGTTCGGGAACAGCAAAATACTAATTACGGTGTAAGATTAATTACAATGACGGCAAAGGGCAAGCGCGCGAGTCCGAAGAGGCGTGTGTCCACAGAATGAACCGCCAAAGGGCCTGTTCGCGCAGAAAGTCGAGGTCAGTAACTCGGGCCAACAATAGCAACATCGAGGCAGTGTCTGAGCCTCATTCGAGGCCCAACAAACGCCTGGCAAAATGACAGCACAAGGAGACCCATACTATAAGCGGCGCACAAACAAGTTAGGGCATGCCACAGTGAAGCCTCAAGTGAGGCCGTAGCAGATAGCAAGCAAAGTGGAATAGAGGCGGCGGCCATGTCAGAGGTAATACGAAATCATTACAGCTGTTGTGGGATAGTTGATAGTTGTCCGACTCCAAACAAGTTTCCCGGCTCAGTTCCGGAGGCCTCGCAAAAATTAAAACCGGGGCCTAGACACTAGAAAGCGCCCTCTGGCGGCCGCGCTGTGGGCCGCTCAGGGCGCTAAAGAAGAACACGCCAGCATGTGGAAATTTACAGAAACACACAGCCCACCGAACCAAGCCATCCGAAGTAAGAAAGGTTCACAGCGTGTACGAATTATTATTATGCTTAAAATCAAAGTACTTCCATCCTAACAAGGCTGAGCTTTTCCTTGTCCAAGGAGAAACTTTTTTGCTTCGAAAATCGAGGTTTGAAAGGCACTAGAGCTATTGACATAGATAATATGAGCTGTATATTTAAAGATTGAAATATAGAGGATTAACTTTCATAGGTTTTTGTAAAAAAAAAAAAAAAAAAAAAATACGAGTTACAACACCTCCACTTATTCTCGTAAAGGTATTGACCAAATACACAAACTCACAACTCACAACAACTCACAACATATATTGGTGGACATGGAAGTACACCCGCCGCCACTATACGAGTACACTTAAAGAGACCGATGCTAATGAACCAAATGCAAATGCCAGTAAATAGTACAAAAATCCGATTCAAGAACAACTTCAGCCCTCGTGCCGCCATATGTACACGCCCTCATCCGTCTCGTCGTGCTTACTGTCTGGTGTCGGCCTCGTAGAGGACGCTCTCGATGCCGATGCCGCTGCCGTTGGTGTTGTCCGCCCGCTCTCTGCCTTGGCCTTGCCCTTTCCTTTGTCCGCGCTGCTGTTCGTGGCGCTCGCCTGTGACCGCCGCTCGTCGCCGGCATCGTCGTCGGCCGGAGCCTCCGCGTTTCCCACCTCCTTCTCGTCCTTTTCTTCCTGCGGCGTATCTAGCTGTTCGCCTTCCTTGAGCCAAGCGAGGGACGTCCGCTCGGGACTCGAAAACTGGCCCGAGAACAGGTCGTCCTGTGGGTCAACCGAGACGCGCTGCGGCGAGAAGGGCCTCGACCGGCCGCGGCTGCTGGCCGGCGTCATTGTCGGCTTGGACAGTTTTCCTTGGTGCGCTTTTCTGCGCGACGCCGACGCGGCCCGTCCCTGGATAGAAGCCGCATCGCTGCCGGTGACCGATGCAGCTTCGGCTTCGGCGTAGGCCAGGCTGTCAAGACTCTGGTATTGATGCTGGTACGGCTCGACGGCCAGGCTGTCGGCTCGCGCCTGGCGTGGTTGTTGCTGCTCGCGTGACGCCGAAGCCGGTTGACTCGAGGACATGGTGAGGGTATGGTCGCCGTCTTCATCTTCATCCTCTCCTTCCTCCTCCTCCGTTATCGATGCTCCCTCGTTGGCCGCGTCTTGCGACTGGTGGGACTGCCGTGACCTTTGTGATTTTTGCGACTGCTGTGACTGCTGTGACTGCTGTGACCGTAGGCTCGAACGTTGCCATTTTGTCGGCGAGCGACCGCGCTCTTGATCCTGGTCTGGCTTGCGACCCAGTATGCTACCACCCGTCAGGATACTAAAGAAACCGCCGCCGCCGCCGCTGGTGGACGCAGTAGCGTCATCGTTTCCCGTGGCACGGCTGCTGCTTCTGGCATTTCCATTGATCGTCGACACCTCGCTCGCCTCGTCGTCGCCAATCCCGACGTCGTCGTTGCCCCCATCGTCACCAGCATCCGCATCGTTGTCGACCAGGTCATCGTCCAAAGTGTTACTCGATAACGGCGCACCGCCACCACCGCCTCCGCCGCCTCCGAGCAAGGATAGCTTCGGCGCGACACCGGATCCCAGAAAGCCACCGGCGCCCGACACGACGGCATGGGAGCTGCTGCCAACAATGCCTGCGCCATTGGACATGCCGCCCAGCAGCAGCCTGCCGCCGCCGCCGCCCAAAGCGTCGTCGTCGTCGTCGTCGTCGTAGCCGTTGCGCGAAAACAGGTCGACGGCGCCGTCCAGCACGACATCGAGCCCGCCGCCGGGCCAGCCCTTGCGGGCCAGGCTGTCGAGGATGTCGACCTCGGCGCGCACGAGGTTGCGGCTCGCCTGGCTCACGGTGCCGCTCATGTCGCGGCTCTGGTCCAGCAGGGTGACGGCGTGCTCGGCCTGGCGCACGGTCAGCGCGTCCAGGGCCGCGGTCATGGCCACGAGGTGGTCGCGCATGCGGCCGACGTCGCGCTGCCGCGGCTTGCGTAGCTTGACGCCCTCCTTCTCGAGGCGGCGGATCTCGCGGCTGGCGTCGCGCATGCCGGCCGCATAGCTCTCCCGTTCGGCCTCGACGTCGGCGCCGTAGCGGTCGAGCTCGTGGACAATGGGCAGCTCAAACGCGCGGTACACTGTTTCGGCCAGGATGCCCTGCTGGTTGGCCATGAGATAATACAGCCCGGACGTGGCCAGGAGCACGTCGGCCGTGCACGACGCCTCGTGCAGGCTGCTGCCGCTGCCGCTGCTCAGGAGACCGGCACCGCCGATGCTGCTCCCGCCGCCGCCCCGCGCAGAGGGACCCGGTGGGTAGGGCTGCGCACGAGCTTCTTTTAACCGTGCGCAGGCCTCGAGGGCGCTGCCAAAATTGGACGCCGCGGCCGAGACCTGGCCGAGGGCCACGCGGTACGCCTTGGCGCTGGCCGACAGCGTCTCGTAGGCGAGGCGCGACCGGTCGGTGTCGTCGTGGGAAAAGGCAAAGGCCTGGCGCGGCGGGGGCGGGGCGACGGGCGCAAAGGGGGTCGACGAACCGGGCGCGAGGCCCGAGAGGGAGGGGCGCATCGTCGAGGCAGTCGTGGGCGGTGACTGTGCGGCGCTGGGAAAGGAGCTGTAGCCGGAGCTGTATGCAGAAGGACCCGCGCCGCTGTGTGGTCCTGTGCTTGGTGATTTGGTGACGGAGTAGACGGAGGGGGGCTTAGCGGCCGAGAGTCCGGCCGTCGCGGGAGTGGCTGGCGAGGAGGGCATGGTCGCTCTCGCTCCGGCCCTACGGCCGTTGTACTAATCGGTCTGTCCGTAAGAGGGCACAACGAACGGCGCGGTTGGTATAGAGTTGGAGCTGGGAGAGAGCGGTAGAGAGGAGGAGAAAGGAGGTTGGACAGACGAGTGACGAGGGGAAACCCCCGATGCACGTGCTCGTAACGTATAGAGAGGTGTGACACCCTGTTGCCGCTTCTTCGTCCCGCTTCTTCGTCGAGACATACGTCGTGGAGGTGCTGTTGGGGCCTCGTGAGGAATTGTGGCTTGTAGAATGCGTTGCGCAATAGCAGACGGGTTGCATTTAAGATTTGGAGATATTGCGGCATGTGGCCAAAACAGGCAAAGCAAGATAAGGGACGTATCCGCTAGAGTTAGCCGCGACAGACAGGCACGGGGTCCCGCAACGTCGCTGGTGCGGTTGTGTTATGTCAGCAGGCCTTCACGCGCCGGACGCTAGAGCAGTCGCGTTCAGGGCGTGCTTGAGCTCCACGTTTGTTTACTCTCACCAAAACCCCTATTTTAACGTCTTCGAGTCGAATGCTTGAAACACTGGTGGATTACCATATGGTCGTGACTATGACGTTGCTGTGTATCGCGTTTGTTTTGGTAGGGATTTTTAGAAGTTTCGCCGTTGCTGAGAACAGAGATCATGATTTTAAAGACGAGCTATATCAAGAAAAGATAGATGAAAAGATATCAAGGTAAATTTGTCCAGAAAAAGGGAACCACCAACCATGAGAACAGAAACTCATTGAGACTGAAGTCATGGTTGATAAAATGATGCATGTGGCAAGTACCCAACGTTTCCCGAGTCTTGCTTCCGCCATCGATATTGTCATTGAAAGGCACTGTCCATCACCCCATGTTGTCTCGGACCGGGAACCACAAATCTTTGTAAGAAGAGTCGGCGAGGCAGAGAATCAAGAGAGAACTCTTGCCAAATCCCCCTTTGAAAAAAGGGAGTGTCTGACAAGTGCCCAATCAAGAGAAAACTCTTGCCATCGCATTGCAGCCGAATCAACGCGCGCCTCCATGACGACTCCGCCATAGGCGGCCTGACTCGCTGCACCATTGGGGCCAGTAGTCAGCCCATAGGCACGCTTGTGGCCGCGAACCAAGACCACCAGCCGATGCATAAACTCCCCCGCGATAAGCAGTAGAGCCCAAGACGTCTCTTCGTCGGGTCCCAGCGAGAGGTCAACCACCCCAGCGATCGAGCGCAGAGCAGCGCGCACGTTACCCATACGAAGCGCGGAAACCTCTTCGCAGGAGTAATGACGACTTTCGCAGCGCTGGCATCTCGTAGCCACGCCGCGCACGCAGCGCAGAGACCAAGCATTGTCGTTGTCGCTGTCCAGAGGCATGGCGTCAAAGGCATGGGTGAAACCCGCCGTACTTGCGTCTGTTCAGAAAGAGGGAAACCCACACATCATCGCCGCCGGGGTAAGTGGGGCTAGAATCAATCACGATGTCAGAATGTTTTGCTGTCGTGCGGCTGTTCTTGTTCAAAGGGAGTTTTGACTTACCCACGCAAAGCATGGCCCCAGGAACCTCGGCGGCTGCGTCGGGCCGGTAATGTCGGCCAGGAAAAGGCCAAAGCATCGCCACGACAGGTTTTGTACGAGCTCTTACGGTCAGAGACTCGTAATTCGACTGGGTCGTACTTGCGGCTCCCTTACGGTGCTTGATGGCGTGCTGGTAGCCCGTCATCAAGCGTCGTAAGGGAGCCTCCGATCCGCAGACGATTTGGGAGTCGCGATAAAGTTGACTCTCTTTGAGAGCGAAGTGTGTGAAGAAAAGAAGAAGAAGAAGAGAAGAAGAAGAGAAGAAAGGAGAGGGGAAGAAAAAAGTTGAGAGGAGGGGTGCAGCAGATGGGATATAAATATGAGAGAAAATTGGGTGGGGCAGTTGGGAGCAAAACAGCACGAGACGGGGAAGGAGTGCACTTGAGGAAGGAGCGAGCGAGACCTCAGCTCTGCAAACAAAATGCGTTGCCCAGCAATGCTCAGTATTTGATTCATAACAAAACAATGGTTAGGACGTACGACGGATAGCAAAGGAGAGACTCAACCAGTGGCGAAGAGAGAGTGCGTGTCGTGAGATGTCGAGGAATGCCTTTGGAAGCGTATTGTTGGCATTGCTATGCACATTCGCAGCCTCGAGGCCTCGCTACTGAGGCCTCGAGATGCTCTCATAGCCGACGCCATTGTCCTCTTTGTCTGTTACATATTGTAATACGCCCGGGAAGAGGCCTTCAGGTACGGGCTGTCAGTTTGCATTCTGGACCGGCGTTGGTGGTCGTTGTCGCCGTGGTGGTATAGTAGTATGAAAGCAAAGCGCGAAAAGCGTCATGCTGTGGTAACTAAGGTGGCCGTGCCTTCCCATAACAAGACCTACCAGTAGCTATAGACGTCCTGCGAATATAGATTGTAGAGTCCTCCCTCGCCATCAATAAACAATGCGCTTCATCAACCAGCAGTCTACCTGACGCTGAGGTCGATCTGACTTTACAATCACGTCCACTTTCAAGCCAAGGACAGTGTACGAGATTGACTTTTAAAGGACCTTCTTTATTCTCATACTTGGGAAGCAGCTGACACGAGACTCGATGAAACGAAAGAAGCAAAAACAGATCAGGACAAAAGGAAAGCAATGCCCAAGCAACCATGGGACAGCCAAATTCAATCTCAAATACAGAATCACTGACATACGGGACAGAGGACTCAAGCCCAATTTACTGCCTTCTCGACCGACACCTTCCCACCGACGGGCTCCCCCGTCCCTCATCATGCTTTTACGACGACAAAGCTGCCCCGACGCTTGGTCTTGGCACTGCGGCTGCCCTTGCCGGCCGTCTTGCTCTTGGTCTTCTTGGAGCGCTTGCCCTTGCCCTTGCCCTGGGCCCTGGCCTTCTTCGCCTTGGCCTTTGCTTTGCGCAGAGCGGCCATGATGCCGTCCGTGTCCTCGTCAACCTCGTTCTTGCGCCGGCACGACTTCTTGGACCGCTTGCCTTTGCGATGGAGGTCGCGTGGCGCGATCGAGCTTGAGACGGACCGGCCATCCGAGTCGTCGGCGCTGTCGGAGCTGTCCGAGTCGGTACCGGAACCGGTGGCGTCCGAGTCCGGGTACTTGCGCGCGTCTGGCTCGCAGTCGGAGTTTGAGTCCGAGTCCGAATCCAAATCCGACGAGCCGGAGTCGCTGTCCGTCAGGGCAGCCTTGCGTGCAGCACGACGCTTTGCCTTGGCTTTGGCCTTGGCCTTGGCCTTGGTCTTGGCCTTCTTTGCCTTTTTGGCCTTGCGGCGGGCCACCGAGCCATCCGAGGAATAGACGGCGTCCGAGTCCGAATCGGAGCCGGAGTCATCCGAGTCGGAGCCCGAGCTCACCTCCGAGTCAGACGACGACGACGCGTCCGAGTCCGAGGCCGAGGCCGGATACAGGGCGACCGACCGGTCACTCACGGCATCCCAGTCCGAGTCGTCCGAGTCGACGTCCTTCTTGTTTTTGGTCTTCTTCGACTTCTTTGACTTTTTCGACTTCTTGCCGGTCTTCTTTGACTTTTTGCTTGTCTTCTTGTTGCGGGCGTAGACGGAGCTGGTATCACTGTCACTGTCACTGTCACTGTCGCTGTCGCTGCTGCTGCCACTGCTGCTCTCGCTGTCGCTCGTCACACTTCTGGTGCTCACACTGTCGCTCCGGACAGTGCTTGCGTCTAGGGAGCGCGCATACCGGCCCCGGCCGTTCTTGTTCTTCTTTTTCATGCTCGTGGGCACCGGCGTGGGCCACCACCCACGCACCCCGGACACCCCGTGACGCGACGAGTTTGCCAGAAAGTTGTACGGCTGTACCGGGATGTTCCTCGCGTTACGATTCATGCCGACGACAGGCGCATTCTGAGCCAGCGGGAGCCGCTGCGGGAAGGAACCGTTACCGGCCCCGCCACGAAGCAATAAATGCGGCGGAATGCCTTTCGGGCCATCCGTGCCATTGAGATGAGGGCGATGAGGACCAGCATAGGCAGGAGGGCCAGACGACCAGGGACGAGCGGGTGGCGGCAGCCGAGTGGGTGGGCTCGAGGAGGGCCCATCGGACGACGAGTCAGTCGACGACGAGGCCGCTTTAGCCGCTGCGATGGCCAACACACGGAAAATGGGTGGCTTGTTGGCAGTCGTGGCCTTCGTGGTCGTCGTGGCCGTGGTTGCCGACGCTGCGTTGGTGGCCGTCGTGTTGACGGAGCTCGCGACGGTGTGGTAGTCGCTGCCGGTGTCCAGAGACGAGGACGAGGAGAGGGCCGACGGCGCCGGAACCGGGATGGGAAGGGGCAAGACGGCCGCCGGGCGGTACAGCTGGTTGCCAGACAGTACCAGCAGGTTGGCGAGCTGCGGGTACGACAGCTTCTCCATGCGCGTGGGCGACATCTGGAAGCCCTTCTGGGCCAGTGCCCAGCCGGCCGTGACGCAGACAAGGGCCTCGAGGTTGTTGTCGGCGACCATGTGCTCGTACGAAAAGGCACCCTCGGGCGCGATCTGGCGCACAATGTCAAAGAGGCACTCGGCCGATATGGCGTCACTTGCCCGCGCGGCGCCCTGGAAGTAGTGGTTGCTGATGAGGCGCAGCACCACGGTGTTTCCAGGTATGTCGTCTGTCTTGTCCTTGTCCGCGCTTTCGTCGCTGTTGGAGCTGCTGCTGCGGTCGGTGCTGTGCATGGAGGGGCCCACGTTGGGATTGTACGGCGCGATGGCCGACGGGCGCTGGGACCACGGCAGCGACGGCGACGGTGGCGCCGGAGCCCGAACGGACCATGGGCGATACAGTGGTGGTGCAGGAGGCGTCGGCGACGGCGGTGCGTCAGCAGGCGGCGCCGAAGCCAAAGACAGCGCCTCGGTCTTGCTGAAAATGTTCCAGCGGCTGCCTGAGTGGGAATGGACTGTCTTGACGCCCTGCTTCATGCGGTCCTGCAGATGCTGCACTTCTTGGGCCGACTTGACTTGGGCGAGCATGTCGGACACGGCAATGGAGATTTCGACGAGGCGGGCCGACAGCGAGGCCGTTGCGGTGGCTGGACCCCGCGCCACGGGCGCCATGGTATACCCTTCCGACACCTCCTGCTGCAGCCGCTGCTGCAGCCGCTGCTGCCGGTCCAACAGGGCCTCGGCTTTTTCAATGCAGTCGAGCATGGTGTTCTTGAGGCTCCAGCCAGCAAAGGCAATGTCACCGGACTCGCCGATCTCGGCGAGCTCCCGATTGTCCTCGAGCACGCGCAGCAGCCGGACAAGCGCTTTGGCCAGAATGCCCTCGTCGTCGAGGCCCAGGAGGGGCATGAAGCCCGCACTGTACCAGAACTGGAACAGCTGGTACTGGAAGACGGTCATCTTGGCTCTGGAATGGTCCATGATGGGCAGATGAACACTGGGGAGACGCAGAGTAGAGATGCAAAACACACCACGGAAAATAAGAAAAAGGACAGGAAGGGTGTAATAGAACTCCTTCGTTACGAGAGAAACAAAGAGAGAGAGAGAGAGAGAAAGAGAGAGAGTGAGAAAGTAAACAGGAAAAGAGGGCGATGTGGCAGAAGGATGCTCTCTTTATGTACGTTTTGGTGTGCCTTTTGCTTGTGCCGCTCCTTCTTGGCCGAGGATGGTAAACCTAGAAGAAGGGAAGGGAAGGTAAGCAGGGTGCCGGAATGCGGCGTGCAGCGTGCTTCTCTTGTGCGACCACACTCACGCGTCCGCCTCAATATTGTTGGCCAGCGGGCAATGTGTACAGAAAGAGACGTGCAGCACGAATGGTGCAGCTTCAACGTGCAATTCGGGACGACGTGGCGCGTCTTGCTGACATGCACTCTCGACCGTATTGGGTGGTGCACAACCCGACGCGATGCCACGCCCGTTGTCTGCACCTTGCGGTCGAGGCCCTCGTGAATGGCGACGGCGCAAGAGGGGAACTTTCTTGGCTTGCTTGGTACATGCAGAACAGCGCACCACCCTACAGAATGGCACACACACATTCTCTGTGCCGTGGTACCTCGTTTTGCGTGCCTGAATTGACCGCAGCTTTGTTGGTCCTGGTGTGGTTCTCAATGGAGTCTCCTCGCAAATGGCCATCGCCTCTATCGTCCATCTCAAGTGACCACCGCCTGGGCGAGAGACGGGTTGAGAGAGAGAGACCGGTGCCGCCTGTTGTCTCTCCCGTTTCTTGCACTGTTGTGAATGTGATCAGATTACATGCGTCCAGGCAGCCAGCTGAAGTGGGGCAGAACGCAGAGTTCTGTGTGGGCAGCAAGTCTGTTGGGGACGGGAAGAGAAACGTCCATGGAGGGTGGTGTTTGGCTGTGAAGACAGCACCAGGATGGCACACTGCAGGCGTGCGTCAACTGCGCAGGTAAACTGTACGAGGTTGGCAGACTGGGCCAGGCAGGACAGTGCAGAGAGAGGGCAGTCGAGGCCGCTTGAGACTGGGTCTCGCCATCGAGGAGGTGGGTGGCCAGAGTCACATCGAATGGGAGCCGCATGGGGGGGAACAACAAGAGCAAAAAAAGGACAAGGAAAAGGCAGAGACACTCTGTGCAGAAACAGGGCGAGCCACGGCTGCGAGGCAGAACAAGCGATCTGCATGCGGCGGACGTTGGCCAGCCGCCTCCGTCTTTTGTCCGTCTTTCGTCGTACCGTTTTCGTTTGTTCTGTATTGTAATGTATTTACCTTTCCATCTCTTCAAAAGGCCCGCCACTTTACTGAACCTCGCTTCAAGCGCATTGCCCTGTTGGCATCGCATAGCGCAAGGCAGACTTGCCACGTTCTCTGCGTCTGGTGTGAAGGCTCTTCCTTTTGAATATGAACTTATCCGTCTTCCAAAAGATTGGGAACAGAAATATAATCAGAAATGGAACGTTTGACTGTCGTCGGAGAGAACATCATATTCAATGACCGGCCATGTTGGACCAATTTGACGCCATGCCGTCTGCCCGCCATCTCAAGCGCGGAAATGACGCTCTGCCACGGAAAACTGGCGGTGTGGGGGTTTTCGTCGCTGCCAGAGTCGCTAGGCAGGCGCCCGAAGCCTGGACGAGTGCATAGTCTTCAGCCATATGCAGTCAATCAAGACACATTGAATCGACTGGAGGTTTCAATCTGTTTATGTTCTCCAAAGTGGCACGATGCCCTTGCCAGGCAGCAGAGGCGGGGCCGTGGCATCCAGCTCGGGATGGACCCATCATCACGAAATGAGGCTGAAACCCCCCGACCGGACGCGCGACTGGGATGTGCAATAAAGTGCCGAGAAAGCGAACGTGCAGCTATCAAGGTGCTGGAGAGGATTCACGCATTTTCACGCGGTCGACAGGGAGGTGGTCTTGTCGCAGTACAGCGCACGGAGGACTGGATGCATTATTTCTCATGTACTCCGTACTTGCTGGCCTGCCTCGTATATTTGTGCTGTTTGGAGATTGTGGCCTCATGTAACCGTTGGCTGTGATAGAGGACCGGTCCGGGGCGACGAGTAGGAAGGACAAGAAAACCTAAAAGAACAAGGTTGAGCACGGTGATGGCTTTGACTTCCGTCGCCTGGCATCTTTCTCGTAGCATCCTGCTCGTTGCACCACACTCCGGATGTCGTTCACTTTTCTGTTGAATTTGGGGTCCCGTATGGACGCCATCCTTCCCACTGGTCGATGCATGGTCGCCTCACTTTTTGGACTGTGTTTCTGATTCGTCCACGCTTGCCACACTCAACGGTCCGCATGGATCACTGCATCCCGTTCGCTGCTCCTTTCCGTGGGCCTTGAATTGTCGCTGCAAGTGGCATGGCGTTTTCTGTCAAAGACGACGATGTCTCTGATTCGTGAGAGCATCCCTCTGCTGCCTTTGTGCCATCTCAAGTCCTCGAATCGTAGGAAGGCAGCTGGTTACGTAAGTTGCTTAACATGCTGATGCATGAGCCAAAGCATCTTGCACGTATTTGCGAAGCCTTCCAAGAGACTGTGCCGCAGAATCGCATGGTGTTCTTGTGTATTCACGTCCGGTTCTCTTCTAGCTGTGTCTTTTCCAATTCCCCATTGCCTTTCGATCCCCTCGTGACCTTTTACTGGCCGTATGTGCGACATTGTCTCCAGACTTGGGCACATTGCCACACTGCATCTCATAAATGACGGTTACAGAAATGACGGAATCCGTGACGATCTGTGCTAAACAAGAATCATTTAAAGGTGGCAAGGCCGCGTAGAATGTTGAGAACGAGAGATTTACGGACAAAAAAGAATCAGAGAATAACATAGCCAGTGTGGCTCTTGTCGATTGAATGGTCATTGATCGCAATGATCACATATCAATATCGATACGTGATAAGGCGAGAATCTCGTCACAGGTTGGTTTAATGACACAACAACTAAAATGACAATCGAAAACTGTAGATTGATGTCCCACCGTAACCTATAACGCATTACTGGACCGCTTCGGAATCTCGAATCTCACGATACTTTTGAAAGAGTTGAGTCGGCACGTCAGCTGCGAGCCTGTATCTGTGCCGTATTTCACGCGCGTCTTACTCTACTGTATTTCTGATGTGAAACATGGTACCTTTGAAAGTACACATTTGCACATTCAGAACCATCATTGTACGTGGTGGTACTCCTGCGGCCTAAGAAATCCAGCACGTTGACTTGCACGATGCTCGCCATGATGATGTCGCGGTTTTCGTAGCCAATACACAATGTGAGGGTCTGTGCTGTCCCACAGAGTTGTCATTCATCATGATAGGACGACATTATGGAGGATGGCATGCATACGACGACGGTTGGTCGTCAGTGCTGGACAAGGCCGTGCAACGAGGACAGCAAAGCAGAAGGGCCAGCGTCAACCAGTAGGTCAAGACGCCTCGTTGCCCGATACTCGACACGACATTGGCACCACATTGACACAACATATTGAGTAGGACCGTATGTCATAGGTGGACGCACGTCGAGAATGAAAGACGTCAGAGGTTCATCACGAACAACATGCAATTTGGTATAGCAAAACAAAAACGTACATTCGCAGCCGTGGCACCCTGTGGTAGTCACAGTCGACTGACTCCAAAAAGTCAAAGATCCTCCGTCAGACGTTGGTGTGTCTGTGTCCCAAATCGCGCCTTTGTTTCCCCGTCCTTTGTCCTTTGTTCCTGTCTTTTGTTCCTTGTCCTGAGTCCCGAGACCCAAGGCCCGTTGCCGTATCGCTGTTGGCAATGTTTCATCCATGAAAACGTATAAAAAAGAGGTAGAGGGAAAAGAAAATCCAACCCAAATCCAGTCAACGCCCGTCGGGTACGTGAGTGCCGGGCCTCTGCCGTGCCCAACAGTCCACCACAACGACATCACCACCACGACATCACCACCACGACATCACCACCACGACATCACCACCACGACATCACCACGACATCACCACAACTGCACCGCTCGGTAGTGGAGCTGAACGGCTCTTGCCTGCGTGTTGTTGGTGGGAAAGCGCGCGGCGGCGACGACCCTGTCCCAGTTGCGGTCCGGGTGCTTCTTGTTCAGGTCCTTGTAGATCTTGAACATGTACTCGCGGTGGTTGTCGGTCATGACGTTGCGGCACTGGGGGCAGAGCTCGCCCAGGTAGTTCTCGTCGTAGTACACGTGCGCGATGGCGTGGCAGATGCGGCCGCGGGACTTGATGTAGCGCTGGCAGAAGCTGGAGACGATGTACTTTTTGTGGTCGCAGTCGTAGTGTCTCTGGATGGATGGTTAGTGATGTTTGTGTTGACGAGAGAGAGAGAGAGAGAGAGAGAGAGAGAAAGAGAGACTGGGTGCTCCATCGAGAGACGTACACAAATCCATTTGCACATGGTGGCGGTTGTCGGTCGTTGGCCTTTGTGTAGTGTTGTGTGGGTGAGTGTGGGTGAGTGTGGGTGAGTGTCAAGGCAGACGTCAAGGTGGACAGACCAAACGTGAGTCGTAGGCGAGGTGAACGGTGAGAGTCGACAATGGTGGAGCGGGAAGGGATGTCGAAAGGATGTCCAAGTATTGTGCGAGGTGGAGAGGGAATGGGGTCTTCTTAAACAATGGCCATGGACTGTGACAGTGGACTGTGACAGTGGACTGTGACTGTGGCCGGTGGATCTTTGCTGGAATTCTTTTTATGCGTTTATTCTTTTATTCTTTCGTGCCTTGGTCTCGACTTGCTTTCTTCTTGGGTCGTCCTTGTCCCTTGCTTCGACGTCTTTCCATAGCACGACTGGCAGCCCTTCTACGTCTCTTGTCGCCTTCTAGCCCCGCCCCTGGTCCTCATGTGTACTCGGTGCTACAAGGTATGTCGTCACATTTTCATTTGCACTCCCTGTCCGTATTCTCCGTCTTTCGCTTCTCAACGTTTGCCGACCCAGCGCTGGGGATCCGTACATGGGGATTTTGGTATCTTTTCCTGCCCCATATTGTGTGTACGCAGCATTTCGTACTCTTGCGAATTTCAAACTGCAAAACAGTTCCAAATAGTTCCCACCTTGCGGTCCAGGGGGGAGAGGGGGTGTAGCCCAAGGGAATGTGCCGTGCACAGACAGAGAGAAGAAGAGGGTGTGGCCGGCGGATGTTGCAAGGGTGTTAGTGTCTGTAAGTGGACTGGGGACGAGATAGCCCACGGCTTCTTGGGAATGGGTCCACTCGCCCATAAGGACCATCAGATGGTCGTCTCTCCAATATCATTTTGGTATTCGGGTGGGACGTGGGAAAGGGACGAAGACAAAAGGGGCAGCGCCAACTTGCCAGCTTGCATGGAAATGGAAACATTCTCGGTGCCAACGGACACAGATGGAGACGTTGCGTGGGAGGCTTTGTGCCAGCCTCACTCTCACAAGGTGCTCTCTGGACATACGGGAGGGTTCACAAGACGACGTGATTACAGGATACGTACGACGTAGATACAGCTAGCAGTTTACAATGATGAAAAGAGTGAAAAGAGAAGCAAAGGCAGGCAGAGTTAAAGGCGATGTCAGATGTCCACTCCGCTCCTTCAGCTCTGAGTCGCCATGCAACCTCCTTCCAAACACGTCCAGCGTGTGCTATGTATGGCCAAGTGGTCCAGCAACGTGGGGGAGAGGTCTAGGCACAGACAGTTTAAGCGACGACGTCCGTTCGCTGTGCGGAGTACAACATACTGCAGGCTCCAGTTCTGCCAGATGCAGCATCGCAGTTGTCAAGCGAGAGGAGCAGGCATTGTCTGGCGGGGACCGGCCTGGCCAAGCGGGCGTGCTCAAACGATTACTGAAAATAACGAGAAATAAAAACAAAGAGAGATGCAAAAAAGAGATGCAAAAAGAGATGCAAAAAGAGATGCAAAAAGAGATACAAAAAGAGATACAAAAAGAGATACAGATATACGAGGAACCGGATCGCCGGGGGAGACGGCAATGGTATTTGGCAATCTGGCGTTGAATTTGCACATGTCCGCGCTCGATGGTACCCAGCTCGTCCGGGCCAGGCACACGGCTCGTTTCCGCCGTTGCACTTGGACTGGGGCCCCATGAACTGTGATGGGTGCCGCACATTGCAGACAAATAGCACCGCAACAACGGGCCAAAATCCCAGGCATTCGGGTTGACCGCGCCCAATGCAACGCTTCGTTTTCTACTTTCGGCAGTCCCCTGAGGCAGACTGAGCCATGGAAATGATGTCTTGTACGACAAACGAATTGCTTCCCTAAGAGAAGAAAGTGCGTCGTACGGAGTGAAGGTGTATATGGAATGTGGTGTGTTGTCAGAATCGCGTGCCTTTGCCGTACTGTTGCTTGCTTGCTTTTCTCGCATTGCGACTGTACCCGCCGCCTCGTGTCAGCGCAGCGTATCCTCTCTACTTTGCATTCGTTCGAGTTTGGTCATTTTTTATTTGTATGTTTGCCCCTCGTTCGTGCATCACATATACCCACGCCAGGAGTTTGAGTTTTATTCTGTCGTATCTCACGCTTTACAGACTCGGTTTGCCGTGATACCTTTCCAACTCGTACATCAACCTTAATTCTCCTTTTTTCTTGTTCCCTCTCTTGCTTATATTTTTCATTTTCTTTATTTTCTTTCATCTTATTCACTGTCGTGGACAGCCTCTGTAAAAATGTGCATTTCTTACCATGTAGTCGCCAAAGTCTGGAAAACGACGTATCACAAAAGCCCCCCCCCCTCTGTTCCCCCTTCTCAAATCCCACTGTACTACGCGCATTTCGCTACCCTATTGGGACAAGACCCTCAGTCTTGCACGTCCCACCCTCTGCACCCTCACCCTCCTCTCTTCTCTTTGCCCTCCAAAACCTCGCCTCGTCATCTCCGCTGCTTCCTTCAGCTGGGTCACCAGCCTTTTCTTCCACATTTCCCACAGTCACGTCTGGAGGTCGGCGACAAAAAAGTCTAGACCGCTCTCGTTTGGTCCTGCATGTCTCACTCTTCTCTGCTCTCAAAAGCTAAAACAGGACACTGGTCTGTTTTGGTCCCTCCATTGGTGCGTCAGCCTCGAACACCCATGCAGGGGCCTGGGGCTGGGAAGGTGTTTGGAGCATGGAGCATGGAGCATGGAGCATGGAGTTTGTCGGACATGGTAAATTGCCGTTCTGGTAACTGCCAACAGGTGGCGGTCGTGGAAAATGAGAGGCATCTCAAAGAGGAACGAGAGGGACGGCCGTGCCGCATATCCATCCAGCTCTCCGGGCTGCGATGATGGGACAGTTTGCTTTCTTCTTTTGACGGCAAGGCTTGCGTACATGCCATTTGCAGAGGCCGAGGGCGACTGTTGGAAGCAATACATAATTACAAATTTACAAACTAGGACTGGCAAGGGATGCAATGCTCAGCTGCGGTGAGGAGAGCTCGGTCGATGTTCTGTCGGAAATACGCCGAATTGAGGGAGACGGACGAGGCCGTCTGACGAAGAACGAGGACCGAGCACCGAGTATATTGTACGACGCATGTCCGTGGATGATGCGGTGGTGGAGGTCGTGTGTCGTTCTGACGACCACGAGCCACGGCTGCCCATCACAAACCAAGAACATATACGTCTCTCTTGGCAGAGTCACAACTGCAGCAGGACAAATGCAACGATGTCTGAAAAATACGACGCCCATCAAAATGGAACCACAACATGCACGGTCACGCCGCCACTCTCTCCAACGCACGTCTTCAAGCTCGCCTACGCTCTGGCTTTGCCCGGCCGCTTCCACCGCGATCTTGCGCGGCTGATGAAGTGTGCCTTGTCGTACGAACACGGTCGCAAACGAACTCCCAGCGCCGATGTCGACAGCAGCCGCTCCTACGGGCGTGGCTTCCACGAGGCTTGCCTTGTTGCCCAGGGCTTCTACCAGATTGAGTCGGAGGGCAGTGACGACGACGACGACGACGACGGTGGCGGCGACCGGTCGACACTGCCCGCCCGCATCGACCGCGTCTGGACCGCCACGCGCCTGTTTCTGCTGCGCGGCATGGTCAGCATGGGCGACGGCAACGGCAACGTCGTCGAGCGCGTCGAGGCCGTGCCGAACCCGGCAACGCACGCCTGTGTGGACGTGCCCATCTACGGCGAGGGCAGCGATGGCGGCAAAACAAAAACGGCGCGGGCGGTTCCCTGGGCCCCGATCCGGACGTGACGCCTGCGGACTTGCCGTCCCTCCTCCCGCGGTGGAACAACATGGCCCTCCCCGCCGGCGATGTTGTCGGCGGCGCGGCGTCGCTTCCTTGTCGGCCCTGGAGTGACACGTTTCTGTGGGCCTGCGCCGGCTGCACGCTCGGCACACACTGCATCCCCGTGCCGGAGTGGCACCGCCGCGGCCAGGGCCGCCACGACCACGACCACGACCACGACCATCACGACAGCAACCTCAGCCTCGACGCGGTCACGGCCAAAGTGGCCCGCGTCGTGCACCGGCTGCAGTTTAACGAGCGCCAGAGGCTGGCGCTGCAACAGCAGGGCGCCCCCCACGAACACGGCGCCGTCTACGTCCGCCACCGGCGGCTGTGGGCGCCGTACCCCGGGCCGCGCCGGCTTGTGCCCGGCCCGGCCGACCAGACGCAGCTCGAGGCCACCGTGACGGACCTCTTCCGGCTGCTGGCCGCCAAAGACCGCGAGCTCCGGCTGCTGAAGCGCGTGCTGGGCAAGCCGTGGATGGTGGCGCCGGCGATTCGGTCACTGGTCGCGGGGGAGGCCATGGAGGCGGCAGAGGCAGCAGAGGCAGCAGAGGCCAGGCAACCGTGATGCGGCGGTACGACAACACAGCACGCTATTACTCTTCTGTATATTCTTGTCTGTACAAAGCACATCTTGTATGTACATCTTGTATTCTGTAGTTGTACCTTGTACTTGCATGTATCAATACTTGGACCATGGTAAATTTGAGCATCATAATTCGAGCATCATATCCGAAACGCCCAAGCAAGGGCATACTGCCTGCACCGTTCTTCTTTGCCCATTTCCGTTTTTATTTTCTCAGATGCTCAAGTCCTTCATTCTCGGTGTACGTTCCCGGAAGAGGGTGTGCTCCGGCGACGACGGAAAACACAGCAGCCTTTGGCCCTTTCAGCTCGCCACACAGGGGCTTTGCATGTCTCAGTGTTCTTTCGTCGTCGCCTCGACTCGACACCCCCCTCCTGACGCCGTTTTTCCACTTCGTCAGTTGGGTAGTGGTTACGTCCCGACAGAATTGACAGAACGACGGGACAAGCACACTCGTTTCCTCATTCTTTTCCTTTGTCTTTGATCCTTGTTTCTTGGCATCTCGCGGGGACTTTCTCGTTTTCCCTCTTCAACCCTCTTCAACCAGCCCATCCTCAATCCTCCTGTTTCGCGTTCCTCGTTTCGTTCCTCGTTCCTCGTTCCTCGACTCTCGGCCGTCCTTTTCGTCCGTCTCGATTGCCCCTTCGGTCACGAGTGCCTACCAGGGAGCGCCAAGACCCGATCAGGGCACATCTACATTCGTATTGGCGTGTCACATATTTTCTCTCTGTCTTGTCACTTTTGCGACTGCGCTTTCTCCTTGATGGATATGGCCACCCCCTTTGAAGTGCGCTTATGCGCCCCCATGAGAGCGAAGCATGATTCGAATCAGCATTCCGTGTACTTTTGCTCCCGAGGACGGTGACTTTCTATGCCATCATCCACAGCTCGAGCGAGGTACATCGAAACCGGGCAGACGCGATAACAGCACACGGCATGTTACTTTGAAAGGCATAGTCCCCTCCGCGAACTAAAGCAATAGGCTGCTTGGACAGTGCCTTGGGTTGGCGCCCTAGCAGGGACATGGTCCAGACGAAAATGAACAGGAAAATGAAACGGGCCAACAGAGAGGCGTTCCAATGCCATTGCAGGAGGGACTTGAAGTTGGCTAGCATTAGCTTCCAGTGTCGCCTGGACCATTTGTTTTAGCGCCTATTTAGTTGACTTGGTGGACTTTGGTGGCGTTTTTCTCAGCTGGGACACTCCAGGACCCCTGCAACATCAAGCCCAAAGGGTCGTCCCTCTTTGGCCGTCCGCCCCTTTCGAACCCATGACACTGGTAGCAGGCTGGCAGGGTAGCGGAGCTCAGAGTACGCAGTCGTGGCCTTTCCTTATTTCCGTACTTTTCTCTCGAGCATGGCCGTGTCCCCATAGCGATGTGGGTGTTGTTGTTTCTTCTGTACCCAGCCTGCTGGGTCATCGTCGGCGATGTCGTCAAGTATGTAGAAAAACAAGAGGTTGGTGGGAGGAAAGGTCGACGACGTGATGATGCGTTTTGTCTTTTGTTTTCCTTGTGCGCCCTTTCAACGACGTGCAGACGCTCGGTTCAACAGGATAAGGTCGGGTTGTGCTCTCCCAAGTCCGTCATGTCAACCGAAACGGACGACATATGTGTGTACTTTGTACTTTGTATTCTTCCGTGATGTCTTGCCCATGTCCGTTGCCCTCCCTGTCGATGCGCCATCTCTCCCCCGCTCACAAGGTCCTTGCAGAGACAGGGCCAGAGAAGTGTGTAAAGTCTAACCAGTCCCAGATACGATGCCGCCGTTCCTCGCCGTCCAGGTCCACAGCGGAGAGTGGACAGAAGGAAGGGGGGGGAATGCCTGTACTTTGGGACGAAGTATACAGAATAGCTGCTGATCATCCGCGGGCCCGAACGGGCCTATTTTATTTCCTGGGTCGAAAGAGCAAGCACAGAAACGTCGAGCAGGGCGGCTCCCTGGCCCTGAAAACGAGGCGCCGAGACCAGGAAGAGAGGAGGGGAAACGGCGAATAAGAAAACAGGGCGGAGGCTGCATGACAATCTCACACAAAGAGTACTTTCGTACATGTATTTGTCAATGACCCCTGTCTGTGCTGAGTCCAGTGTCTTGGAAAGGTTCACTTTGCGGAGGTTCTGCACAGAAGAAAACGACGTGCTTTCTGTGGAGTAAACAAAAGCGCCGACAGGGCATACGAATAGAACCAAGCATGCCTCGTGGAGACATTGCATTCGCGGGGATGTCTGAATGCCCGTTCCGAGTTCGTATCTTCGTATCTTCGTATGTACAGTACTTTGCGCCTTGTAACGGTATCTCACCAAGGGATCGGCCTGTTTTGTTTGCTACGACGATCTGGGACACAAGATTCGGGGCATGCCTGGCTGCTCACGGCCTGCACCCGTTCCGGCAAGGATGTGCACAAAGGCCGTCGGCGTCCGACTTGCCGATGCACGGAGTACTTTGTACAGACTCTTCCTCGGTGCGTCCCTCGCCCCGTAAAAAAAGGGCGAGACGTACTGCAAATCGGGTCTCAGACGGTTCGGCGAGCAAACGCGTCACATGGACCAAAAAGAGGGTGTGAAACCACAGAGATACAGTCCAGTGCACGTCGTATTTGCACCAGTCAAGAGAGGGCATTGCTAATGTGCATTGTCCATCGTGCCTTGCCTTTGTGTAACACAAGAACGCAAGACATCACAAAAGGCAAAAAAAAAAAAAAAAAAAAAAAAAAAGACAAAATGATGCCCAATCCTCCACACACCGCAATCTCCCAGTCACATCATCTCCGCGGTCAGCATGGAACATGTCCAGTTTGGGCAGTTCTGCCTGATACGGGGATTGCGCGTTGCTCATGTGACTGGCCGCTCATGCTTTGCAACCTTGGTTGGTGTAACGGCAAAGTCAAGAATGGCGACCAGTCGACCATGTTTCACTTTGCAGGGACAGTGTATGTTGTCCATGCAGTTTTGGGATTTGGGAGTATGATATAGCGCGCCCTTTGGTTCCCTTTTGGGACATACAAAGGCTGCGTCTTGCATTTGCATTTGCATAATGCACGGACACGGATGTGTATTCTGGGGCTGCGTAGCCGTTTGTAGAGCATTAAAAGTACATTCTCAACGTATGGGACGAAAAGGGCATTGTGCATACATGCACCCTGAACAGGCTACCATGCTACCAGGCTACCTAGTCAACCCAAACGCCCGACGTGGGACCGACGTGGGCACATCCGAATCATCATCCACCGACCCGTTCCACAGCCACCGCGACTGCGCCGAGCTCCTGATGTGCTGCTGCATGGTGGTGATGCCCTGCGGCCCGCCCTTGCCTGCAGGGAGCAGTCGCCCATGTACCGTCCTTGCGCCGACGGGCGCCTGGCGGAGGAACTGGTGGAGATGCTGCGGCAGGTGGGAGGCCACGGCCGGGCCAGGTGTGGGCGCAGGGGTGGATGTGGGTGTGGGTGGCTGGCTCGGTGGTCGCGCCGCCGCTGGCCCTTGCGCCCGGCATTGTGCCTCCACCTCCTGGAGCAGACCGCGCAGCGGTGGCAGTCGTTGGGGCACGTGCGGCCGTGGCGCGTCGGCGAGCAGCGGTGGCAAGTCTGGTCCGCGCTGTCGTGGGTCGGCCGCCTGATGCTGTGGCTGGGACTGTGACTGCGACTGGGACTGTGGCCGGTCCGTGAGGGGATTGCGCGGGCCAAAGGCAGCCTTTGGATGCAAGGGGAGAGGGACGGGCTTGTCGCTGCGCACGTCCAGGACCAGGTCACGGCCGCGCGGTGGTACGTATTCGTAAAATCGGTCCTGTATACGAAGTGGCTCGTGGGCGGCGGCGGGTTCGGCTTTGATGCGGGACGTTGTCCCACGCTTTTTCTCCGGCGGGGGAGACTGGGCAGCTGCGTTTGGCGCGCGGGTGCCCATGGGCGAGGGCTGCGTCGGCGCCGATGCAGGGGATTGTGTCGATCTCGATGTAGAGTGGGACTTGGACACAGGCGACTTGGACGTTGCTGTCGACGCCGGCGCAGGGGACGACGGCTTTCTGCGTCGTCTGGTGCCGCGTGCCGGACCGGACCTCTCCTTTCGTTTCGTCGCGCCTTTCGTCGCGCCCTGCATCGTAAACACTTGGCCCTTGAGGGGGTTGAGCACAACCGCGAGCGAGTTGGCCGTGTCGTAGCGCAGGCACGTCAGGCCCTCGCCGAGGACCTCTTCGTGCACCTCGGGCGGCCACGGCGCGCCGGGGCCCGTTTCGGGTCCGACGTGCACGGTCATCTTGCGCGGCAGAGCCAGCAAGGGCAACGGCTGCGAAATGGGAAGGGCGAGCGTCGTGTTGGCCGGCCACAGGAGCGGCACGGACGCAAGGGGCGCGCGCCGGCAGTACCACCGGCCGCCGACCAGCCGCGAGACGTGGGTCACGAGGTGGCCCGTTTCGGCGGCGGCCGCTGTGGTGGACGTCGTGTTGAGGCTGGCGAGCATCGCAGCGGCCGCCGCGGGACTCACAAGCCCAAGGGCCTTGGTCAGCGCGAGGGACGTCGTGTGCGGCGTCATGACAAAGTGGAAGCGCGGGCTGATGCGCACGAGCTCCCGCACCGTCATGCGCTGGTGCGGCGACAGGCGGATGGGCTGCGGCGGCCCGGCGGGCACCAGCGGAATGGGTCTTGTCGTGGGCGGCTTATCTCCTGTCTTGGTGTTTTTGCTGTTGCTGTTGCTGCTGCTGCTGCTGCTGCTGCTGCTGCTGCTGCTCTTCTCGCCGTCCTCGGCCCACAGGCACAGCTGGGCCACGCCGACGATGCCGACCGTCGGCAGCAGCACCTTGCGCCCATTGGGGCAGTACAGCACGTACGTCATTGTTTCGATCCGAGACGACTGGCCCGCGCGCTGCCGCTTGTACGGGCGACTGTCGACTGTGTCTGCCTCCTGGTCCTCCTTGTCCTCCTTGTCCTCCTTGTCCTCCTTCTCGTCGCTCTCTTCCTGCCCGTCTCCCGTCCCCTTGGCGTCGCCCTTGGTTCCT